AAACTTGTTCTAAATTTTATTATCTAAAAGAATATAAAAAAAGGGAGATTTTAAATTTTATACAAACAGTTTTTCTAAGAAATTTAATTTTCTAAGAAATTTAATGAATTTGGTTAGCTGTTGTACTACTTGTATTAGCTGTTATACATATTTGGTTGCTATATTTGCTACATTACTATTCATATGATGAAATCTATCTACAAATATTAGTGCTATATTCTAAGATTACATCGAAGTAGTTTCATTGCAAACTCTCAATACAAAAAGATACATTACATACGCCCATAAATATGCAATTTTTGTGAGTATCTACCTTTTGTTAATTTTTTGTTATTTAGAGTTCAAATTAATATTTTCTTTAATATTGCCGTTACAGAAAAGCCATCAAAGGCTTATTAAGAAGTGGTTACTATTAAAAAAGTGGCCACTATGTGTGCTTATAACGTTGTTATTATAAGTAATATATTTACCTATATTTGGTGTCAAAAGCAAGATTATTTACTCAACTCTATAAAAAAAAGCTCCTTACTTTAATTAAATTTTCACAAACTTTTCAAAAATTTCCTAAACTTTTTATATTTAATTCTAAAATTTTATACTTAAATAAATACGTACTTTTAAAAGAGTTGACTATATGAATCACATATTATTATTCTCGTTACAAATACACAAACACAATTTTTTAGAACAATACATACCGTATTATTTTTATTGCACTCAACCATTTTCTCTTCAAAAACTTCAAAGAAATTAACAACACCATAAACTGTTTCTAAATCACAAGAGAAGAAGTATTTACTTTACTATTTCGATACTCTTTCATATTAAAAGTTGACAAACAAGTTCTCTTTATAGATTTTACAACAGAAGTATTAAAATGTCAATTACCTTTGGAAAAGTTAGAAAATTTTATACTTATATCGTATTGTAATTTACTATATAATGGTTTTGATTTTATATATTGTGATGACAAAAACGACGATAATGAAAAAACATCGACAGCGGAAATAATAGTAAATGACGATTCTGACTGAAGACTCGTAATGGTATTAAGGTAGAAAAAGAGTGAATATACCCGTGAATTGAAAATTCTTCAAAAAACAATAAGGTAAAAAAAATAAATTTGATTTTTCTTCCAACTTTTTTTATTAACCGTCATTTATTATTTTTTTGCTTTTCTTTATTGCAAAACGCGAAATCATATACACATATTTAAATCTATATATTATACTTAATATATGTATTAAGTAAGTATGTATAAAAAATAAACATGTATAATATGTACATATGTGCTGCTGTGGTTTTTATCTAAAAAAAGTATCAAAAATTATTTGCTAGAATGAAATTAATATTAAAAGCAATTTGTTAAAAAAATAGAAGAATTTTTAAAACATGGTTGAAAAAAATTCACAAACAATAAGATGCACACATACTCAGAAATCTTATAGAAATTTATAGAATTTCCTTTTAGAACATTTTATAGAAAATTAAGTAAGTAGGTACCTATATGTTATTTTTATAATTGAAGAAATGCAAATATTTTTTATTTAAAATTAGTTCAAAGTTTTAATTGGGTTTAATTAGTTACACTTAGCAAATTTCAACGCCCTAATTAAATTAAAACAACAATATGAAAATAATTTAAATATACATACATATACTTACACAAAATATATACGTATGCTTGTTTTTTAATTATTTTTGTTGAATTTTAATTATTAGGAAAAGAAGAAAGAGGAAAATTTTTAACAATTTTGATCGATTTGTGCTATTACGTCGAATTGTTTTGATAATTATGTAAGGTAACAACTAACATAAAATATTTAAGTAGTTGCAATAAATTGTAAGTATAAATCACGTATACTTTATGTATGCAGTATCATGCATTCTCTGCAAGGAATTTTTCTAATTCAAGAAAAGTACACAAGTATTTAAGTAAGTATAATTGAAATTTCTAATTCTATAGAAAATAATTTCAATTTTTTTCCTAAAAAAAACCACACCCACATAATGTGTTGTACTGTTTGTAAATAATATGAGCAGGAACCTGCATAACTATTCTAATATACTAGTTTAATTCAACAACACTTTATAAAATTAATTTAATTGAATCCCAATTTGAACTATAATAATTAAACTTTTCTTACAATCAATATATAAATACGTAAATATATTTATACATACGTATATATAAATTTCATTAACATCATTAATTTATAAGGTATTATTTGCCAAATTAGTACAAATAACTCATTTTAATAATTTTAATTAATTACAAATTTAAATAAAATAAAAACAAGGTAAAAGTAACCTAAAATAGTCAGGGAAGAAGGTGATTTCCGTTCAAATTACTGTAGTAAAACTTTATTATTTAGTATTTAAGAAATAATAAAAGCATACTTAAATATCAAGAATTTATTTATCAAGAATTTAATATTTATTAATTAAGTATATACGAAATTAAATTATCGAATTTGTAAAAATATTTTATATTCAATAAATTCCTGCATTTTTGCTTTAAGTATAACTAATTAAATATCTACCTCTAATATATACATACATATTTATTTCATATATAAATTATAAGTAGGTATTTGTTCAAATTTGTTAAGAATTCATAAATTCATTTTATATCCAGTTTAAAATTTTAAATTGAATTAACCTAGTAATTACTCAACTAATATTAATTGGTTACGAATACTGATGCAATTGCAGCATATTTAAAAAATTAGGCATATACTTTATTGGTGTTGAATTATGCTTTCAAGCTTGTATTAGAAACATAATTCTACATTAGGAATTCGCTTTCCGAACACTTAGAATGCCTTTAAAATAATATTTTAGTACTTAAGTATTAAGTACCAAATACAAAAACAACATAGGGAATTAAGTGTGTAGGTTCCTACCTACAGCATAAGTTTACTATAAATAAATTGTTCTAAATTAGTGATGGGGAACTTTCTTGTGCCGGCGTATCCAAAATCTAATTAAACAAAAAAAAAATTGGATCCTATTTATTAATTTACTATGTATGTAAGTTAAGATATTTTTTTTCAAATGCACGCAGAACTATCTTTAGGGGATAGGTATATAATGCATTCTATTTTAAAATAAAATAACATGTCCATTCGATAAATCTTTAAATTAAATTACTTATGTTATATTATTTATACCAAAATATCTTCTAATGGTAAATGAAGCACTCACCTTACGAACAGAAAACTGTAATCCAATAATAACAATCCAGTATCAACTAAAGAAATCTATATTTAAACAAAAAAAGCCGACAAAATAAAATATTTTAGGAAAAAAAATTATCCAACTATATAAAAGTTCTTGTATTTTAAAGATCCTTTTCAGAATTTTTTATACGTTCTAGATTTTCATATTTTTTTGTTACTTATTTAAGATATTAAGTACTTTTTTTTTAAATCAATTAATTTAATACATTTTTTTATAATTAATTATTTCAATTTTTATAACTTTGTATTTCTATAATTTTCACTAAACGATTTCAAATTGTTTTGAATTTTTATAGAACAAATATTGATTTTTCACATCTTTTGCTTTTTAACTTTTCAATTTTGCCACAATTTACAAAAATACTCAAAAACATTTTTCTAATTACAAATATTTTATTTTCCTTTTTATTATTATATTATTTTTAGTAATGATAATTTTTTTGCATCAAATATTAGATTTGAAATATGGAAATTATTACCGCGTTTGCTATAATTTAAAAGCCTTTTAACACTATCAGGTAAGAAATAATAAAATTAATTTCTCACCTGCGCAATAACAGAAACTACCTGACAACTTTCAGCAACTGAGTACATTTTTCATATTATTATTATTCCACTCAAAGATTTCAAGCTGCCATTGATAAAGAAAAAGGTAAACAAAAAGAACAAAATACAAATCCAACGATATCACTATTGTTCATTTCAATTCATTTCATTAAAAGTTGCCGTTTTGAAACCAGTACTGTCGTTAGCTATTCAAATATTTATTAAATAGATAACCTAACCAACAAAAATTCTAATTATTTTTTAATTCCAGATCAACTGATTTTTCATTTCGTTTTCTTATAGAGGCTGAAAATCCTGATATATAAAAAAACAATTTAGAAGAACAAATTTCACATAAAAAAGTTTGCTACTTTGTGATACAGATGGAAAGTTGTTTTTTGGAAATGTCTAGTTTATACGCTACTATCAAAATAGCTTGTCAAAAAATTATACATAAATGTATTTAGAATGTAATATCCTTTTCCTTTTAACATTTGTATTAAAGTTGAGTTTTTAAGAATATTTATTGAAATAATAATGTATATGTACATGATCTTAGTTGATCCGCATAGTATATACATATATGAAATGCGAATGAGGGAATTGCATTAGGAATTTTGGAGGTGGAAGAAAATAGTGAAGGCAAAATAAGAGTTAGAGGAAAACTCCGATACTACTATAAATTTTATTCTTCTGACATTTAAATTTGCTTTATTAATAAACGAAGTTCATACACATAATTTTCTCATATTAAAAATAAAATTCGATTTTTGAATTTTTACGAATAAAACTCTAAAAGTTTTAACAAAAAAATTTTAAAATGTTAGACAGAAGTTTCTCCGCATACGCATTTCGATTTGTCAATTTTCTCGTGATTCCAATATTTGACTAATAATAAAAACGGCAAATATAAGAACTTTCAAAAAAATTTAATAGTTTAAATGGCTTTAGAATAATTTTTATATTATTAATCACTTCAAAATAAATTTTTAACATTAAAAATTATACTTGAAAACTCAATATTTTTATAGACCTCTTTATGCATAATAATATAGCAAATGAAATGTGAATGCATTAATATATCAATATTCTTGACAATAATGATCAATAGATGGCGCAAATATACTAAAGTGGAGAAATGTCATAAAAGTCTGCGAAACTAGCCAAAATACCACAAAAAATTCTACACAAAGTTTACAAAGGCGAAGCAGCTGAGCAGATAAATAAAAAAAGAAAAAAGTGGAAGAGTGAGCTGGTATAGATGTAAAAAAAGTTTTCTCAGTTGAAAATAATTTTAAAATAAAGGGAAAAAAAATTGAAAAAAAATTTTAAATAATTAAAATCTATAATTTTATATTTTTAAAATTTTAAAAATGATAAAAAATTTATGAATTTCAAGTACAATAAATGAAGGGAAACAAATTTTTATTCGAATTTATAGACTAGGAAGTTTTTTTTAAGTGAAAAAAAGAAGAAAAAATAAAAAGAAAAAATTGTGAAGAAAAGAAAGAAAAAAATTCGAAGGCCAATTTGCATTGTGTCAAAAAACAACAATGAATCAATTACAAAACTGTCAAAATAATATTTGAGAAATAAATAGAAAAAAAAGCCAAAAAAAAATCTATTTTATATAAATAAAATATAAGTAAATAAAATTTAGTTACGAGAAATAAAAAATTTAGAAAAATATTTAAAAGTTCAGTGATAATGGATACAATAACAATTTTCTGAAAAATAACCAACAAACAAGAAAAAATTTATAGATTAATTTTTTTATTTTTCATAAAAATTTTAATTTTTTTAATTCTCTTATAAATAATATATAGAAGAAGGTGTTTTTAATTTTCTTGTTATTTTGTTTTTGTTTTATTTTATTATTTCCTTTTGTTACAAAAAAAAAAAAACAAAAAATAAAAATTTCTATATGATCTTTGTTCCGAGAAAGTAAAGTGAAGGAAAAAGGGCCTTGTAAAAAAACTATAAAAGCTACCTTTTTCGATATCGAATATAATTAAACATAGAAAAAAAAGCAAATAGTTTTCTACATTATATACCCACATAATAATATAAGTACATACATGAATTACATATATAATTATATTTTGGAATAATAAAAAAGAAAAATAAAAAAGTAATCAAGAATTTTTATTGAATTTCAAAGTTTGCTTGCAACTTTGCTCGTGTTTCAGCTGATTCTCTCTCTGCTACACAATATACATACATGTAGGTGTTGTTGGTGACTGGGGGTTTTATTGTGGTGTAAAACAAAGAATCTGAAGGAATACAAAAAAAAAATCTATAAATATTTTAATTATAAACAAGGTAACAACAAAATTTTAATAAAATTTTAAAATTATCTCTTTAAAACTAATATAGGAAATAAAATTTTTTTAATTTTATAATAATAATCATTATGATTCACATTAAAATTACAAAGAATTTAAAATTAAAATGAGAACTGGATATTTATTAAAAAAGTTTACAAAAAAAAACTCAATTGTCATAGGTACACTACACAGTGATAATTTTTGAAAAAGACAGCTGATTATATATGTACACATATATTATAAATATGTATGTTTGTATATTATATATGTACATATCTGTATAAATATCTTTTATTTATTTGTTTTTATTCTCTACCCATTTTTATTCGTATTTGAAATTATTTTTATATCATCCATGATACTTACGAGGAGTAGCTCTATATGTAGCAAATGATTGGAATTTATATATGCGCAATTTATTAATTTAAAATCAAATTAAAAATATTATTTTGTATTTGGAATGAAACAACATTTTTTTTTAAATATGTAAGGTTTTTTTTTTATATTTTGTTAAAAATATTTGAAATGGATGACTGCTCCCCCATCCGTGAACATAATGAAATCAAAAGATCAATTTCGATTTGATGGCATTAAAGTACAAAAAAAAAATGAAGCACATAATTCTAAAAATTTTCTTTAGATTTATAATAAATACTTGCGAATTTTTATGTTTTTAAAAAATAGGTATAAATAATTAAATATTTATTATTAGATACGTATGAATGAATATACTGATATATCTACTCCTTATATACATACATATATTTTCATTAAATTTGTTTTCTACACACATATGTACATACATAGGTAACCAAACTAATAAAAAATAAGCAATAGATGCGAATACGAAATTTTTTTACCATTAGCATAAAATATTTTTCTATTTAATTAACTTAACTCCTTATAATACGAATTTTTATTTTGCTATGAAATTATTAAATTTTTAAGGTTAATAAATATTATTCTTCATAATATATAATTAGGTTTTTATATTTATATGTACATACATAAATACGTACAATTAAATATGCAAAATATTATTTATATGATTATTGTACGCTTATCGATATGTATGAATATATGTATAAAAAACAATGACCTTTAATTTTTTAAGTAATTATGATATATGCGAAAGAAAGACAGAGAAAGAAAGAAGCCAATAAAATGTAAATTATTATAAAAACAAAAATAAATAAAATTTCTGATATCACACAATTAAATTTTTCGTTATTTTAGAGCTAGAAAAATTAAACTCCCTTTTTGTTTTTTTAGGAAGTAAGTACCTACCTACCTCCTACCTACCTAATTAGGTTACTAAATTTTTTATAAATAGAGTTTTTTTTTTGTTTTATAATAAACAATTTATTATATAGGTGCCTATTTTTACTACATTACATACATATTTACTTTTATTTCGCATTTAACCATAATTTTACCATACCTACGAAAAGTAACATTTTACAGTGGTAAACAAAAAACTTCCACTTTAATATTGTTGTACTTGACTACATAATTTCTGAATTTGTATTCTTGTTTTCTTTTCGTTTTTATTTTGTATTTCGTATTTTAAAGCGACGACACAAAGAAATCAAAAACAAAATATTGAATATAAAATAATAATAATAAAAACAAAGAGGGAAAGAGGGAAAAAAACGTAGATAAAAAAATAAATTAAAAAAAAAAAGAAAATATATAACACTTAATGTTGCTTTACATCATATTGCGCAGATTAAAATTTACATGCCTACTCACTTACATACATACATATATACGAGACCAAATATTGTAGTCAAAAAATTAAAAGTATAAGGTAAATGTTACCTACAAGTTATAAGATTAAAAATTATTTTGGAAATTTTTGAATTAATAGTTTTGAGGGAAAAGAAATAAGAATAGGATATCTAAATTTTTAAATTGGAAAAATATATTTAATACTTCAATAAAAATAAAAGAACATATTAAAGATCTTTATAAGCGCAATACTGCAAAACAATATAACTTCGAAATGGTGAAAAATATAAAATTTTGAATATGCAATAAATATTTTTAACCATTCTATAAAATCAAAACCGTTCATATGATTTAACTAATTTCACTAAGCTAACTTTCACTAATATTGTGAAAATTTAGCTTTGTTTATGAATCAAACTATATATGTAAATTAGCAACGTATCCATTCGTTTATGAGCACAAATATAGTGCAATTTTGCGCTATATATTGCGATATAGTGCATTTATGAAAAGGTCTCAAATAAATTAATTGAAAATCAATAATCAAACATTCAATTTTTCATTATTTGAAGTTAATAATAGTTTACTTAAAACTTAAAAAGCAAAATCAACAAACTGCGGTCCATCAATATAAGCAGTCTAAGAATGTAAGATATTTATTTAATTTTTGAATATGCATATTTGTTTATCACATTATACATAGAGGTATATACATCACGTAATTACTGAAATAATCAATTCAATGTATACATATAAAAGCATACTTATATGTATGTACTTATGTAAATACTAAAAGAAAACTTAATTAACTAGAAATAATAAAACAAAATTTGTCATGTTCTTTGTTATCGTTTTTATTTAGTTAAAGACTAGTTAAAATAAATACGATCAAAATGAATATTAATATTCAAAAAATAAAAACTGAAGAGGAAAGAAAAAACGGCAAAACAACTTTTAAAATGCCAATAGTCTAAAGATTTCCCCTATTTTTTGTTATTCTACTATATTATTATATATTCCATATCCCCCATTAATATTATGTAGATTTTTATATACAACATATTTACATTCATACACGTACAAATATATATGTATGTATATGAAAAAAACATAAATTTATTTCAAAAAGAATATTATTATTATGTTCATCTATGCATTGTATATAAGTTAAAACATACATTGTATACAAACATATGTATGTATTTATGCTTCTGCATATACATATGTATAACATAGTATGTGAATAGAAGAAAAAAAAAATCTATAAACTTACATAAATTTTATACAAACATATTCATTTATGTTGAGTTCATTTACTATGAACAAAATAACTAGAGATTTAAATTATGTTAAGAGCACTGGGGACCAAAAAGCAGCACGTTAACTAGTGTAAAAAGAAAATTAGGTCAGAAAAAAATTACTTAAGTTTTGTTTTTTCTTGTTTTTATTTTTGTTCCATACAAACAAACATAAACAAGCTGATAGGTGGGCATAGAGTGGGGGGCTTATGATTTTTTAAAGTTTTTGTTTTGTGTTTTTTGAATACTTTTATTTTTTTTTTCTGGTGTTGTTTGATGTGGTATCTTTCATTTAAAAAAAAATTAAAAAATTTTAAAGTTTTGAAATTTTCGATTGTTTCTTTTTTTTCTGTTGTATTTTTTTTTCTCTTACCTATTTTGATAAAGATTAAAAATATATTCTTATCATAAATTAAGAAAGCAAAAGCAAATGTAGAAAAACAAACGCACAAACAAGAAAATCTGGAATAGACGATATTTTTGTTCTGTTTTTTTGTCCTTCTTGCTTTTTGTTTTTCCTGGTTTACTTTTGAAATATGAAATACAGTGGTGTTCCAACATAACGAACTATATAATGTCGGAGTTATTCTTTATACCATATACGTCGAGACCGTTCAGTTTGTTGAATACATCAGAAATAAGAATCATTGTAATACAAAAATTTGCTGTTCGAAACAAAATTGTTTTCGATATCCACTATATAGAGTAATTAATTCAAAAAATTTAGCTGTTCGTTAAGTACATAATAAAGTTTTGGAACGTTCGTTAAATTGGTTTACCTTATATTATTCGAAAACTTGTTAATATTGGAAAGTTCATTATATTAGAATGCTACTGTAATTCAATTTGCTTTGTTTTTTTGGGTTTTAGAAATTAGGGGGCAAAATTCTCTTTCTTAATATTCTAAATTATTATCAATTATTATTAAACAAACAAGTTTAATTTTAAAGATGGAAATTTTAAAGAAAACAAAATACATAGACCTACATAAACTTATATATTTTACTTTTTAATATTAATTATTGCAATATTTACAAATTAGGCAGAAGATAAAATCTTTGAAAGTAAAAAGAAAAGTATTGTACATGTTTCCAAAAAAAAAATCATTTCATTACGTCATACTTCAACAAATACTTTATATTGGTGTTGTTGTATAACAAGAAATTTTAAAACAAAATCTTTTTTAAAAATGTTTGATATATTGTACGTTCATGTACAGGCCGATACATACATCTCGTTATATTTTTTATCATATTCTAATATACAAATTTTCTTTTGTAAATGCTACATACATATATATACATACATATGTACAAATAAACTATTCAAAATATCAAAAACAACTTTATCAAAAAAGACGACAATAACAATTTCAGAACAGAACTACATTTAATAATTGAGTATTAACACGTTCCCGCCGGCGGCCTAATTTGTAGTTCTCGCCATGTGACGGCGCTGTAAATCCTAGTTTGTTTCATCGGACGGCGCTGCGCTGTTGTGACTTTCTCTCAATGAGAGATATGCGATTACGTTCAGAACAAAGTCACTGATGAAATCTGCTACATGCAATTTTAAAGTAATCGCGCTAATATTTAATATCTTTATTTGATTTTTGATAACGAGAACTTATAGTTATTGTGCTCTTTATTGTGAGATTTTTATGAAAGTAATATATAAGTTATTACAAAATTTTATTTTTATTATTTGCTATTTTTATTACAACCAATTAGAATATCAACTATGGGTACAGAAATGAATGTAGGGAGTGTTATAAAAATTTATCTCAAGAAAAGGGTTCTTCTATAGCTGCAAAAAAAGCTAAAAGAGTGACAACATTTTGTAGTGCTTGTGAAGACAAACCATCTTTGTGCTTACCTTGCTTCAATAAGACTCATGAAAATAAATAATTTTTTTTAATGTAATGAACTACACTAACTAATATATATGTTTTTGTTTAAGCCGCTTAAATAGTTTTAACTAAGATCATTTGCAAACTTTTTTTTCTTTTTCATCATTAAATTATATTTTACGTTTTATCCTTTTCACTTTTTAAGCACTCAAAGTGTGTACTTCATTAACATTTGTAATATTTTGTATATTGTTATTCAATTGTAATTTCAAAATGATATCATCTATGAAATTATGTCGTATTTACATAGGTATGACGCCATCATGAATATGTACATGAATACCTATTATACCTATTAACGGAAAAATTTCTGAAGTAATGGTGATATCATTATTGTTTTTTATTTTTTTTTTTAAGTTTGACAATAAGTGGATGGAACGTTTTTTAAAATTAAGTTTTGACTTTTTCTTATTGATAAATAAATCATATTCATGCCTCACAATAAATTAGGGTGGACCATTTTCAAATCATAATAAAATTCAATATTCTGACATGTGATGCCAAAAGATGTAGCGATTTTCCTAAAATTATTTCGTTTAATAAAAAATGAACAAAGTAGTTTCACACATACCTACCTATAAGTACTTACATTATTAAAAATTACATATTATGTGAAAAATTTGAGTAATATATTGTAGGTAAAAAATGAATCAGAAAAAGAAAAATAATTATCTAAAAGCATTTTTAAATTTTTTATACCTAATATTTTTTATATTACTTCAACAAAAACAAATTTCAAACACATATTTGAATATTTTTATTTTTTTTTCCTTTTTAGGTTTATTTTAGTTCAAATCAGTACAATAAGTAAACAAAATAAAAAAATAAAAAAAAAATGTCTTCACCAAGTGCTGGCAAACGACGTATGGACAACGATGTTATTAAATTAATTGAATCTAAACATGAAGTAACAATATTGGGTGGTCTTAATGAATTTCATGTAAAATTTTTTGGTCCTCATGGTACGCCATACGAAGGTGGTGTTTGGAAAGTTCGAGTTTATTTACCCGATAACTATCCATTTAAATCACCTAGTATAGGATTCGTTAATAAAATTTATCATCCAAATATAGATGAATCATCTGGTACAGTTTGTTTAGATGTTATTAATCAATCATGGACCCCATTATATGATCTATCTAATATATTTGAATCATTTCTTCCACAATTATTAACATATCCGAATCCAGTAGATCCATTAAATCGTGATGCAGCCGCCCTATATTTACATGAACCAGAAGAATATAAAAAAAAAGTATCAGATTATGTACAACGTTTTGCAACAGAAGAAGCATTACGTGCTGCTCAACAAGAACGTGATAGCTCTGATAGTGAATCAAGTATGTCCGATTTTAGTGAAGATGAAGCAAGAGATATGGAGTTATAATATCGGTTTTTTGTTTAAGTTTAAAAATTTGTAATATTGATATAAAATAATGATAATACTTATAAAATATATAATAAAAGAATAAACAATATTTTATTATTATTTTTTAATTAAAACTAATAAACATAAAATAAATACAAACAAAATATATATAAATATATATATATATATATATATATATATATATATATATATATATAATAATTTGAGAAATAAAAATAAAAAAAAAATGTAAAATGAGAAAACAGAATTAATAGTTTGTAAATGTAAAAAAAACAATAAAAAAACCAGAAAAAAACAAAACTTACAAGATACAAAAATATTATACAATGCTAAAAAAAACAAATAATAATTTAAATAAATGAAGAGAAAAAACATATTTTACTAAAGCATGTTTGGAATAATAAATTATGTATAAAAGATACTTATGACATTAAAAATAAAAGCAAATTAATTTTATCATTACTATACACAACAGATAAATAAATAAAACTAAAGCAAAAGAACGAAAATGTTACTTTCATATGCAAATAAATGTTGAATATTTTAAATTTAGTTGAAATATCATTAAATTACATTGTTTTAATTTACATTTGTCATTAATTTACAAAACTTATATTGTTTGCATTATAATAATAATAACATTATAATATATACTTAATTCTCCATATACTGCTTTACATGATAATAGTTTTTAATCAATTCAATTACAAATAAATTACAAAAATATATAAGCAATATTTAATTACACATTTAACTAATTGTGATATTTTTTCATAAAATAACCCTTCAACCCTTGAATTTTCACAACTCCAAATTAAAAATTTTTTTGCTACTTATTCAAATTATTTTCAATATTTTTTCCATTATAACTTTTAAACTCAAAACTTAAGTTTTATATAAAAGTAAAGTTTCAATATTAATTTTTAAACCTACAATCAACATTCTTCACTTTAACATACAAAACGATATTTATGATGGAAAATACCATTTTTATATTATAATATAAATTAAATAACTTTTTTTTCAAGTTGCATATAAAAGTATACATTTTAATTCTTAATTTGTTCATTGTTCTTTTTATTGATTACTAAAATATTTAAATATATTTCTGTTTCTCAATTGTATTCATACTAATATTTAATTTTAAAATTAATATAATTTTAAGATAAGAAAAAAATATAACGCTTTAAAGACATTTTATTCGAAAACAATTTAGAATATATATAATATGCATATAATTGAATTCTTGATGAAAAAATATATTGCAATTTGATAACATAATTTTATAAAATATAAAATTAATAATAACATAGTGAATATTCATTTAAAATATTTATAAAAGTAAAAACGTAATATTAATTTTATCAAAAAGTCATTATTATAATTTATAACAACGATTTAAAAATTAATTACTGTTTTATCCTAGAAAATGGTTTTTATTTGATCTTATAATTATATTAAATATATTTATGAAATAATCTTAAAATAATATTTTTAAATTGAATTAATTTAACATTCTTTTGGGAGCTGATTGGAGTTATTATTTAGTTATAGTTGGAAAAAAATATATAAGAATTATTATAATAAAATGTTTTTCTACAAACGTTAATTTCTATTTAACATTTATATTTGTCAAAAACTAATTAATTAGCCTTTTGAATTTTGTTTTGTCTTTGGCTCCCTCTTAAAATCTAAACATTATTAAATTTTAAGACTACATTCAATATTCATTGCAAATCTCAATAAATAATATTCATTTCTCGTCAAATTATATCTTAATTGACTTATTGATAAAATTGATTTTTACCATAATGAATTAATTATTTAAAAAGCGAATTTTCAATTGTTTTTGAATAAATTGCCATATTAATATACATTTAAAAAATAAAAAAATATATTATTATTAATTATTATTCTCATTTAAAATTCTGCAAAGTGTTTTTAAATTAAATAAAAAAGAAGTAAAGAACGATACGATAAAAAAATATTATTAAAATTTGTTAGCTTTTTATTGATTAAATATTAAAACTTAAAGTAAAAAAAAATAAATGAAATGTTTCTTGATTAAGTAAAATGTAAAAAAAAAAAACAATAAAAAAATAAAAAAAAAAAAACAATTTATATAAAATTAAGGTTTAAATTAATTTTGATTGTTTTATTACAAATTATTTCACATGTTGATGTTTTTTGCAATTTCTTTTTGTCATTTTATTTTTAAAAAATATTTTAACTAAAGTTATAATTTTTAGTAAATAACTGTCAATATTTGATATAATTATTTAAAAATATATAGAAGTTTTGGAATTCAATTACGAAAATTTACAATCTACTTACCCATAAAATAAAATTGTCTTAATGTTAAATCAAAAGAAAAATCATATTTATTAGATAAGTAAGAAAAATAAATTGCTGGTGTTTTTTACTTAAAAACATTAGAAAATTTTAATTTTTCATATAATCTATATTTTAAATACATACATAATTTTGTTTTCTGGCAACATTTAATTTCTGCGAATCCAATATATTAAAATGCGTAAATTGATTTAATAAACTCTAATTTTATTATGAACTATTCAAGATCCAGATCTTATCATTATTAAATTCTGTAAGATATTATCATTAGTATTTGAGAATTATTTTTGTAAGTAAATTTTCAAAAAATAACTCAATTGTATGCAATTTTATGCAATTAAATGAATATTTTTTGAAAATTTCATCAAAAACATACTTTATTACTCAAGTAGATGACAATCTTAAAGCAAAATTTTATTAAATAATTCTATTATATTACATTATTTTCAATAATATTTGCTTTTTATATATTTTGAATAATTATATCAAAAGAGAGAATACAATAAATTTATTTTAAAGCATAACACGATAGTTTCGTTAATAGGAGAAAGAATTTTTAGTATCCTTAATAAAAAACTGATTGTATTTTTTTTTTTGTGGATTTTCAAGACTTTAAATCATTTAAAATAAGTCTGTTGCAAAAAAGTTCAAATTATGTTTTTGAAATAAGTCCTTTTACTGCCTAGAGAAATATATTGAAATTTCAATTCTTGATTTATAATTTTTACAACTTTCAATAGTGCTTTTTGCTTGTCTGTTTATTTTGGAACTCATTTCAAAAAAATTGAATATATTTTGTCTTTTATTTTTTTTTCTCTTTTGATAAATGGCACTAAAAGTTAATACATTTGTAATTGATTTACTAGATTTTAAATGTATTAACATTTTGGAGAACATTTTTTTCAAGAGAAAGAATATTTTTAATTAAAAAATAGTTTCATAATACTTGACCAATTTTATAAGAAGATTACCTATATTCATTAATTCTGTTTTCTATTATGTCTTATAATACAAAAAGAAAAATATTCAACAAAATAAAGCGCCCACAAAACAAAAACGTTCTTTTTAAATTATTTTTAGTCTAAAAATGCAAAAAAAAAAAAACGAAGAACAAGATCACCTTAACACCAAATGAAGAAAAAATTTTTTTTCAAACATAAAAAAAGAAAAAAAAATATATTTAAAAAATCTCTCTTAGTTTAGATTTGTTTAAATTTAATTTTATAAAAACGTGCAACATTTTAATCTAATTGTATATTTGTTCGAATTTTGCTTAATAATAAAATCAAGTTGGATTGGTTATTTATTTTTAAACTTAATAATTGTAATATATAAAATGTTTTCAAATTTTATTTATGTATATTAATTTTCAAATAAATATTTTTATTATTATATACCATATTTTGTATATATTTTATATTGTTAAAACAAAAACACTAAAAAATTTAAGAATTCATGAAATTTAATTTCATTAATACAACAATTTTATTTAAAAAAAAAAAAAGAAAAATAATTCATTTCTTATTATTTGCTTAAAATTTTTTATCGAGTTTTAATTATTATAAAATTTTAAAATATTCTGTGTTTGGGTAGCTTTCATTTTTAGATTTTATCGTGCAATATTATCTAAGGCAAAAAATAAATGAAAGTCATAACATTTTGAATTCTTATTGATGAAGTTGTATGATAAAATTTGAAATATTAAAAGCAACTGTTCAGAAATTAATTATTAAACAAGAAAACAAATTAAAATGAAGATATATATATATAATATAGCAACTTAATTTATATTATTGAGCGAAATTTTATTCTAAAATATATAATGGATTCCGATTAATATTTATATGAGTGTATATAAATTATATGTGTATATTATATAATTACAAAAAAAAAGTTAAGCTTAGGTTTAAGTTACTTAAAAAAAAAAACAAAAATAACAATTATAGTTTAAAAAAAAATGAAAACAAACAAATTTAAATGTATATCTAACATATTATGCTATAAACATAAATAATTTTATTATATAAATGATATATATATATATGTAAACAATTTAAAAGTAAGTCGTTAGTTTAGGATAAAATGGAAGAAAATAACTTAAAAACCTGAATAAAAATTAAAAAAAATGAATCAATAAGTAACACTTGCAATCCAGAATCCTAAAATGGTGCAAAATATATGTATAAAATTTTTAATTCTACTAAAATCTACTTGCTTTTCTTTTTTTTTTTTTTAAAAACAAATATTTTTATTATATTTGGTCTAAATTTTTCATCATTTATGGCAGAATTAGTTTTTGTAAAATTTTGTTTACAAAATTCTAAAAAAGATATCAAAAATGTTTTTTTTTAGTTTATTAAATTGTTTAAGAAGTTTGAATTTCTCGTTCATCAATAAGTCTGTCAATATTAATCAGTTTTCAATATTTCAACAGTTCGATCTTACAAATTCAAATAATTTGTTTTAAATTTTCTTAAAATGTGAAAACTACTAAAACTAGCTATACAGTAACTTATTTCAGATATTTTTTTTAAGTCCAACAAGTATGCAACTATTAACTTTCTTATTATTTTAATAAATTTAAATTTAAATTTTGACAAAGCAAAAAATTAAAAGGGTTTTTGGTTTAAATTTATTACAAAATTTTTATATGTATGTTTTTATTAAAACTATAAATTATTAGATATCGTTTTACTTTATTATCATAAAACTATTTTATTTTTTTTAAAAGCAACATACAAATTATGTACAAGGGTACACTACCAAAAAAAAAATAAATTTTAATTGTTCTATAATTTTCGTTGTAAATTTTAAAAATCATAAAAATATATATCAAAGTATGAACTATAATCTTTATTTGGATAATGAAGAAAACTAAAAAAATATTTTAGAATTCAAAAATTAAAAACAAACAATAACCATAATGCAAAAAATCAATATGTAAAAATGATTTAAGAGCAGTAATAATGTTTATTGTATAAAGTAAATAAAGATGAAACAAAGTAGTGTAATAAGAAAAAACTTGAAATTAACAAAAAAAAAAAGTAGATAAAATACATAGATCAGTTATTGTAGTCACGGAACCTCTAGCCACTGAAATTTAAATGTTTTGTGAAAATTTATAAACCTACCATAAAAATGTACGTGTACATATATTATACATATGTATGTATGTATATGAATGTGTGAACATACATAACAAATTAACAGAATAGGAAATCCAATATTACATTACAATAAAAAAAAATATATATATATATATATACAGATTAACAGAATTTTTTTTTAATTGGAATTTAAATTTTAGAAATGCAGTCAAAATTAAAAAAAAAAATAAGATTAAAAAATGAATATTAAAACTAAGTCTATTAAATTTAAATTATTAAAAAAAGTTAAAAAAAAATGTAAGATTCAAATGAAAATTTTAATAAATAATTTAAAAAAATTAAAAATAATGTTAATGTTATTTGACCTTTATAATTTTTTCTATTATTCGTAGTTCTTTTTCATATTGTTCTTAACTTAATATTTAAAACCTTAATTTTGAATTTAAACCATAAACAATAAATTAATAAAAATCTGTCATTGTACCCATTGTAAGTCATTGTACACTGCGTAAATTTTAAATAGTCATTAATAAAATTAGAGATTTCATAGTGAAATTTATCTACACCTATGGTTTGTCGATAAGTTAAGTGAATTTGTCTTCCAAAATACCATGATTTTTTTAATCGACTTATTAAGGACGAGTTATTGCAATTGTAGCTCACTTCTGTACATAATTGAGCCCTTATTAGTAAAACATCAGAAAGACCCTCCAGAACAGTTTAGCTTAAAAAAAAAGAAGCAGAAATAAGCTGCTAGTACTACACATGAATACTCCGTTTTAATTAATAGAAAAATTAATGGTTAAGTTGAATATTATAAAGAAAAATAAAAGCAGTAAAACTTCGTAAATCAGGGTGAGGTTGCACATACAAACATGTCTTTTTATATTCAATAAAACATTAAACTTTCGTATAACTAAATATTTTATTAAAATAAAAAATTATCCATGCAATTCGGTCTTCCAAGGAATACATGGTGTTTTAAAAATTTCGATTTAAACGCAAAAAATTTTAGTCTCAAATATTGCTTATGATGTTGAATTCTTGCAATTTTAAAATTAAATGAAAGCCAAAAATAAAAACTGAAAACATAATATTTAATTTAAACGACATTCTTTATCTTAATTTTATAATAAAAAAATTGGTAATTCAGTACCTTGCAAAAACTTGATAAAAACTATGCAATTTAATTTAATAATTTTGCCATAATTATCAATAAAAAAAAATAAAAAAAAAAGTACAATGTAACACCTACATTTTAATATTAATGAAAAAAAAAAAAAACAAAACCTAAAAAAATTCAGTAGCTAATGAAAATTTTAATATTTTTAATTCCATTTAGAAACCACATATTTGTCATATAAAATTTATAAAAACTAATTAATTGAAATTGAAAGAGAAGTTATAACTTTAAGTTATTTTTAAATTCAAATGTTCTCAATTCCTTTAATTGTAATCAAATATTCCTGATCTTGCGCTTTTTCAACTTTATCTACCGTAATTATTGAATCTGGATGAATAGCTTCATGTAACTTTTTTATGGAGTTCTCGGAAAGTTTTGGTGGGAGACCTAAAAAAAGTTAGACAATGTATATGATTTTAAATTTAAATAAAATATTAATTTACCTAAGAGAATACAAGTATTAGCGTAACAAGGAAACAAAAATTCCTTAGTCATTTTACGAATTTGTTTAGCATTGGAAAGTTGAATATTTCCAAAATCCAAAAACATTAGATTGAACTCATCATTTGATTCAATTTTAAAACAAAGTGCACGATACCAGTTGTTATCTGCTTTAAAAAGTGTGAAACAAATTTCACCGGGTCTAAAAATTAAACAAAATATACAATTTGTTTTCTTTAAATCTGTTAAAGAGGACTTACATTGGGTAATATTCTTTTTCAATATTATCTCGATGACAATATTTTCCAATTTTAGGTTGTTGTACGACATTTAATTCTTTGTAATATTCCAGATCGTCTATTGCGGCAGTAAAAATTCCGCTTTTTATATCACTTGTATCTAATATTAGTAATCGAATATTTTCACCAGCTTTCAAAGACACAGTTTTGAGGTCGCTTAATTTATATATTTTGTTTTTACCAGAATCATTCAATGGTAAATTTTTTTTTTCTGGGTTTGAAGTCGATATTACTCCTGGTTTCAATGTTTCGTTTTGTGCAGGTTTTATTTCATTAAAATCATCCTTTTCATCCACTTTTTCATATAATTCTGATATTAGCATCTTATTTAAAGATTTTGTCTTTTCATGGTCCAAAAATAATTCAACTAAATCCTTTTCCCATTCAAAGATAAGAATTTGTCTGTCTTTGTTAAGTTTTTTTAGGGTCTCAATTGCTCTATTTGATTCATGTCCGGTTTTCATCAAATTTAGTATATAAAGGGAAACTTTTCGTGTAATAAGTGGACAAAATTTCACGAAATCTGACGCTTGTCTTATATTATGTGAGCTCACTTGATATAAACATTCGGATTCACTATGCAAAACTTCGTATTTGGAATCATTAATGATTGAAACGATGTTGCCACGAATATATTTCGTTACATGTTCAGGTTTGAATAAAATTGTATCCCCAATATTATATTTTACTTTCGATTGTGGGGCTTCGATAGATTCACCAATTTCATTGAAAATGTTTTCATAATATGAAATTAGTACTTCTAAGCTTAAAGTTAATGTTGAGTAATCTATTATTCTACTGATGTAAACTGTATTACCAGACCTGAACGGATAAGTCTTGAAAAATAAAAATTAACAAAAGTTAATTTTTTCCGTATATAATTTAAAAAGCTCTATTTAAAAAAACTTACATAAGTATCAAATCCCATAAAGTTCTTGTAATTTCCGTCAAAATTCGTTAAAGATACTATACCTAGCTCTGAATTTTCAGCAAATATAGAACATTCTAGTATTTCACAGTTAGATGAACCTCCCTGAAGCTTACAAATTAGAGTAATTGACTCCTCTGCATAAAGCAAAATATCTTTTTTGTTTTTAATTTTGCTGAAATCTATGCAAACAGTTGAACTAGGAATTACTCTGAAATCTTCAGGTAACCTCTTAATATTTTGAACAATTTTAAGTTCACCATCGTCGATAAAAAGAACAAGGTAGTCCTGGTTATGATTACCAACGACTAATCCTCTTCGCCAGTTCTTCGGCTCAAACTCTGCTGCTATATATGAACCTTCTGCAACACTAGTTTCCAAAATACTGTAATAATTTGATTTACTGTCATCATTCAAAATTTTACTTAAGCCCAACAAATTTTTCACATTTTCCTCGTCTTGTGTGATAATACCAAAAGCTTTGTTGCTGTTTATATTAAGTCTATGAAAAGCTTTCATAACAAATTCATCTTTTAAGGTTGATAAAACACTTGTCTTGGTTATATCAAATGACTTTGCCAATTTTCTCACATCACAAGATTTTGTGTTTTCGTAATTTGCAATTTCCATTTTTTCAATGCACATTTCTTCAACCGAAAAAAGATTATTGCTCAAATTCTTTGAAACTTTAATTTTGATCGATTCTCCAATTTTTACTTTTTTTGGGTACTTAATGGCAAAAGCCATTGCTGGGAAATTTTTTACTATAGCGTTAGGTTTTTTACACTTTTTGTATTGGACAAAAAACTCGTTACCATAATCCAATAATCGAACTTTAATTTCGTCAAATGGATTTATTTCTACAATAACTATTGCCCGGTAATATAAATCTTAAAAAGTAAGCGTAAAATAGAAATTAAAATGAAATTCATAATTTGAACTAATACCTTCAAATGGCGCAATTACTAATGATTCATAGCATACATCATCCTTAGAAACATTTTCGAGAAAATTAACATTATGATTCGTTTCAGAAAGAAGTTTCATAGCATCTTTATTCCAATCCTCATCTGACACCCATACCACATTATTTTTATGATCTGCATATTGCACTATGGCATTGAAATAACCATTTGGATATGATCTTAATGTTTTCCAAATTTTTTTAGAACGATGTAACAAACCATTTGTGGCAATGCTTGAATAGGACGATTTTTCGTCAAAAATTGTTTCTTCTGTATTTTCTCTTTGGATTTCTATTGATTTCAGTGAACTTAATGCAATGCTCGTTTCTTTTGCATTTTTATCTACGTTATCCTTGACTTGTTGTTTATTTGAATAAATACCACATTTTTCCATATTTTGTTGATTCTGACTAGCAACAACTTCAGAATTTAACTCAGTCTTCGAAGCTTCAGTTGAAAATTTTTGATTACCATAAGGTAATCGCATTTGCGTTATATTTAAATTAACATTTTGTCGCGATAATCGTTTTTGTGATTCTACTTCGATGCTAGAGATATCCATCAAGGATTTTTTCATGTATGACTTGCTGGTTTTGATCAAAGCCCTACATCTCAAAATGATTTCATGATTAAACATAGTAGAAAGAACTAGATGTAGGTATACATAGGTATGTACTAGATACATAGCATTTAATACTTATTACCAAAGTATAATTGAACATACACTTATAACTGGTGTACCCATATACCTACTTGTATATTTTTGTTTAAATTTTCGAAAAATATTTGTGTATACTTACGGCATTGCTACACAAAAAAATTTATGATTTTGCCAATCAGCAGTTTGGCACTCTGCTGAACAATAGAATTCTCGACATCTCTGACACTGTAACGTTGCTGATCCTCGGCAGAAAGCGCAATTTTCCATTATATTTTAGATGAAATTAAGTTCCGATACAGATGCCCGCAGCCTGATTGGTAATAAGAATAACAAAAACTTTGATTTTATGAATTATGAATTATAAAATAACAGTTATGATAGTGTGCTGCCAGTTCCATAAACTAATAATAGTGCTCCTATTCAAGCAGTAAGCACAAACACAACAATTTTTCCTTATTTCCAATAACAGCTGTTAATTCACAATTCTACGTGTTGAATTTAAATTGTGTTCAGACATCAAATGAAATATAGCACAAATTTTTTTTAATGTTATTTAGACTTTTGTTAAAGTTGATATGAAACATTTTATTTTTTCTAAATTCACATTCTGTCATTCAAATATTCCTAACAGCATTCAAAGCTCAATGCTGATGGGAAAGTTTGTGAAAATCATTTTGTAAAATTTTTAATGTTCTTCTATTGTGAATTAAATATTAATAGTTGTTGCCGGTTAAACGTCATTTTGACATTTCGTTAAGAGCGAAATTTTGTTAAAATTTCTCATTGCAGTGTGCTACTCATAATTAAAAAAAAAATTTAGTGAATCATTAAACTTATAGAAACATAAGCAAAACTGAAAACAATTTGCGAAAATATAATGGCAGATTGGGCAAAAAAAGCCGAAGATCAGGAAATATCTAAGTTAGTTGATAAACTAGATTTGGAAGGAGCAAAGACTGGAACAAGCGATGAAGCGAACAAAGACGTATTCACACCACCTGCTTCTGATGAATCTAAGAAGAAAGGAGAAAAATCTGATAATAATGACTTAAATTCACGTGAAACTGCTACAACATCTGAAGAAACAGCATCAAACGAGGAGGCACAAGATATTGCTACTCCAGCCGAAACAAGTCTTTTGATGAAAATTATTCGTAAGGGTGTAGTTGAGACCAAACTAGATTTAGAAATTCAACGTAAAGATCCTACTTCACCTTTATATTCGGTGAAAAGTTTTGAAGCATTACATTTAAAACCTGAACTATTAAAAGGTGTTTATGCTATGGGCTTTAATGCACCTTCGAAAATCCAAGAAACAGCGTTGCCAACTTTGTTAGCTGACCCTCCACAAAATATGATCGCACAAAGTCAATCTGGTACTGGTAAAACAGCTGCCTTTGTTCTAGCTATGTTAAGCAGAGTTGACACATCTCTTAATTATCCACAAGTAATTTGTCTTTCACCGACATATGAATTAGCAATTCAAACAGGTGAAGTAGCAGCAAAGATGGCTAAATTTTGTCCTGAAATCAAACTTAAATATGCAGTCCGAGGTGAAGATCTGTACCAAGGTTAATTTATTTGAAATATATTTGGTTAACTTTTTAAAATTTGAGTTAGGTACCTACCTACGTAGATATAAATGCTTAGAAAAAGATATACCAGATCTAATAGAATTTTGTTCTTAAACTTTTGTTAACTTTAAGGTAAGATAAACGAGCACATATTAATTGCAACTCCAGGAAAAATAATGGATTGGGGCCTAAAATTCCGCGCATTTGATTTGAAAAAAATTCGTGTTTTTGTCTTAGATGAAGCGGATGTTATGATTGCATCTCAAGGTCATCATGATCAATGTATAAGAATTCACAAACAGCTGTCGAAGCAGTCTTGTCAAATGATGTTTTTCTCAGCTACCTACGAAAAAGATGTTATGGAATTTGCACAGTATATTGTTCCAAATCCAATTATTATTCGACTGAAACGAGAACAAGAGTCGTTAGATAACATAAAACAATATTACGTTAAGTGTAAGAATCAAGAGGAAAAATATCAGGCGATTCAGAATATATATGGCAGTATAACAATTGGTCAAGCTATAATATTGTGTCATACAAGAAAAACAGCTGGCTGGTTGGCCGGTAAAATGTCTTCAGATGGTCATTCCGTTGCGATTTTGTCAGGAGATTTAACAGTTGAACAACGTTTAGCAGTTTTAGATCGTTTCAGAGCAGGCTTGGAAAAAGTGTTAGTGACAACTAATGTCTTTTCAAGGTGTATCGATGCTGAGCAAGTCACCATTGTGGTAAACTTTGATTTACCAATGGATGCTAGAGGTAAAGCAGATTGTGAAACTTATTTGCATCGAATCGGGCGTACTGGACGTTTTGGAAAAATTGGTATAGCTATAAAAAAGTTAGACAATGTATATGATTTTAAATTTAAATAAAATATTAATTTACCTAAGAGAATACAAGTATTAGCGTAACAAGGAAACAAAAATTCCTTAGTCATTTTACGAATTTGTTTAGCATTGGAAAGTTGAATATTTCCAAAATCCAAAAACATTAGATTGAACTCATCATTTGATTCAATTTTAAAACAAAGTCCACGATACCAGTTGTTATCTGCTTTAAAAAGTGTGAAACAAATTCTATGAATGAAAAAGTGTGAAACAAAAATGAAATCACCGGGTCTAAAAATTAAACAAAATATACAATTTGTTTTCTTTAAATCTGTTAAAGAGGACTTACATTGGGTAATATTCTTTTTCAATATCATCTCGATGACAATATTTTCCAATTTTAGGTTGTTGTACGACATTTAATTCTTTGTAATATTCCAGATCGTCTATTGCGGCAGTAAAAATTCCGCTTTTTATATCACTTGTATCTAATATTAGTAATCGAATACTTTCACCAGCTTTCAAAGACACAGTTTTGAGGTCGCTTAATTTATATATTTTGTTTTTACCAGAATCATTCAATGGTAAATTTTTTTTTTCTGGGTTTGAAGTCGATATTACTCCTGGTTTCAATGTTTCGTTTTGTGCAGGTTTTATTTTATTAAAATCATCCTTTTCATCCACTTTTTCATATAATTCTGATATTAGCATCTTATTTAAAGATTTTGTCTTTTCATGGTCCAAAAATAATTCAACTAAATCCTTTTCCCATTCAAAGATAAGAATTTGTCTGTCTTTGTTAAGTTTTTTTAGGGTCTCAATTGCTCTATTTGATTCATGTCCGGTTTTCATCAAATTTAGTATATAAAGGGAAACTTTTCGTGTAATAAGTGGACAAAATTTCACGAAATCTGACGCTTGTCTTATATTATGTGAGCTCACTTGATATAAACATTCGGATTCACTATGCAAAACTTCGTATTTGGAATCATTAATGATTGAAACGATGTTGCCACGAATATATTTCGTTACATGTTCAGGTTTGAATAAAATTGTATCCCCAATATTATATTTTACTTTCGATTGTGGGGCTTCGATAGATTCACCAATTTCATTGAAAATGTTTTCATAATATGAAATTAGTACTTCTAAGCTTAAAGTTAATGTTGAGTAATCTATTATTCTACTGATGTAAACTGTATTACCAGACCTGAACGGATAAGTCTTGAAAAATAAAAATTAACAAAAGTTAATTTTTTCCCTATATAATTTAAAAAGCTCTATTTAAAAAAACTTACATAAGTATCAAATCCCATAAAGTTCTTGTAATTTCCGTCAAAATTCGTTAAAGATACTATACCTAGCTCTGAATTTTCAGCAAATATAGAACATTCTAGTATTTCACAGTTAGATGAACCTCCCTGAAGCTTACAAATTAGAGTAATTGACTCCTCTGCATAAAGCAAAATATCTTTTTTGTTTTTATTTTTGCTGAAATCAATGCAAACAGTTGAACTAGGAATTACTTTGAAATCTTCAGGTAACCTCTTAATATTTTGAACAATTTTAAGTTCACCATCGTCGATAAAAGGAACAAGGTAGTCCTGGTTATGATTACCAACGACTAATCCTCTTCGCCAGTTCTTCGGCTCAAACTTTGCTGCTATATATGAACCTTCTGCAACACTAGTTTCCAAAATACTGTAATAATTTGATTTACTGTCATCATTCAAAATTTTACTTAAGCCCAACAAATTTTTCACATTTTCCTCGTCTTGTGTGATAATACCAAAAGCTTTGCTGCTGTTTATATTAAGTCTATGAAAAGCTTTCATAACAAATTCATCTTTTAAGGTTGATAAAACACTTGTCTTGGTTATATCAAAAGACTTTGCCAATTTTCTCACATCACAAGATTTTGTGTTTTCGTAATTTGCAATTTCCATTTTTTCAATGCACATTTCTTCAACCGAAAAAAGATTATTGCTCAAATTCTTTGAAACTTTAATTTTGATCGATTCTCCAATTTTTACTTTTTTTGGGTACTTAATGGCAAAAGCCATTGCTGGGAAATTTTTTACTATAGCGTTAGGTTTTTTACACTTTTTGTATTGGACAAAAAACTCGTTACCATAATCCAATAATCGAACTTTAATTTCGTCAAATGGATTTATTTCTACAATAACTATTGCCCGGTAATATAAATCTTAAAAAGTAAGCGTAAAATAGAAATTAAAATGAAATTCATAATTTGAACTAATACCTTCAAATGGCGCAATTACTAATGATTCATAGCATACATCCTCCTTAGAAACATTTTCGAGAAAATTAACATTATGATTCGTTTCAGAAAGAAGTTTCATAGCATCTTTATTCCAATCCTCATCTGACACCCATACCACATTATTTTTATGATCTGCATATTGCACTATGGCATTGAAATAACCATTTGGATATGATCTTAATGTTTTCCAAATTTTTTTAGAACGATGTAACAAACCATTTGTGGCAATGCTTGAATAGGACGATTTTTCGTCAAAAATTGTTTCTTCTGTATTTTCTCTTTGGATTTCTATTGATTTCAGTGAACTTAATGCAATGCTCGTTTCTTTTGCATTTTTATCTACGTTATCCTTGACTTGTTGTTTATTTGAATAAATACCACATTTTTCCTTATTTTGTTGATTCTGACTAGCAACAACTTCAGAATTTAACTCAGTCTTCGAAGCTTCAGTTGAAAATTTTTGATTACCATAAGGTAATCGCATTTGCGTTATATTTAAATTAACATTTTGTCGCGATAATCGTTTTTGTGATTCTACTTCGATGCTAGAGATATCCATCAAGGATTTTTTCATGTATGACTTGCTGGTTTTGATCAAAGCCCTACATCTCAAAATGATTTCATGATTAAACATAGTAGAAAGAACTAGATGTAGGTATACATAGGTACACTGACTCAAAAAATTGTCCGTACGGTAATGTTTAAAAAATAAATCAAGCAAAAAGTGTGTGATGCCAAATGTTTACAGTTATTAATTGATATGTATTTTAATCAGTACAAGTAATACTAACTTATTTATAATAATTTTTTTATACATTTAATTCCAATCATAAAATGTAACGGTAATAACACAAAATGGTACAAGTTTTAGCTCAAAATCTCCGTACGCCAATTTTTTTTACAAAAATTCTCATAAAAAAAAATTTTGAATGGCATAATTAGGTGATTCCCCTTTCTGATAGCAACAATAAATATTGTTTGCAAAGTTTTTATTAATATGCGTTTCATTTAAAAACAAATTCGCAAGTAAGCAAACGTAATTAGAAATTTGAAAAAAAAATGTCAACTTCTTATAAAAAAATTCCTATAGAAACTAAAAAATTAATAGTACGGTTATAGAAAGAAGGTAAAAGCTTGTCAGAAATATCAAATTTAATTGGAAGACCCAAATTATCTATGCAATATGTTATAGACAACTACAAAAAAACGAAAAGTTTTGAAATAGTTAGTGGAAGAGGCCGAAAAACGATCTTAACACCCTACTTAAAACGAATAATTAAAAAAAAATTCAAGAAGAACCATTAATTAGCGCTGTAAAAATAGCTACAAAGCTTTCTGTGACGGAAAAAGTTGAAATAAACCCACAAACAATTAGAAATTACCTTCATTCAATAGGGTATAATGCACGTATTGCTCGAAAAAAGCCCTTTATATCAAAACAAAATGCTGCGAAACGTTTAATTTACGCCAAGGAATATGTAAAAAAACCTGATGAGTTTTGGGATAATGTAATAATTATAGATGAATCGAAATTTAATATTTTTGGGTGTGACGAGCGTCGTTTTGTTTGGCGTAAACCTAATACCGAATTTGGCAAAAAAAATTTGAAACCTACGGTTAAACATGGGGGAGGAAATGTTATGGTTTGGGCAGCTATGGGGACAAATGGAGTTGGAAACTTAGAGTTTGTTGACACTACAATGGACAAGTACCTATATTTGGACATTTTGAAAAGAAATTTACGAGAAAGTGCGTCAAAATTGGGAATGGCGAATGATTTTTTATTAGTTCAGGACAATGATCCGAAGCATTCCTCGTTGCTAGTTAAAACCTGCCTGCTTTATAATGTCAAATCGACACTTCCGCATCCTCCCCAATCACCAGATCTGAACGTAATTGAACACCTTTGGGATGTTTTGGGCAAAAAATTATCAGAAAGATCCATTAAAAATAAAAATGACCTTAAGAACGCAATAGTAGAAGAATGGCAAGCAATCTCGCCAGACATTACCAAAAAATTGGTGAAATCCATGAAGAACCGTTTACTTCAAGTTATAAAAGCTAAAGGATACCACACAAGTTATTAACAACTTTGTTTTGAATTATTGTTATCACCGTACGGAGAATTTTTTGAGTTAAATTTTGTACTATTTTGAATTATTTATGTTTTTTTTCGTATTTAATAAAGAATTTAAAAATAAGTTTTTATGAGATAGTTTTGTACATGTTCATTTATTAAAATTAATAAATAATAACATCTAAAAATATTTTGCATTATACGTTTTTTATTCAATATATTTTTTTAATATAACCGTACGGACAATTTTTTGAGTCAGTGTATGTACTAGATGCATAGCATTTAATACTTATTACCAAAGTATAATTGAACATACACTTATAACTGGTGTACCCATATACCTACTTGTATATTTGTGTATACTTACGGCATTGCTACACAAAAAAATTTATGATTTTGCCAATCAGCAGTTTGGCACTCTGCTGAACAATAGAATTCTCGACATCTCTGACACTGTAACGTTGCTGATCCTCGGCAGAAAGCGCAATTTTCCATTATATTTTAGATGAAATTAAGTTCCGATACAGATGCCCGCAGCCTGATTGGTAATAAGAATAACAAAAACTTTGATTTTATGAATTATGAATTATAAAATAACAGTTATGATAGTGTGCTGCCAGTTCCATAAACTAATAATAGTGCTCCTATTCAAGCAGTAAGCACAAACACAACAATTTTTCCTTATTTCCAATAACAGCTGTTAATTCACAATTCTACGTGTTGAATTTAAATTGTGTTCAGACATCAAATGAAATATAGCACAAATTTTTTTTAATGTTATTTAGACTTTTGTTAAAGTTGATATGAAACATTTTATTTTTTCTAAATTCACATTCTGTCATTCAAATATTCCTAACAGCATTCAAAGCTCAATGCTGATGGGAAAGTTTGTGAAAATCATTTTGTAAAATTTTTAATGTTCTTCTATTGTGAATTAAATATTAATAGTTGTTGCCGGTTAAACGTCATTTTGACATTTCGTTAAGAGCGAAATTTTGTTAAAATTTCTCATTGCAGTGTGCTACTCTATCCACTACTAAAGCATAATTAAAAAAAAAAATTTAGTGAATCATTAAATTTATAGAAACATAAGCAAAACTGAAAACAATTTGCGAAAATATAATGGCAGATTGGGCAAAAAAAGCCGAAGATCAGGAAATATCTAAGTTAGTTGATAAACTAGATTTGGAAGGAGCAAAGACTGGAACAAGCGATGAAGCGAACAAAGACGTATTGACACCACCTGCTTCTGATGAATCTAAGAAGAAAGGAGAAAAAACTGATAATAATGACTTAAATTCAAGTGAAACTGCTACAACATCTGAAGAAACAGCATCAAACGAGGAGGCACAAGATATTGCTACTCCAGCCGAAACAAGTCTTTTGATGAAAATTATTCGTAAGGGTTTAGTTGAGACCAAACTAGATTTAGAAATTCAACGTAAAGATCCTACTTCACCTTTATATTCGGTGAAAAGTTTTGAAGCATTACATTTAAAACCTGAACTATTAAAAGGTGTTTATGCTATGGGCTTTAATGCACCTTCGAAAATCCAAGAAACAGCGTTGCCAACTTTGTTAGCTGACCCTCCACAAAATATGATCGCACAAAGTCAATCTGGTACTGGTAAAACAGCTGCCTTTGTTCTAGCTATGTTAAGCAGAGTTGACACATCTCTTAATTATCCACAAGTAATTTGTCTTTCACCGACATATGAATTAGCAATTCAAACAGGTGAAGTAGCAGCAAAGATGGCTAAATTTTGTCCTGAAATCAAACTTAAATATGCAGTCCGAGGTGAAGATCTGAACCAAGGTAAATTTATTTGAAATATATTTGGTTAACTTTTTAAAATTTGAGTTAGGTACCTACCTACGTAGATATAAATGCTTAGAAAAAGATATACCAGATCTAATAGAATTTTGTTCTTAAACTTTTGTTAACTTTAAGGTAAGATAAACGAGCACATATTAATTGGAACTCCAGGAAAAATAATGGATTGGGGCCTTAAATTCCGCGCATTTGATTTGAAAAAAATTCGTGTTTTTGTCTTAGATGAAGCGGATGTTATGATTGCAACTCAAGGTCATCATGATCAATGTATAAGAATTCACAAACAGCTGTCGAAGCAGTCTTGTCAAATGATGTTTTTCTCAGCTACCTACGAAAAAGATGTTATGGAATTTGCACAGTATATTGTTCCAAATCCAATTATTATTCGACTGAAACGAGAACAAGAGTCGTTAGATAACATAAAACAATATTACGTTAAGTGTAAGAATCAAGAGGAAAAATATCAGGCGATTCAGAATATATATGGCGGTATAACAATTGGTCAAGCTATAATATTTTGTCATACAAGAAAAACAGCTGGCTGGTTGGCCGGTAAAATGTCTTCAGATGGTCATTCCGTTGCGATTTTGTCAGGAGATTTAACAGTTGAACAACGTTTAGCAGTTTTAGATCGTTTCAGAGCAGGCTTGGAAAAAGTGTTAGTGACAACTAATGTCTTGTCAAGGGGTATCGATGTTGAGCAAGTCACCATTGTGGTAAACTTTGATTTACCAATGGATGCTAGAGGTAAAGCAGATTGTGAAACTTATTTGCATCGAATCGGGCGTACTGGACGTTTTGGAAAAAGTGGTATAGCTATAAATTTGGTAGATTCTGAAAAATCGATGAAAATATGTCAAGCTATTGAAAATCATTTTAAGAAGAAAATTGCCTTATTAGACGCAGATAATACTGATGAAATCGAAAAAATTGGATCGTAAAATTTTTAAATTTTCAGTGTTAAGTTTCCTTTAGCATATATATTTTAATTTTAAGAAGTTATTAGATCTCATGAAAATTTTTATCATAAATTTTAATAAATTAAGTGAAAATTAATTTCCATGATATTATTTTATATTATCCGTTCGATTATTTGAAACTTTTTTAGATTTTTTTCAAAGGAGTAGCAATAATTTTTACTGTACAATAGAAATAAATTGATAATTAACTTTAAATATCATGAGATTTAAAGCTTCGTTATACAAACGCATACATTTCTTTAAATTAGTTTTCATACTCTATATTAAATCTTTATTAATTTTCCATTTTTTTTATTGTAAAAAGTAAATAATTTGACAATTAATACTTAGTTGTTATAGAGAAAAAATAAATGTTAAGATTCTGTTGTAAATCCATTAAATCAAAACTATATTTTTGGTACTTATAATTCGATAAGCTTAAATTCATATACTTTACCGAATAATATAATAAGAATCAAATAAAGAAGATAAATAGTCTTGCTATGGAAACATTATCATTTATAAAATATACATAAGTATCTACACTAGCTAAGTTAAATGTCCAAACTGTAAGTTCGTTGTTAATATTTTAATTTCGTTTTCATGATATCAATAATGACAACACAATTCAATAAAAACCAATTTATATAAAAAAAATAGTTAAATTTTTGTCTCAAATTAGTTTCATTCCATCATGTATTTTCTGGAATTGTTTAAAATAATAATGTATGTACACTTTGTAAAACACATAAAATTTACAAAAATTGTCAAACTTTTATTTTTTCATCACTTAATCATAATTTTCTCAATAATTTATTCATTCATAATTCTACAAATCACTATCAACATAGGCTTCCATAAAATCAAATAGCACGTCTGTAGCTCTTCGTGGAAATAATCTACTTAAACGGTGTAGATACAAGAAACGATTTGGAATTGCAAATTCTTCAATACCACGTCTTTGTGCTTTAACAATTGCTTCTGCTGCTTCTTCTTGAGTAACTAATCTCATAAAGTTCGGGAATTTAATCTTTGGTCTCTTACATAATCCTGTATCAACCATATATGGATAAATTGTTGTAAATTTAATCTTGAAAAGGTAAAAAGAGTGTTTAATAAACATTCGTTTAACTATAATTTAAGAACATACATTTAAATTTCTTGGATCATGTCTAAGTTCTTCTACTAACGATAACATTAAACCTTTAACTGCAAATTTAGATGCACAGTACGGCACTAAATTTCTCAATCCAAATAAACCAGCACAAGAAGATAATGCAACAATGTGTCCATGGTTATTTGTAATCATATCAGGTAGATATGTTTGAATAAGCTGCAAATAAAATAAGTTTTAAAGTTAATTGTATAATTAAATTCATATATTAAATATTTCATTACCCAAAAGTGTGCCATTACATTAATTTCAAACATTTTTCGAATTTCACCATCTGTATGTTGTAATAGGGAATGACATGGCATGATTCCGGCATTATTCACTAAAATTGATACAGTTCCAACTTCATTTTTTATTTTTTCAGCAACTTGAATAATATCATCCCGTTTCAAGACATCGCATCTTGAAAAACGATTAAATTTAAATAGATAGTCATAGTATAAAATTTATTATTCTTTTTTGGTTAATAAATTTATTTTAATATTAAATCCATTTGGTATTTTTTATCAGATTTTACAATCATTGATAATGTGTACATTTTCGAAAATAATAATACTTACACATAATGATGAGCATTTCCACCACGACTTTGAATTTCTTTAACAGTCTCTTTATTTAATTTCTCATTGATGTCTAAACAAACAACAGTAGCTCCCAGACTAGCATATTTCAAAGCAGTTTGTTTTCCTATACCATGAGCTGCTCCAGTAATCTTAACCGTTGAATAAAATAAAATAATTATTCCTGAATATTTTCAAAAGTTTCAATAAATTACCAGAACTATTTCACCTTTAACATCTTCTTCTCTTGGAAAAATCATAAAGAATATATGTTCCAAAATATAATAAAAAAATTTCAAATGAATTAAAATATATTCTAAGATTGTTAACAAGACATTGTAAATCTGATGCGATGAGCTTGATCCATCACCATTTGTTGAATAAGATCTAAAAAGAAAAAGGAAAACATAAAAAGAATCTTATGAAAGAATCTTTTGTACCAAAACAAAATTAATCTCAATTGGATGGTCGTAATTTTACATTTATTATTTAGCATAGTTTCTTCGAAATCTTTGCTTTTCAGGCTAAATTCTTAACATTTCAGGATAGGTTATCAAAAAAATATTTTTTTTATTTTATTTTTATTCAATTTTTTTTTATGGTTATTCAAAATGAAAAATATGTACGTTATTATATATTAAATGTATATATGTATATAAACTTTCTGTCTTATCATACCACTTTTTCAAAATATCTTTCAAGTGTTCATGTATATAACGAATAAAAAATAGAATTAAATAGTATTGATTTCAATATTTGATATTACGATTTCTTTTTATAAAACATGATAAAAGTCTAAGGATTAAAGTTCATTAAATATTTTTCAGCTGTGAATCAATCTTTTAATGAATATTTACTTAATTAAAGTTTAAATTTTATAAAATTTTCTATTTTAAGATTATTGTATTTCATTATCAGTACCAATATCACAATTATTAGATTAAATTTCACATTAAAATAGAGAAATACATTATTATTACTATGGCAAAATAATCATATACAGTAATATTATGTACAAGATAATGTTAATTGCACTCACTAGCAGTTCAAATCTGCTAATCTACTATATATTAATCGTAGATGATTATACATAGGTTTCTATTATTTTTAATTTACTAACATCCAAAAAATTTTTCATTTTTCCATAGAAACGAAAAATTGGTACTTAAATTTCCTACATTTTAACGAAAATTAATTTAGTATATGAAAATCTTTTTTTGCGGTTTGCTTTGTAGATATTTATAGATTGGATATAGTGAATACTAGAATTAAAAAAATGGAAAGAAACTACTTAAAATACTGTATAATCTAGAAGGGATTGAACGTTCTCCATAAAGTATATAGGAAAAATTAAAGAAAAGATCTAAAGTTAAAGATTTTTTCATATAAAATACTTTTAAAATAAAATTCTATTTAACCTCAACATCACGAAGGAATTGAAGCACTTTTAAATAAATAAAAATCAAAAAATAATTATAATTTTTTGAATTTATAGATTTTATTTAGACCTTTAGTAGGTTTTAAGGAACAAATGTTTAATGACTTAAATTCAAACTCAAGAAACTGGACAAAATTCTATAAAAGAGATTTAAAGTTTCAAAAAATTTTGTAGGAAAAATATCGTGTTAGACAAAACTAAAAAAATAAAAAAAAAAAAAGAGAAAAATTTGATTTTTTCTAAAATTAGAACGCTTTGTATTCCGAAACTTTATAAAATACTAAGTCAAGAAACATACTGCTTTCAAGTTCTTTCCCTTTTAAAAAGTATTTTTTTAAAGAATCTGTATTTTTTATTGAAAGAAAGTTATTAGCGAAAAAACTTATCTTAAAATCCCTGTAACTCGGAAACTATTTTCATATGCGTGTAGTTTACAGTCCCTGATGTATTCAATAATTATTTAAACATGATAAAAACTTGAATGAAGCAATGCACCATTATTTTTTATTTTTCAATTACCATGTTTTACCAATACATATTATTATTGGATTTATTTCTAGGAAATGAATCACATTTAAAATTTATTCTTCTGATTTAATAATATCTTTTATTACGTGTAATTAAAAAGTGTAAACATATTTATTTTTACTTTTAATAAAAAAAAAATTTATATCGTTTTTTTTAAACTAGTTTTAAAGAACTTTTAGTACAGTTTTTTTTATAATTTGAATTTCTGCTAAATTCTGTATACCAACATACAAACTTAATATTTTATGAAGAAAATTTGTAAAGAAAAAAAATAAAAGGAGAAAATAAAAGTTTGACCCTTGACTTTGAAAACTTGAAATAATTTTGATAGTAATTATAATACTGAAAGTAATTCTATATTATTTTTTTACAAAAATTATGCGTACAACCTATATAAAATAATTTCATCTTAAATTTAATAATAATTCTGTCATAATAAATTGTGCAATAATTTTTCATAATCAATTTTCTAATACCTAAACATATTAATCAAGTTATTATAAGCATGCAATAATTTTTAAAGAATATGCGCATTTCATTATTTATTAATTAAAAGGCATAATATTAATAAATAATAATTTATAATCGATAAACTTTACTGTTTGAAAATTATTGCATTTATTGCAGGTATTTATTGTTAATATTCCATGCAGAATTAAAGTCTACTTTTTATATGATAATTATTGTAATTACAGATACGACATTTAGACATGTACAAAGTACAGACGTACAAAACCGTTATATCAAAAGGAATATTGTATTGTCATATCCATTGTAAAATAACAAGTTTTCATACTAGAGCTAAAACGTAATTTTTTATTCTTATAGAACTTGTTGAATCTATAATTTTATACCAATTATAACAGTTTTTTTTTAATTCATTTAATAAGAGTGATTTTTTATTATTTAATGATAAATTTTAGTGATTTATTATGCGTGATTGTTTAATGTCGAATATTTCTAATATGACTTAGGAAAATTTTCGTCCTAAAACTAATATACTGCTCGTTAAAATTAATATACGTACAATACACCATGCTCATAAGTCATAATATTTCGAATAATTTTGTGATAGAGGTGTGATAAATATTTTTATACACTTGTACCAAAGATTTTATTAAAATTGCACTAAAAAAGACCAAAAATGATATTGATTTAATTAAAATTTATGAGATTTTGAATTTTAAAAAGTGTAAATATATTTTATAAAAACTGAAGTTAAAAGCTCCTTGAAACTAAAATAAACAATTCAAATATCCCATATACTGACTTCGTGAAATCATCTCTGGGATTGAATTTTTTACAGTTAGTCGATTTGTCACTACAGTTTCGAAAATAATTTTTCGAAATTCTTCAAAAAAATTTTGCAAAATTTACGACAATTTACTAAATTTTACACATTTGTTTTTTAATGTTTTCATTAAAATTTTGCGCAAAAATTTTTTTTATTCTAAATGTGATAAAAGACTTCATTTTTTAAAGTTAAAAAGGCACCCATTTTATTCAAAACATTTTTTCGAATTCAATTCTGTTCCATATTTTTCACAATATTCTATACATTTATAAATCTACTATTGCACAATATAAAATATTCACTTACACAGATTTTTCGGAATTCGTCATCCTTTTAATTTAAAATTTTCCAAAAAAAATTTTTATGGGATATTGTTTCAAAGATGTATGTATATATCCGAATAATTAAAAAAAAAGACGAATTACCGTATATATGTATGATAAAGTAATGATGTTAAGCCGGTAAAATTCTTAAAGCGACTGAAAATAATTGAAATCAACTAATTATACTCGCACAGAACACATATACGAAAAAAACCAATTATTAAACAAGAAATTTAATTGTTTTTGAATCTCCAGTAAAAATAAAAATTATCTTTATTAGCTATATAGTACAACAATATTCCTTGACAAAAGTGAATGTGTATAAACAAAACGCTCTGTACATAAAATATTCTAAATTTTTATATACTTATGTATATGTATGTAGATAAACTTATATGTACCGTAAGTAAATATTTTTTTTTTAATAATATTTTTTATTCATTTTATTTATTATGAATTTCAAAAAATTTTGAATGAAACACTAACACATTCTTATTATTTTGTATAAAAGTCACGTACACACAAATATTTATTCATTATATACACTTATATAATATTATTTTAAATAGTTCTTATTTCTTAGAGTATGAAAAATCAAAAAAAAAAAACAAAAAAAATAAAAAATAATCAGTTTTTGAAAAATAAAATTACTCCAACAAATACATACAAATACGCGTACATAACGGTGCGTTAAAATAGCTGATAAAAAATAATAACGAAAAATACAAAAAAAAAAAATTTTCTTTTGTTTCCACAATTTCATGTAATTATGTGCTCATAATTTTCAATAATAATAATACAGAGGGCGCCGCCGATGCTTTACTTGTTCTTGACTTGGTTTTTTATTTTATATGTATGTATGTATGTATATAATTTATTTCTAATATTATTATTTATCGCTTTATCACAATTATGTAAAAAAAAATTTTCGTAATCAGAATTAAAATATTAATTTTTTTTTTTTAAAATGATAAAACACAAAAACCGAACAAAATAAATCGATTGCAATTAAAAAAAAAAAAAAGTGTTTTTACATACAAGCAATTTAAATACAAAACCGATTCACTTTTTGTTCTATTTTTGCATAGATCTAAATTGTATAAAAAAAAAAGAATAGAACTGTCCTAGATCGCGACAGAAAATGAAAAGTTTTTCTAAATGATTTTCTAAAAGAAAATGGAGAAGAAAAAAATAAACTTACATACAAGTATGTTTGTAAACATGTTTTCATAATATACAAATATACAAAAGGAGACAATATGCAGAAAATAATAAAAATTGTTTAAATAAAATTTAAAGAGATTTGAGAGTGTATACAAGCGGTTGATCGTTCTATCATTATTAGTGTTATAGAAGCTTTGCAATAAAAAGCTTTATTTCCGTATATAGATAATCTAATTACGTACAATACTAATACGATAGTTAAAAAAAATTAAAAACAAACAATTTAAAAACATTTCTAATCATAAAACAAAATAACAAAATAAAATTGTTTTTTTTTCAAATAAAATTACAATTACTAATTTTCTTACTACATCTATTCTTTTAAATAAACACTCTCTCTATATACTTGCATGCAAGTGCGTTGTATGTGAAAAATAACAGATGTCAATTTGAAAATTATATGTTTTTTTTTTAATTGGGTAATCGAATTTATTAGCTTATACATATTTATATTTGTACGTAGATACACATTAAATACATAATTGAATACATAAATACGATAAATATGGTGATTCAGGCATGCTATATTAATTTTTTTATTCTCAAAACAAAATTTTTTGAGTGTCGCTTATCTTTATAAATTTATTACTTTGACAATCCGATTAATTATTTAATTATACTTTTGATAATCGTGAATTTTTACAATAACTTGTATAATTTTTTTTTAATTTTAACAATTTATTGTTATTTTAAAAAATATATATATATATTTTAAAATATATATATTTATAGCATATTTTTAGGAGTGGAGCATTTTGCCGAATTTTCAAATATTTACCAGAATTAAAATTAATTTATACATTTAAATACAAATTCTAAAATTGTTTTCAAAAATTTTTGGTCTTAATGCTAAATCACAGCTATACAGTCACAATTATAAATACAATTTAAGGAAATCTAAAAAAAAAGTATAATTTAAGAAAAATTTAAGATTTTGTGGATTAAATTCTTAACATATTTGACCAAATTGTGTTAGTAGTATAAGTAAAAAATTTTAAATAAGGAAGAAAGACAATATTATCTTGCCATCAAGTTGTAGATCAAGTAGCTTATAATAATCTTTATTTCAAATGACATGAACTTGAAATCATATTTCATTGTTTTAAGTGAAAAAATGCAGTTTTCGTTTATTATTTATAGAGTGTAGGGCTCCCTTCAATGCTTAAACAAAAGCAAAAATTAAATTCTAAACCATTTTAGAAAGTATGTTGTTATGTTTCTTCTAAAACACAAAATGACCATGCTCTTTATATACACTTTTAACACTCTGAAATTGATAAAAAAAATTTTCATATCATTCAAAAAAAACAATTATTTATTTTTAGACATTTTTTATCTTTCACTTTTCTTTCTTTTTTTATAGTATTGCTTGAAAAATGTTTGAAATTCGTGTAATTTTATCAAGAATCAACAAATTTTAAATTTTTTTTATCAAATGTTTTAAAAAACAAAAAAAAAACTTATTAGTCATTATAAAATATTTGTTAAAAATTCATAATTAGAATTGATAATTATATAATTATTAATTAAAATGAGCAATGAAATTATTAAAAGAATAAAGAAACAAAATATTTTGCAAGATGACATATTTTCGGGTACAAGATTAGAATTTCTATCAGTAGTCATTTAAAATTTATAAGTGCATTCCAAAATATAATATTCAATATAGGGTTAAAATCCACTTTTTAATCCTTACTGCCGTCACAAGTTTAATGTCGTATATCATCAATTTGACTGATACAAATGAATTCATTATTTATAATTTCTTATAATTATGAATATTTTACAGTTTGGTAATTATTTATTTAGTATATAAGTATTTTTAAAATTTTTTTAATTAATCAATTTTTTTAATTAATAATAAAAATTTAATTAATTACAATGCTTTCAACAAAAAAAAAATTTCTATTGAAATAATTATTAAACTGTAATTTTCTATATTTATTGTATTTCATTGATGCCATCATAAATAATTAACAGATAATATTTAAAATATTATAGAAATTGCAGGAAAAAAGTAATTGCCTTTAATTTTTTAATTAATTAATTACTTTATAATTGTATGAATAAAATTAAATGTGTAAACAAAATGTGTAAACATTATTTGTTTGTACTTTTTTTGTATGACATACATGTTACTGAATGAACTCTCAAAGCAGCTATATCGCCCAAATGCCCACCGATCAACAGTAAATTTATTATTGAATTATAATGTCAATAGTTGGAATTGAAGAGGTAAGTGGACAATGGGGTTAACTTACATTTGCATTGTGACACATTTTTTCATTAACAAATTGAAAAACTATTAATTTTTTTTTAATTTATGTGTCCTATGAAAATTGTCAATCTCGCCTTCTTTTAAGTTTCTACCTATAAGAGTAATTACAGTTGAAATTACAGTTGATAAGAAATTTAATCATGTTCTATCCGAAAAACTCGATTTTCGTCAAAATGTTAGTTAACCCCTTTGTCCACTTACATCTTCAATTGAAACTTAGAAGTTGAATAGGAAAATTATTACACTACAAATAACTACTTTAACAAAATTAAACCCAAAGGGTATTGATTTAAGTAACTTTCAAAATAAACCATTTAAATGTGGTTAAAATATTTTTAAATAACTTATCATATTTTATTTCTTAATGCAACATACATACAGAATATATGAACATATAGCGGTAGAATCGTTTTAAATTTAAATAATTTAATAATTTAATCTTTGTTATATAATTCTACTATAGCATAATTTTGACATCATAAATGATAAAAATCAAAATAATTATTGAAGCATATTTTATACTTAAATGAACTACGCATAACGCCGGATCGAATAAAAATTTTCGATTTCAAATTGTAATTCAATGATATTTCTTTAATATATCAATTTACCTGTACACAAATATTACACTTTGTATATATACGCATAGATGTACTTGAAATACTTTAGCAATTTTATATAATAGTTAATTATTTTAAACCTATCATTATCGCATATACTAGTTTTTAATTTTATTTTTCATTGATTTATTCTTGTATATAAAATAATATTTCTACTTTATGCATAAGTACATACATACATCGCATATATTATAAAAAAATCTTTAATATCACTCTAAATTTTAAATAATTTGACGTTCTCATATATGTAGATCAAACACGTATAAAATTTCATTATTAAATTACTTTAATTTGAATAGTACGTACATATGTACGTACATACTATTCATATGTAAATAAAGACATTAAAAGTAAGTTCAAGTTAAACCGGCCTCTATATAAGAGTTTTAAAAGGTAATAAAAAGTACTTATAATGTATTTGGTAACACAATAGTATTTTTTAAATTTTCCAAACTATAATGCAAAAATAGAAATTAATACAGTGATAATAATAATAAAAAAGTATAATAATGATAATAAAAAATACACTTTTGATTAAAAAATATCGCATTCTAACATTGACATTGAATGAATGTCAGAAATATAAACTTGAAAAATTTATAAAATAAAATAAGATCACCACATAATCTTTTATCTGCATTGTAATCATATCAATTATCAGAATAAATATTTATTTTATAAGTACAAGTACCTGGCTAGAATATATGCTTATATTTTACAAAAGTACTTCTCTAGAGCTTAGGAATTTTTTTTGTAAGCTTTTTTTTTTAAATATATTGGGGTTACCATATTATGTCTACATTTTTTGTTATTTATACTGTAGTATACGAGCTTTATATTTTTAGGTGGATTTTTGAATTGTTTTAACGTCTGCACTAGATCGAAAGCTCTGTACTTTTAAGTGTAAAAATGGATCCAAAGCGATTAACGGAAACGGCGGACGATTTCCTTTGTTAACACAGAATAACAACAGAATCGCCAAATAAACGATTTAGTAATTTGCATATTACATTGTCGTATACATAAGAAAATGAAAAAAAATGCGCCAGCCGTCAATTAGATTCATGGCAATCGGTTGAATTCGTTTATCCTGAGCAGTTCCATTTATATTTATGTATGTGTTAGTGTACTCGTATTCTATATGAATTTTGTCTTTTCGCCGCGGGAAATCTATCTTGTTGTATTTTCACTTTAAAATTTGATAAATAGATGAACATTTTAAAGAATGAATGAAATGTTTACTGACAACTAAGTTCTTTTTGGCCAAAATGTCAAGAACAATAAATTTTGATCAAAACGTCATAAAAATAAAATCATGCTGATATTAAGCTATCGAATTTGAAATATTAGGTGAAAACATTTATCAAGGAGCAAATGGAACTCTTTTTTTTTTTTCAAAAATCAACATTGGTAAGCTTACAAATAAATATAAAATTTTCTTAATCTATTTCTTCTACATATAATATAAAGTGAAAGAGCAAAAAATAATCAAAGTCTTTATTGAATTTGATAATCTTGCTTTAATTCAAATATATAAGTAACTAAACTTATACTATTTGTATATACACATGTAATGTTATCACTATACAATATATATGTATATATATATATATATACAATAATATTGTTATTAAATAAACCTGATTAAATAAACATAAAAAATTGTTTTTTTTTTGTTAAAATTAAAAAAAAATAATTTTTTTCGTAATGATAATGTAATACGATTTCAAAAATATTAAAGGGCAATGAACTTTACGTCTACTCAAGTACAATTACTACTGATTACTACTGATATGTGTGTAGGTAAATATTTGATCTTTAATTTTGTTATAATAATAATTTTTTATACGTAGTAAATAAAGGACATGGCAAATTTTATTATGATTTACTTTTTTTTTTTAGAATTGTAATGAAATAAGAAAAAGTCGTCACTTTTTTAAATTCACCATCGCAGTCTATAAGGTAAGGTTAAGAGAAGAATATATAATTGGTACAGTTCAGAAATAAAGATCAAAATACCAAAGGCTTATAAAAACAGTTCGAATGTAAATAAAATTTAAAACTGTACTGACGTGCATGCTATATAGATTGTACTAACCGGAATTGAAGCGACAAACTCCCGTTTTGTTGTGCTAATAAATGAAAATTTACTTCAAGTATAAAAATTCATTATTCGCGTAATGTTTTAAAAGAGATAAGCACATTGTCTGCAACATAAAATAATTTTTATTTATTTTTAATAAACAAAATTAAAAATAAAACATGATTGAATTAAAATTTGTACACATATACATACATACATCCATAATCTGTTGTCTGACTTGTGTACTATAATTCCATTAAAGTAAACAGGTCTTATTGAAATTTTGAATCTAGTTTACAAAAAACTTTACTTAATTTTGAATTTTTTATGTGCATTTTTTGTTATAATAATTTGTACCGGTCATAATATAACATATAATTCTCCTACAACCCTTTTTACGATCGGATACTGGTTTCTTGATTGAATTTATAACAAAATTTTTATAACAGATTTCATTCGATCACAAATTTCTTAAAATAAATTGTAAGAGTATAAAGAGAAACAAGAAAATAATGTACACTTTAAGGTCACGTCATATGTGTACATACGTCACAACATTCTGCAGTGTACCCTAATAAAACAGTTTTGTTTCCGTTTTATTTATTTAATAATCAATAAATTTAATTCTTAACGATGATCTTTAAATATTTCGAATTGTACATGAAAATAGTTTTAATAAAAATTTTTATTTAAAACCTGATTTGCCGGTAATTTAAAACCTCTTGTTTTATATTATTATAGGTGTTTAATATTATTAATGCATCAAGTATTTTTTACCTTTGAAATTGAAAATTAATATAAATGTGTCTATACTTGCATGAATGCAAAATTCAAGGTCAACTTTTATTTTTTCTCTCCTGCTCTTCTCATTATAGTGTCTAGTTTAAAATATCAGTGTGATTTTTTTATTATTATTTTTATTGTACAATAAAATAAATAAATATCAAAATTATTTATTTATTTTATTTTATAAATTTTCATAGTGAATCCTTAATTAAACAAATAAATTTAATTTATCTACATCTATTAATTGATATGAAATATTATATAAGTGAAATGAAAATATTAAAATTTATGCGAATTAATTAGTTACAAAGTTTCAATACTCGTGATAAACTTTATGAAATGTACTTGATTGATTTCGACATTAATTATAATTTGATATAAATTATGCGTATATGAAGTCATTATGATGAATGCATTAGTCTTAAATCAAAAAGATTTAATTCAAGAGACAACATTCAACACTAGCTCTTCTCGTTGAATTGTAGAGAACGAAAATAATTTAATAAGGCATGTATGACTCATATAATTTTTGATTTATTAATGTTGCTTTACTGTTGCAGTACAGTAATGTAAAAGTTTTATTATTCAATAATGCTACTTGTGAATAGTGCCATGTGCATAATATTTCCACACGTGTAATTAAATTCAATGTAATTTTTAATATCTTGTCATTTATTATTAAGCAAACATCATCTAGCTGAAATGTATATTTGTACATTATTTATTTTTAATTAAAATAATATAAAATATTGCATATTAATTAATTATCATGTACATAAACTTTTGGTGTATGGGGGACTTTTATAAATAAATTTTATAATATTTTTTCAAATATCTCAAAAATTTATTCATCAGGGTTCGAAAATTATGTAATATCAGCTAGATCAGAGGACTTCTTCACCAGATGTAGCCACAATTATAAAGAGTAATTTTTAAACATATTCCTTAAACAAGTATGAGTAAGTAACAGGGTTTTGGTTTTCATTAAATTGTCTTAGAATAAAACTATATTAAATACACGAAAAGTAATATCTTAATTGTAAAACTTATCTCAAATTTCAATTTAAGTCTTTAATTTCAATAACAAAATAATTTAAAACACATGGTAACAATATATACACAAATTTTCCCAGACAATAATTTGCATATTAAATAATACGTTCATTTCATACAACATAAACAATAATTAAATTCTAATCAAACAAATAAATCATTATTATAATTAAATTATTCAACTATTACTATATTGTTAAGTAATTATAAAATATTGCAATATAATATCAAAGGTCTTTTTAAAATGAAATTAATTAAATTCACGCTCCCTATATATTGATGAAAATACTCATACCTTACAATTAATCATTTCAAAAAGATTAATTTAATAAAAATAATTGATGGGCTCAACCGGGATTTGAACCCGGGACCTCTCGCACCCAAAGCGAGAATCATACCCCTAGACCATTGAGCCGATAAATGTAATACTATTTGTATTTGAACTAAAAAAATGTTATTATAAAATGGAATTGATAATTTTATATCATATACGAAACTTTTAATATTATGTTCACGTATGGTAATTTTCTATTTTATAAAAAATTATAGTAAATTACTTAATATCGTATTTTTTATATAATTGAATAAATATTTAAAAAGCTCATATGATATAAAACGATTTATAAGTGTATAATTTATACTTCGTGCAATCCGAAACTACCGGTTATTAAAATCTATATAAAAAATATTAATTAATAAAAATTTTTAATTATATATAATACCTGTAATATAAAACGATAAATATCAGGTTATATATAAATTAAATGCTTCCATATTTTTAAATAAAATTTCAAATTATGAATTGATTTATTAAAAATATTGCAGTTATAGTATTCGAAGTATACGCAATATACGAAAATAGATTGAAAATTGAGTCATTTAAAATTTTCTATAAAAGAAAATTTTTATATAGCTATTTTTCGATATTTGTGTATTTTCATTTTACAATTTTATTTTTAGATTAAAATACAATTTTTTTTTTGGGATGAATAGAACTTAAAAAAAAAAATCAAATAAATTTTATTGACCTTATTTTATATATTTACTTTATTTATTTCATATTCATAAGATACAGAATGTGAAATAAAAATTTATGAAAAATTTGATTTTAATGAAAATTTTTAAGAGTCTTGTTTGAAATTTTGATTCAAATGGCACCTATTTTGCCATTAAAATTCATATAACTACAAAAAAAAAAAAAATTAGAGAAAAGTTTATTGCTTTTTTAACGAATAAACAAAAGTACTTTCATAACAGAACGAATTATTATACAATTATACATATATACTCATACATATGAAAATGTCTTCAATTTATTTAAAGTCAATAAATAATTTAAAAAACAGATGCTTAAAAACAATGTATAATTTTAATTAGTCACAGCTGCTAGTTTTATATACAGTTGCTAGTTTCTATACGATATAGAAATAATTTTAGTCATTATTTCAAATTCAATAACGAATTTAACATTATTATCTCAAACACTACAGCCATAATAATGAATTATCTTAAAAATAATTAAAAAAGTCTAGCTTGTAACAATAACCATGTAATAGCTTGCAACATTATTTCGGGCTTTAAAACTAATTTACGTGATACATGACAGGGAAAACAAAAAATTAATAATCTAAGTTGTTTCTCTGCTCATAAAAAATTTTTTTAATTATTAAAATAACCCTATAAAAAAATTTAAAATAGAAAAATTGAAAATTTATAATACACAAATTTTTCTACTTAAGAAATATTTTATTTTACAACGAATAATAAATATTTTTGAATAAAAACTAAATTAACTTAAAAATGTAAGATCGAATCATACGCGTACATAAAAATTAATACACTTTAAAAAATTTTCTTATTAAACATTAAATAATTATTTTAATTAGTAACATTAAACATAAACGATTAATAGAATAAAATTAACACTCTACATTTGTAGTGTAGCAAAGAATGAAAGAGTTGCACTTTCAGTTGGTAAACATTGTCCAAAAGCTTCTATCAATAATGGTTCAGCTTTCACTGTTTTCGAATAATCATCAAATGATATCTAAAAATAAAGAAAAAAAACACAATAGATGATCTGTAATTTAAATTTCATCATACACATACTCTTCCATCTTTATCTAAATCAAATTTTCTTAATATGATTTCAACTAAATCTTTAACACCTTCATCTGGATCTTCATCTTGTGGTTGTTTAATTAAACAATTTCTTAATAATGTAAACATTTCATCTTTTGTTATATAACCATCAGAATTTAAATCATATACACGAAAACAGAATGCAGTTTTATCAGCAATATTACCACGTAAAAATACTGACAGACCACAAAGCCATCCTTCTAAACGTAATGGTAATCCTTCATGAGCTTTATCCCAACTACAAAACATTCTTTCCATTAATATTTCTTCAGTAATGATATCAAAAGTACTGTGTAATAATTCACGAAAAACGATTCTATCAATTCCCTATACAAGTAGAATAATACAATAAGATTAAAATTGATTTTAATTTAAAATTTGAGTTTAAGTGATTTAAAAATAAATTAATTAATTTTTAATTAAAATTTTAAAATTGTATATGGCAATATTTTAATAGGCATACAAATTGTACGTTTAGACTTAATGATCAAATATACTTTTAATTTAGTTTACTGCTAGTATTGATTTCCCGCTAAAAAAGTCAAAGACGCGTCAAATATCATTATATATAGGACAAGTCATTCTGAAATGAATTTAATTGCTAACCAAATTTCATTCTTTATCAAAATTTTGTTAAATATCATAATAATTTGGAAGCATTATTAGGCCGTCGTCCTCTTCAAAACATGATAGGTAGAATATCAAAATTATGCCTTACCAAAAACCAAAACAAAATCATCCTAAATTCCAGTTATTGCGGTTTTAATATGGTATAGCCTCACACAGATAGAAATCAAATGTAAAAAGTTCGATAATATCAAATTTCTTAAAAACTGTCAATTCTTGTGCTAAAACAAAAATCTACCTTATTAAAATAAATATAAAATCTCCCAAAACTCTAAAAAGAACAATAAATTTGTAATTAATAAAATTTACTCCTACACTATGCCAACAATAATATTTTATGCAACAATAACTTTCAGAAAGGGTTCTATACCCACACGCAAATCTATTTTTTGTTCTAATTCAATATCATATTGATTCCTATTGACACAAAACATATGTCAATTCAAATTTTATAATACATATGTATATTAAAGCACAACAACGGAATTAACTCATAAATCGAATCGCGTGCCTAAAAAATTAAAAAAATATTTTAGAATATAAGACCTTTTTATGGTCCTTAACTTCTTAAAGAATTTATTTTTTAACATATAAAAGGAATATTGAATATAATACAGTTTTGAATTTATTTACTAGTTGTTATACTAATAAAAATTTATTGAATCAAAAGGGAAATTTAACAAATACTCCAACTTATTTACAAATATATATATACATACATATTTTATTTTGGGGAAATCCATTTTGTTCTAACGAATTGTAATAGAATTGTGAGGAGAATGATAAAATTAAAAACAAAAAAAAAAGGCAAAAGAAAAGAAGGAAGTTAATAAATTGGTAATTTCATTAAAGTACCCTATAAATATGCAATTATTTTTAAAAATTAAATACCTACACCACAGTCTTATAAGTCTGCGTTATTAGTTTTATCATTATCGTATAACTTTTTAACATTAAATGGTGTGGCAAAATATAACTATTATGGAAATTTATATAAAATGAATTTTATATAGTTATACTTAATTTAGAAAATAAAAAAAAATATTAATGATTATAAAGCACGGTAATGATTTTTTTCTTTATTGAATACAAAATTAAATATAGAAGAAGTGATAAATAAAAAATTGATTAACTGACCTATATTAATTCAAAAATATTTAATATACAATCATTTTTTCGAGACAACATGATGAAATATTAAGAAATAAATAAATATGTGCACAAAGCTCCCTAAATTTGAATACAAGCATAAATTCTAAAGTAAATTTATAATTTCTTAATGAGAAATTTGATAATGATTTGTATAACACCATAAAATGAAAATAATTTTATTTTATTTGAACTTTTACCATTTTATACAAAAATGTGCTAAAGATTTGTGACTGAATTGATTGTTTAAAATATTGGCCAGTATAACTTATTTGAAATTTATTTTTTAACAAATTTGAATTATACAGAGCAAAATTTTAAAATAATTATTGAATTGAATGAGCTTCGAATAAAGTATATAGCGGAGCAAAATATCAGTTTATAGCATATGGCATTCAAAAGTACAACAACTAATAAGATCTTCTAAGCAAAACAGGAAACAAGTTTTTGGTATTTTGTAATTGTTCAGAATTAAATATAGCCAAGTGGACAAGAATTATTTTTCTCTTTATTTTTAATTTAATTAAAGTATTTATACGTAAATTTGGAACATTTTTTGAGCAAAGTTTATCCAGGTTTATTTTTTTCATTTATTTTAATAAGAAACAGGAAAGAGTTTCTTAATATAACATTTTCTTAACTGCAAATTGTTTTGTGCACCTAGAAATCTTTTATATTTACTAATTATTTTTTAGTTATTGTACTAAACTTTTATTCTACTGTAATTAAAAATGAACAAATTTCTGATCTTGGAGCCTCCTATATAAGGAAGGTTACATAGTCTATATTTTGTTTAGTTCGTAAATATAGATTTTAAAACTGATTATGAGATAAATCTAATGAATAAAAATTTAAAAAAATTTTTGAATTGAAAAAACTTTATTTATATTGCAGTACTTAATGTTGAAAGTAATAAATCTAACAGTGAACTTCTTGTATAGTTCACATTTGAACTTAAAAATTTCATATGGTAGTTCAACAACTTAATAATTATACTGTTACAATAAGCTTTAAGAAGTCAAGTTCATATATGATAATAAAACTTGCAATTGAAATTAATTATACCAGTACATTTTATATGGAATTTTTAAGAATTATATTTTTATATTATTTATTTTAATTCATAATTAAAAACAATGTAAATAAAACTCATATAACTTCCTCAAAATTTAATTTAAGTATGCATTTGAAGACTAATTTGAAATAAATGCAATTAATTTAATTTAGTTTAATTGTGACATTTAGTTTAATTTGTGACATAATTTAGTTTAATTGTGAACAATTTAAAATAATTTTAACTTACTTCAGTTGTTGCATGTGGTTTTGCTATAACAGAAGTTGCCGGAGCTGTTGCTAAAGCTCTTGCTGCATATTGACAATTTGAAACCAATTTTTTATAAATTTTACATAACGCTTCAATTTCATCTCTATTTCAATTTTTAAATTTGTTTTTTTTTTGTTTTTTTAATTTTAATATCACAAACAAATAATATGCGCAGAGAAAAGAAAAAAAATTACAAATTAAAATTTATTAAAAATATTCTTTTAATTTTTTTTAAATTAGGTAATAAAAAAAATAATTTTTAAAATTTTTAAATTAATTTTTAATTTTTCTCACTTTGAAAATCTTGTTTTCTTTCTTAATACATCCATCATTTTTGGATTTACTTTACCACTTTGATCATCCATTACGCGCGAACTTTGTTTACTGCTTGAACGACTTTTTGAACTGGCACCTTTACTTCCAACTAAAAACATTGATATACTTCGTAATAACATTGTTCCCTTGGTTGAATGCTGCATTGATTCAACAACACGTTCACCGCGTGGTGCTGGACTTTTTCTATTCATGATTGTTAGTATGTATAATAGAAAAGTTTTAAACAAATATTGTATTATAGGTAATTGTTCTTTTTTTTCTCTCTTTTCCTCTCTTTTAACTATAACTTGCGTTTAAAGTGGTTTGTTTTTTCTTCCCTTTTTGTGTTTTATTATAATAGAAAATTAGGTTTTGTATAATCCTTTTGTTGAATTAAAAAAAAATTGTTGGGAACTTTATCCTTAAATAAAAAAAAAATAAAAAAAAAAAATAAAATAATATAATGAAATTTATTCACACCTAATTCAACTGAACAATACAAAAAGAATAAACAGAAAAAAATAAAAAATGGAAATTTGATATAGAAATTTTCCAACTTCTTATAAAATACAACTGAAATTATGATTTACTTGATTAGCTTTATATGTATATAAGTAGTGTAACATCTACTACTGTTTCTGCTTAATTTACTCAATGAAAATATAACCAAGTTACCTGCTCTGTAAACTAAAAGTAATATTAGTTAAAAAATGAGCCCTTGGTAACTGCCTTGCATAAAAATTGGGCCATAAGGATTTTTAATTTACTATAAATGTTATATCAGCATATATATTTAATTATATATTTTATTATAAAATTAATAAAATATTGTTCTTCTTGAAAACTGTTATATGGACCACCTCAATTCATCGAAATGGTCCTTGGAATTACAGTGACGGTTTAAACTTCTATTTTAATATTTTAACATTCATTGATTTTCCCGTCGAATTATATTGCGAATTGAATCCAATATTTTGAATAACTAATTTATGTTAAGAGTCATAACTCTATCACTTTCTCTTAATTTTCAAATAATTATACAAAAACTGTAATATACTTATTACAAAATGCAAAAAAAAAGAATTATGTACATATTTCTAAAAGTTTATACGGTAATTAGAACATTTATAAGAATAATTTTTGAACATGCGGCCACCTTTTTCTTTTTTATCATAGTACATTTTGAAAAAATAATTGTATAACACAAAAATAGAATTAATGTTAATGTACTTTTTTTACCTTAGCATGTAGCTACATTATTATACTTAACTGAGGAAGAGAAATGGTTCGTTACTAAATAAAGTAAATAAAATTAAATACTTTAATTATTCACGTGATTTTAGACAGCATATTAGAAAAAAAGGCAAACTTTATTAAAAATTACTGTTGCCTCGCTATAAGGAATGATGAATTTCTATTAGCAAAAAGAAAAAAATGAAGTCATGCAATGTAAAAATCTTTTGTTTTTTTTTATATGAAATATGATCTACCCTAAAAATTTCTTCAAAATACCGTAACATGCCTGTTTTTTGGTTTTTTTTTGTACATAAAAGCAATTTTTCTTGAAATAATTTTCTATATGCAAAATTTTCGTTTAAAAAATAATGAATGCAAAATAAATTTTAACAAAAACAAGAATTTATAAATTATTTTTGCAAAATAATGCTTACTATTTTATTTTTATTCAAATTTTGCTTTATTAAAAAACTTGAAATATTATTAATCTTCATAATATTCTTATTGAACTTAGCTTAATATCGAAAATTTACAAGAACATTTGAAAAGCTTTACACTTATGCTCTAATTGCATTCGTTTAAGAAGAAACCTTAGTTCCTTTAAAAGGAAAACGGGGTAAAATACTTATTAAATTTGTCTGGTAAATATTTTAAAGTTCTACAACTTCCTGTTTCTGAAAAAAAAGACAAATGCCAAAAGTTACTGATTTAAGACTAATACTCGTAGTGTACGAAAAGTTGGTAATTATAAGGTTATCTCACATAAATTTAATTAACGAGACTATAAACTTCAAGTTATGTGAAATGATTGATAACTTGCAAATTAGCTAGCAAAAAAATTTCTCTTTTTTTTTTTCAAATAAACCTTTGAACTGTATCCGAAACCTTAATAAGTTTTACAATTCTGTTTTCGTTTCTGTCGGGTATCTAGAACTCTATTTTTACAACTTGAAATGTGTTGCATTATAGAAAACTTTATGGAAGACTAACGAACAATATAGAAGACTAAGTGAAAATGTTTATTTTACGATATGGAAATCAAGGTCTTTACAATTTCTGAAGTAATTCTCTTTTAATAACAGGTTTCTTTTTACAAAGAATTACAATATGTTTGTTTACCAGTTAATTTAAAACAAATATAAAAAAAAATGTTTCATTTGTGCACCTTAATTGAATAACGGTAAGAATTTTAACCAACAAAAATTATATGAAAACCAATTTAAGCAAAATTCTAAATTTTTGTTCAAATATATATACACATACATATGTGATTTTTATATGTAAAATTCTATTTCAAATAAAAATGAAAAACTGCCACCCACCCACCCTCATATATGCACATGTATACATGCATACATTATGTTCAACTTTACTTCCATTGAAATAATGAAAAAAAAAACAACAAAAATAATTGTGATTTGTTTGGTCGATCATTTCATTTTTTGCTATTTCATTTATTTTCATTGCTCATTTTAATTTAAAAAACTTGTATATTCATATGTACATATGTTAACATATGCATGACTGTATAAATATATTTTTTAATACGTAGAAATATCCTTTTTAAAAGTATTCATATATGAAACATGCATACATACTTACATGTCTGTCAATTTACATTATTACGTAACTTAAAAACAATTCTATAAATTGAAATTTTTTATGTATAAAAGAACATAAATGTGGAAACTAAATATTATTACTACAAGAGTTTTTTAAACATTAGTACATGAGGTACGTTGTTTTTCGCTTCATTCAATAAAAAAATATAATAACCGACATATATTAAAATTAACTATAAATAATAATATTTTTCAAGAAACTACTGAAGTAGCTGCATAAGTACATAGTTTCTCTAATAAATATATTAAACTGTAATTAAATAACTCTACAGTCTTAATTAAAATTGCGCAGTCTTAAGTTTTTCATAATTTTATAATTAATTAATCTTAATAAATTCATAATCTTGGATCTTAATAAATTCATAATGAAAAATAGGTTCAGTTAAATTAAATACTCAAAGAATAGTTTGTTTAAATAATTTTTGAAATTATTTCTTATTAAATAAAATTTATGTTATCAGACAAAATATGAAGTATTAAAATATTGTAAAAATATATAGCAAGGTATAATAAATTTAACATTGTAAATAAACTGGATATAATATAAATTTAACTATTAAAGATAACAGTTGATTTGATTTTAGTTTTTATATTTAATAATTAAATTTCTTGTTTCCTGGTTCAACATTTCTGTTCAAAATTTACAATACTCGTATGTATAATATTGTGTTAAGTTTTTCTTAGTGTTCGAATTCACTATGCATGATAAATAATATTCATTTAAGAATGATGTTGTAAAGCAAGAGATAGTTCTTCATCAAAATATTTTTAAAATGCAAACTTAGTTTAAGGTGGAAGTATATAGTACCCTTGCACTTAATATTATAAGAACAATAAAATAACAATCACTTAAAATTGCAGACACGAGCATTATAATCAAACCTTGTCGCCAATAATATTTATGTAGGGTTTAAAAGTAATAACAATTTTATGTCTTTATCACTAATTAACATTTCTGTTCTGAATTATTAATACGATATTTAAAATTTATTGATTGAACAGTTTGCAATTAATATTTATTACAGCTTTATGATTTGCAATTAATAGAATTTCAAATAATATGTATACTTATAAAAATTTATTAGTTCATTTACTTACTTTATAAAACAAAAAATGAATAAACATGGGTATTTTTTTATTCAATTTAAATTCACTTCTGATTGGCATATGTAAGAGATTACCTAAATTTTAGATACCATATTTTTTAAAATTAATAGTTGAATAAGAGTTTCATTAAAATTTTACAATTCTTTGTATTTTATATATTATTCCTTATTATATTATTGAGAAAATAACAAAAATTGTTTAATCAATATTTGCTACAGCATTCAGTAATGAAATTTTTTGACCTTGAAACTCTAGTTATGGACATTATATTTTAAATTTTTATTATTAAAACTTTAAAATTATATTAAATTTTATTAAATATATTAAATCACATAGCTTCAATAGACTATTAATGAAAACTGGTCAATGTAAAAAAAATATATTAAAAACAAAATGTAACAAAATAGCTTACCGATATTAAATCAAACAACTTTAAAAATTAAAGTAAAATTATTTGTATGAATTATAAATATTTGTATAAAATAATTCAAAATTTAATTGAAGAAGACAATTTTGGTTACTATTCGAAAATTTTGCAAAATATTTTTTTAACTTTATTTAATTTTTTTTTTTTATTATCCAAATCAATATATCAGCAGTATTTCCCAAGAAAATATCTTTTATTGAATATTTTGTTTGGTTACTAAGGTTAAAATGGTATATGAATGGAATTGAACTGTATTTGTTATTATATACAATAATTTATGAATAAAATTAATTTTTTGATGATAAAATTGCAGCTCAACAATATTTTTTTAATATAAAAATACTCATTTGTATAAATCAATCTTATTTTTCTCGATTTTAGTTATTTATTCTTTAATAAACAAATTTAAAAATTTGAACATTTGCAAAAAATAAAAATTGTTCATATTTTAAAAAAACAGTTTAAAAACGAACAGATTAAAATAGAAAAAAACGGAAATGGGTTCTTCTTATTAGAAAAAAATTGTATTACAAACAAAATTCAAGTATAAAAATATAATATGTTAAGAGCAAAAAATTTAATTAACTAGATTTATTACATTTTTCATTTTATTTTAAGTAATATTAAAAATTTTTAATAAACAATTAATAGTTTCGACATCATAACCACATCTTTTTAATTGAAATATCAATTGTAAATAATTTACTTCTGATGTTAAATCAACTAAGCTTCCAATATTCGGATCAAGATCATAATAAGTAATAACGGCTGAAATTTTTTCCAAAGAGTTTTCAGGCATATTTTCCAGATTCACATCAGAAGATTGTATAAATCTTTTTAATTGTAATTTAAATTCATCTCTCCAATTTTCCAAAATTGTTTTGAACTTTTCGACTATGGAACCCAAAATTTCTTTTGACAAAAATATATCGTCTTTGTTGAACATTTGCATTGCATTAATTATTTTGAATTGCCATACAATTTGACTACTTGGATTTTTTTCTAGTACACCTAGATCCTGCAATTAATGGAAGAAAAAATTTTTATTTCGAAAAAAAATGGATTATATAACAATTTCTTACATTTATTAACGACAAATAAAGTGGGAGCGCGTGCATTTTATCCTTACTTAGGCAAGTATAAAAAATTATAAGAAATAATTGAGATTTTTCTAGTTCACTATTAGAAACAAAATTTTTGCTTTCTTTTAGATCCAAAAATTTTTCGATAAATTCTAGGAGTTTTTTGTCTGTAGAAAAAGCTAACAATGATTTTATATCAACCTTCCAGCATCTGTATTGTTCAGTGGTCAATGTTTGAGCTAAAATGCTTTTCAATCGATCTGGATCTTCCAAATGAGATAAACAACCTGCTCGTTTCTTAATATCAATACATCCGCAATTTTTCAAAACATTTCTAAAATAATATTCAAGTAATAAATAATATATCACAAAAAAAATATATTTCGTTACTCCAATTGATCCCAGTTCCTCCCTCTTTCAAAACATACTGGCCAATAATTTGGATCATTTACTTTAACACTCTTAAGAGTTGAAAGTTCTGGCAACATGCAAGGAGCCATCGGAAATTTTTCTATGACTTCACCATCCGTTTCTATGCGGCACAAGCATAATTTTCCAGTATCTATATCTCTTGGTAAAAATAACCTGGGTTCAACTGCCAGTACGTATAAATGTCGAAAAGCTTGTAGGTGATACCTTATATTTTACAATTTTAGAAAAAAATATTTTAAGAATTTTTTACTCCGATTTATTAAAAAATTTAATTCTTACCTATTATCATTGCTGTGATTTGGAAATTTTGGAAATAGAGCACAAATTAATGCAGCTATAGCTTCTGGCGTTCGAGACAAAGTATAACGTCCTGCACCCAAAAATAAAAACCCAAGGGCCATATGAATAGCCATTTGTGATCCATAAGTAACTTGTGAATGTGAAGGACCGATTCGAGAACGAAGGTAACGAATAATTCTCAAAATTTCAATATTACCAGTACCAGCATAGACAAGTGATAAAGAAATTAATACTAAAATCAAACTACTTTCTACAGTGGCTTTGCCAGCAAATTCACCAACATATTGTCCATTCCAAGATAAAATTAGTTTAATTGTTCTTTTCAAAGCTTTAAAAGCTTTATGGTTTTCAGTACCTGCATATTTAAGGCCGATACAAAGAGAAGCCCCCGCAACAATATTACAGTATGCTTGTCTAAAATTTACTATTTTATGCATTTTGAAAAGAATATGCTAGAAAATTGTTACGCATTTGCTTCATGATCGATTCCATTTCCACTATCTTGAGGTCCACGGTTCAAATCAAATTCAAGTTTAGAGGGAAATTGACCAAACAACCAATCGTAATCATCACCAATTTCATTCCATAATATTAAGTCTATTTAAAATGAAAACTTGTCAAACATAAATTTATAGTCGAATATAGCTCTAGGGTAATACAAACTTTTCGCTATAATGCGTAATAACAATAGATCTGGTCTGACCAAATCTAGCAAATAACTTGTGTCTGGTGGCATCATCCACTGAGCTACAGATTTGTTTCCAGTGTTGAAAAACATTAATCCCAATGCAAGTGTTGCCCCTGGAGCTGTAACATCAATATTAACAGTATCGCCCTCTCGAACTTGGAACGATGGCAATTTGTACTTTTCTTTCTGAGAACCTGCAAAACAAAATATGATTTATTTATAAAGTAATTCATATTTTTCATGATCTAACCAGTTAAAGGCCTTTTTGTTCCACCAACCATATAATAATGCAAAGTATCTGGTAATTGCAAATCTCTTAGCCCAGCGGGCGATTCTCCTTGTCCTAAAGTTACAAGACCTAAAGCGAGTCCTGCTGTTAAAGCATACGATTCTCTTTCTACACTATTTTCCATTTCAGGACCTGGAGGTCTTCCAATTTCTTGTAATAAAACTTCTGCGATGTGTCGTTTGGCTGTACCTTGATATAATAAACCAATGCCCATTAAAGAAGCTACTTGGGTATTTTGAGGAATGTCAAGCTCCAATGCTGTTGCTGGGAGCAGAGCTTCTATGTGGACGCTCAATAATTTGGTTGTCGTATTATCCATCGTGCCCCTATGTGTTGCTGATATGCCCAATAAAAGCCCTACACTAGTCATTTCATCACACTTTACTAAATATTCATACACGCTCATAAACGATAAACTTTTCAAATGACCATTTAATCCAAGCGCCATCAAAAATCCAGCATGCTCAGTAGGAATATCTGCTTGCCCCTTTGGTTTATTATATACAATCCAAGTTGAATCAATATCTTTCGCATGGGGCGATATCTTAAGTCCTGCCGCTACACCATTGTGGAAAGATGGCCAAAGATTCATATTCGCAGGAAATTCAATTAATTGCATTTCAATTGTCGCTCCTTTTACAGGCTCTTTTCCGGTTAAACATAGTTTTGGTATTGGCATCGAATCAGTCGGTGCTGGAATTGATGTTCTTAATGTAAACATTCCTCGCCCCATTGGTAAAGTCATAGTTCTCGTGCAAAGAGCATATAATTGTTTTTCTTGCTCTTCTATAAATTCATGGTCCGTAACTCCTGGAGATTGAGTTAAATCAATTAAAACAGGTTCAGAACTGTTTAGCAATCGACGAACTTCAGTAATACGTAAATCATCAGGAAAACGCAAGCTTAATAATTTTGTGTTAATATTTTCCATACCATCCTCGTCACTAGTGCTTGATTCAGATTTGGTGAGAAAATTTGGCGTAGCTATTACGTTAGGTGAAAGAGAGTGCTCTTTATTTATACTAGATTTATTAGCAATAAAACTACGATCTATTTGCAAAACTGAAGTTTTAGCATGTGCTACTAGATCCGAGCGTAATAATAACTCATAAGCTAGAAATGGAAAACCTGTTGGGGGAACTAATCTACTGTACTCCAAAGACTGGGCTATTATAAAATGAATAGAAGCTGGCAAGCGTTCTATATCTTTTCGGTTCATGTCTGAAATAAAAAACAGTAATATTAAGTCGATTAAAATATATTTCATTATACCCATATTAATAAGCATTTGAATTAGCTGTACATTTCGGTTCAAGTTGGTAGATATGTATCTCTTTTTGATTTTTGAAATTTCCATTGATTGTGTTCCGGGAATTTCCAAATTTTGTAACCAGTTTCGTATTTTTTCATGACCATGTATAATTAAAGATACTAACTTTAATCAAAAATTAAATTCAAAACTTTTTAAAATCTATTACTGTGCACAAAGTTTACCTGAACTACATTCTTACTCATTGTATTCACTTTAAAAATACACGGGTATTTGGAGATCTCACGCCCATGAATAATATCTGAAATCTGTTGAAAAATATTTGGAACTCTTTCCGTTAATAAATGTTTATGCTGCATTTTGGCGGCATCCTCTTCGTTATAAAAGTCATGAGATGAAATCTTCCTTAAGTAAGGAAAATTCAGTGTATAATGTAAGCAGTAAGAGCTAAGTTTCATACTTAGAGCAAGTTCATATAGGAATTCTGCTAAGTATTTAAGATATTTGGCAAACATAGAATTAAGTTTAAAATCTTCAAAAAGTAAATGAAGTGTATAGAAAATAACTGGAACTTGTGAAAAAAGTGGAGCCGAATTGTCATCATGGAGGATTGTAGTTGCAGATTCTGAAATTTTTTTATTTGACTCGAAAGAAATTAAAAATTCCCAATCTTCATTTGATCCGCAAACACTTGTATCATCATCATCTTTCCGACGTTTTTTGGCTTCATCACTTATAACCATATTTGAAGCAGATTCATTAGTAGAAACAGAACGACCGAGTAATTCTAAAACAAGTTTTTGATTATTTCTTGATTTCTTGAAATATTTGCGTTTTTTAGAATTGAAAAAAAAATAGAAACCTGAAAGCACATTTGAAAATATTTCCCATTCCTTTTTGTAGCTAAAGTTTTGTGAACCTGGTACATTTCGAGCGCTATACCATTTAACTAACAGTTGGACATATACATCTTTTTTTAATACTTGTCTTAATGCGTATATACATTGGGTAATAAAATGATTTTCGTTCATCAAAGGTAATGATATTCGGTACATTTTTCCACATCCATATGTTAATGTCAATCTATTTCCTGCTGGATCTCTAAGACCTATGCATAAATTTGAAACTCTGGAAAAACAATTTCTTACTATAAATGAATATTATATTTTTTTCATTACTTTACTTATTTGGAAGCGATGCATGTAATGGTTGAACTGGAGACAATAAGTTTAATTCATCATCAAATTGAGAATCAGATTGTGCTCTAGATGGTAATAAACTACTTCGTCTTGGAAAATTTGCCATAAGTGTAGCGGTAGTGCACGTTATCGGTGTAGTAAAGGTAGGTATAGCTAAACTAGATATATGAACTTTAGAAATTAATACTGGGCCAGTATATAAAACTAAAGAAGAATTGGAGTCCAATATCGCAATCATATTCATTTTCTGCAGAAAATTAAAAACTAGTATAAAAAAAGAAAATTAATATTAAATACTTAAATATGTACTTCTAAAACTACAGCATCCTTTGCTGGTAAAGACGATATCATTCCAAATATTTGAGTATTAGGAGAACTAGTTTTTTCTAGACGTGATAACTGCAATTTTCCAGTCCTTGGTAGTAAGTAGCATAAATAAACTTGACCAATTAAATCTGTATGCATAAATGCTAGTGAAGCTACCTCACAAAAATCTCTATAATATATGGAAATTTATAAAGGAAATTTATAATTCATAATTTGCTTAAGTAAAATAGGTTGTTTGGATCTTACTTTCCAATCAAACTTTCTGTCCATATTTGCTCTAAACAAAACTCTGGCAAAATAGGTTTAGATGGTTGAGTTTGGCTAACTTTTCTTATATCTTGAACTGATATAGAATGAGGACCTATTGATGATTGCAGTCTTGCAACAGGTGACTGTAAATTTGAACGACTGCGGAAAAATGTTTAATATTTTTATATATTTATGAAAAAAATTTCAACTAACTTAAAATGTCCACTGAGATTAGATTGAACTGGAGGTGTTCCGGAAGTGTTTAAAAATTTTCCAACATGCGAACTATATCCCGGATTTCCTAGACTCGATCTTCCCATAACCAGAGGACTGTTTTTAGAAAACGAAGGAATCTTTAAAGAATTGTGGGAAAAGTATTGTGAAGGTTTATTGGTACTGTTAAAAGTAGTTCCAACACATGTTTCGTTTGCACCTTAAAATATATTAAATTATAACATGAAATCACGCTAAACTTTTCGAAATAAAATTAAAATTTGATAAAACATATATTAATAACTATTTACATCCAACGACATGAATTTCATCTTCAGTGGCTTTGCGAAGTTTTGCAACAAAATGTTTCCCAATTTTATTATCAAAAAGTAAAATCAAATCACTTTGTGGTGTTGTAAATATAATTTTATAGTCAGCTTCTGTCAAGTAGCCGATTCCTCCGGTGCTTGACTTACTAAGCAATGGACACATTTCATCTAACGGATGAGTTAAAGTGAAAAATCTGGGCATTGATATCAAATGAGTTTGAATAATAGCATTTGATGCCTCTTTTTCTAAAAGAATTCCATATTTTGTTGACCAAACATGGGATACTGCAAATTCTAAATTTGTAAGATAATCCTCGCCATTACTACAATAAACACGCAAACATGTGGAATCAATTAGGCAAATTGAAGTATTTTCATTAGAGTTTTGCGCCTTTTCTTCTGTTTTTATCTCATCTTTATTTATTTGAGCTTGAATAAAGCTTTCATTACAAAAGAATGCAAATCTTATTTGAGAATCACATGTAAAACAAGTTCTTGGTAGAACACTTCCATCTTCTAAAAGACCTGGAAAAAAGTATTATAAATCGAAAAAAAATGTGCAAATTTTTACTTATTGTCACAAACCTTTAGACCACACTGCAGTATTTCCTTTAACATACAACTCTTCTTCTGAATTAATATAATAATCTGTTATATAACTAGAATTTTTATTTCGATTCTGAACTTTTGGTAAATTACTATATATTTTTTGATTTATGTCATCAAAATCCTTATATATTGATCTTATTGACCAAAATTCTTTAATTTCATCATTAGATGATATATTAAAATTTTGCATACGGTGTAATAACAAGTGCTCACTTGGAATATTTAATTGTTGCTTATTATGATTTTGAGGCCCCGGGTGTTCTTCGACCGCCTGGCGACCTCTTGGAATAAATTCCTAGAATGAATAAAAAAAACAAGAAACATAGATTTTAATTTTCAATTACTAAATTTTCCCTTTTTATAATTTACCACAGGCGATGAGGCGGCGATCATAACTTCACTAGAGTCATCCAGATTTGCGTATTATAAAATTGTTTAGATCAATTATTAAACCAGATTAAAAAAACAACCGGCTTTCCTCTTTCTTTTATTATAAAAATTGTCAACAGACAGAATTATTTATATTTCAAAATATCAGAATTGCCAAATTTTCTGTTTCAGTTCTCATATTGTTTCTTCGAGTTAGTTTGGAAAATTAGTACTTTTTAGTATTACAAACAACTACATTTTAGTACTTTTTATAATAAAATTTGAAATTTTAATTTTCTTGTTTGAAGTTATAATTTAAAAATATGTACAGAATTTAATAATTTTGTATAACAACAAAAGCATTTACTATACCATACAATAGTACAATAGTATACAATAGTAAAATTGGAAGGTAGGTATGTACAGCTTTTATCGCAATAGTAATTTAATTATTTAGTGTTATCTCTGAACGCTTTCAAATAAATATGTAAACAATTTAGCGGCGGGTATTGTGTATATTTATTAATATGTACAACAAAAATTTTTGAACATATGATTGTCAAAAAGTGACGTCATAGTTTTTTCATTATAGAATTTCAGAATCACACACATCCGTACGTACATCTACTAACATCAAACTCAAAAATCAAATGAACAGATGCAATTTCTAGTAGTATAAGAACAAGAACAGTGCTTATTGCTTGTGTTTGGTGAATAGGTGGAAAAATTTTTAATTATTATTTTTTGCTTTTAAACGCTATATACAATTATAAATGAAAAATTAAAATATTTGAATTATAAACAGAAATAATACCAAAAAATGTATTTAAAAATATTAAAATAAATAGTTTTTTAACATTTTTTTCAAAATAAATTTTTTTAAATGCTTAACTAATAATAATAAACAAATATTGAAATAGAATTGCAAATAATATTCTTATTACCTCATTGAAGGAAACGGAATAATAAAAAGAAAAAATTTAAAATATGAATTTAACAATTTGGTTAGCCGGAAGTTTCTCTGTGTTATTTGGATTAATTTGGTATTATCCAACATTCTTATATATTTTCCTATTTGGATTATATTCTTTAATTTTAGTGTCTGCAGGTAAGTCTTCAAAAATAAAGGTTCATTACCTTGACTTTGGAAAAATCGATAACAGACATATTAAACAGTTTGTTTGCTAATTATGGAAGCTTGTTTTAAAATATATATTATGTACATGTAAATACAATACACGCCTTCCTACCATTTTTTATAAAGGATAAATAATAAAATTATTGTCAATTTATTAATTTTTTATGATATACCCATGTAAATGAAATTTAAATATGTAAGTAAAATAAATAATTCCTTAAAAAATACATGTGTAGGAAGGAAGGAACAGACGTATGTACATAGGGTAACATATACGAGTATATGTAATATAAATGGAAAATATATTTTGTATGTAGGTTCCCATCTACTATTTTACAAATTATGTAGGTAGGGTACCTATCTGCTTATGTTACTTATATACATATCTGCCTAAATATTTACAATTTAATACTATTAATAATTTTTGTGAAAAGTGGGTGTATAAATTTATGCATGTTTGAATACAGTACTACAATACATACGGGTTTGTTCTCAATAATTTTCCAATAAAAAAAAAACTTGTTGAAATTATTAATACTACCGTTATGACGAAGGTTAATTTTTAGGATTTATGTAGGTATAGATAAATATCCACTACCTGTTGAAAATCCAATTTATCTATATCAAACTATCTTTTTATAAGTAATGTTTAATATTTTAATAATAAAAATATGATCTAAATTAATTGATTAATGTAGGTTACAATTAAATATTTAAATTCTATTGGAACTTCCTTTTGTAGTTTATCAATAAATACTTATAAAAAAGAAAATGGGGCAAAAAATTAATAAACAAAATTATATTTCTTTTTAAAAGCAATTATATTGAATTTTTAAAATAATTTTATTGCCCTCTTATTATAAGAACAGTACAGTTTACATTTCAAAATTGAATAATTATATATATCTGTAATTTTGTGGAAATTTTGAATTTGTGTGGAGCTAATAATAATATTTTCATTTAAAAAATAGCTACTTAAATTAACAACCAAATTAATTACAAAATTTTTTATTTTAACTTTAAGCTGTAACTTCTACTCTGTATTTACAACATGTTATTTCAACGAAACCAAAAACGAAAGATCATCCTCAAAGATTGAATGTACTTTACAACGCTACTAAGTAAGTATTTCAAAATTTGCATACATACATACATGCTTATTGTAATTTATTTTTTCATCTCATCTAAAAGCTTTTTAGTATAAAAGTCGCAATTATTTCTTAAAAGTACATAAATAAATAATTAATTTTTTTTTGTTTCTTTTTTTTAATTAAATGTGATTGTAACATACCTACTATGGTATAATGAAATTGCATTTTGTTTGTGTTTTGACGCCTTATCATTAATAAACCCTAAATGTAATAAATTCGTTATGAACTCGATCTAATAAACAATTATTTATCGATTCATGAAATATTATCGTGCCCATTATTATTCTTTAGAAATTAAAATGATATTAGAAAAATTAATTTGTAAAATTGTGCAAAATTTATTATTTGTAACCTTCATCAGTTTTTTTGTAATTGTAGTATTAAATTCTCAAAAAACATTCAGTATTAAATTACATATTTTATTAATAAATAAAAAAATTTTGCTAAATTTATTTGTTTTTTTTTTTGGTTTAATATTGTTGTTGTCTGAAATGCTTTCTTATTTAATTTTAGATCAAGCATTTTTGACCCACCAAATCCAATAAGTAATCCTAATAATTTGCCTTTAATTTTTGGACGCACTGTTGATTTACAGCTTCAACAATTGATTGAATTTTCTTTAAAAGATTTTGTTACACCATGGCTAAAGTAAGTAGTTTTATTAAAAATATTTAGTTTCTTGTTCTAATTATTTACAAAGTATTATTTGTAATTAATTTAATCATAAGCACTTTTTTAAAAAGAAACTTAATTTTTATTTATAGGCAAGTAGTAACAAAACCTAAAAATTTAAGCGATGTACTCCGCGAGGACATTTGGAATGGAATACAAAAGTTACGTGAAAGATCAATTAAAATTGACTCTCCTAAAGTTATAGCGGTAGATATGGTCAATCGTATAACAGTTCATCTAGAAAAAATACGTATTACAAATTCTAGAGCGTAAGTTTTGCTATATGAAAAGTTATTTATCTTTATATAATTATATAATATGAAATTTAATGAGTATAATTTTAGTCTTGAAACTGGCACAACTCCAATGTTTGCAACGAACTCATATTTACAAAGTGAAGAAAGAGAATTAGAGTTTCTGAGAAAATTAACAGAAATTGTTATTATTTTTTTACTGCCGAGAGGATACTCTTTATCACCTTTGAAAATTCTTTTAAGTGAAATTCTTTCGTATAAAAGTATGTAGAATTTTTTTTTATTAAATGCAGGCATTAATTATTTCTTTTCACACTTTTAACTTTAGTATTTTTCCCGATGATTAAAATGATAACGTCACCAGATTATATTAATCAAAAAATTGTACAATATATAGAACAGAGACTTGCTGCACAAGCTATGAATAAAAGAACACATGAGTATGCTGCAAGCTTTGAGGATATTTTAAAAATTATTCAAAATTCAACAAATACTGATGAACTTTTACATATAAGAACAAGTATTATAAATGATTTAATGCATGCTACAACAATGCAAAACCTACAGAGATCTAAAGGTACATATAATTTTTTTTTTAAAACTGATGAAGGTTTTTAAAGATTACTTGTCCATAGGTTTAGATCCAGATAAAGAAGACAATTGCTTATCTAGATCTGAGGTTTCGGCTGCCTTACGTCTTAAAAGGTATGTTCAGCAATTAACATTCGCTAAATCGCAATGTGAAAAAAATTTATCAAAGTTTGGATGGGATGGCCATTTTACTAACGATTTGGTAATAACGTATATAATTTGCTTTATTATATTTTTTTATTCATACTAAATTATGTGAAATAAATTTTAGAATCTATCACTTCTTGATATTTTATCAACCGTAGTTGGAAGAAGATATCTGACTTTATTTTTAGAACCACTAAAAGCTAGCGCGCTGGTTGGCTATTATACGGCGGTTGAAGAGTTGAAGCATTCTTCAAAATTATCTTGGCATCAATTAGGGGCTGAAATTTTTTACACATATATACGTGTGCCAATGTCAGAGATTAATATAGATAAAAGTGATCGAAAAAAAATTGAGACATTTTTGTTGGGCGATACAGGTCCAGATGTCTTCTATGATATTCAAAAAAATATTTTCAAAACTTTAGAAGAAAAATACTACCCACCATTTTTATTAAGTGACCAGTACCGTCAACTAAAAGATAATTTAACATCGGACGATTTCAAGGACATTTCTAATTTTGTGAATGAAAGTCAAGATGAAAATCAAACTACCTCTTTAGAAACAGAGTGCACAACAATGGATTTTACAAATCATTCTAGTTATGCGAGAAATAAACTTGAGCAATTACATGAACGTTTAGAAAATAAAAATCAGGCATTTGAAGCCTTGAAATCTTCTGTTAAGCCTGAATCGAAAGTATTGGGCATATTAGAAAAAGAGGTTGAATGGTTACGTGGTGAGAAGAGACAGATTGAAGCACACTTGCTAAGAACTGAAATTTGGAGTGATTATTTAGGAAAGTGGAAAGCTGATATACAAAGTGTAGATGTAAGTTACTGAAACTTTTTATTAGTCAGCTGCAACATGTTTGATTTTAGATCTCCGAAGATAAAGATGTTCCACAATTTATGATTTTGGTACATGTTAATCAAGATATTCATTCATCTGCAAATGGAACGCATCAAAATGGGTATAATGATTCAGAAAACATATCCACGGGTTGGGTTGTATTAAGATCTCTAACACAATTTCATGTAAGCAATTAGAACAATATTTATTCTTTTAAATTGATCTCTTTCTGAAAACTGCAACGATAAGTAATCTTTCGATTTACTTTCTTATATAAAGGAATTACATAGAAAATTACGACCTCTAAGCCAAGAACTAAAATCTTACGAATTGCCAACAACGTTCAAATTGTTTTTCTTGAAGTCTGACAAAAATTCTTTAGAAAAAGCCAAAGCACAAAGCCAAAAATATTTAAATGTAAGAATGTTTTTTTATGAAACCAAAAAATTAAAAATAAGAAAGAAAAAAATCTTTCATCTTCAATTTTCTCTTTTTTATTCAGTTCATTTTGGAAGATGAACATTTAAGTCAAAGCGAAGCTATATATACATTTCTTAGTCCATCATCGGAGCATTTGAAGTATTCAACACCCTCACCAAAAAAATCAAAATTTTCATTATCAACCTTATTTAAAATTGATTCCAGTAAGTCGGATTCCACTAATAATAAGGATCCTTTCTGGGGTGGCCTATCTGGTTGTCGTGAAGATGATGACTTATCTATATATTTGGATAGTTCTAATTCAAATGACACTGATGGCAAGTTTCATATTGACATCGATTCTAAGGATTCTATAGCTGAACCACTATACGCACTAATGAGTGAAATTTTTGATATGGGTGGTTTATTTACTTGGTTACGAAAGAAATTGATCTCTTTTGTTCAATTAACTTATGGTAGAACAATAAATCGTCAAATTAGGGAATCAATATCATATTTGTTTGAAGAATCAATGTTACATTTTTATGTGTCGACAGCCTTAAAATCTTTTTGGCCTGGTGGTATTTTAGCATCAAGTTATCCGGTTAGATCAGATGATATGAAAGAAATGACAACAAATGCGGCTAAAGTATTTATATTTATTAATCAATTTGTAAAAAGAAAAAATTTCGAAAAAAATTTTTTTAGGCACTACTAGCTGATAACATTCCTGAAGTATTATGTAATTTACTGGGAGCGCAAACCGCTAAACATGGAATTTTTAAGGTATTTGATGCATTACAAAATCCAATGTACAACAAACAACTCTTTTATGTAAGTTCACTTCGTTTACTCATATATGATTAATAAATATGTATATAAAATAAAATTTTTTTTTGCAGGAATTCATAGAAATTTTCATGTTAGAATTATTTCCAGAGATTAGGCAACTAAAACCCACAATTCCAAAAACAAATTCAAATCTTAAACAATAAATTCTAAATCATTAGGAATTGTTGTTTCAATTTTATCGGTTCGTATTAAGTTGTTTAAGAATAAAATTCCAAGTTGTGAAAAATTTGGTTCCTTTTCATTATAAATACATATATCTAATATATTAATGATATTATTAATATATTTTATTGTACAATTACGACTTTCGTGAAGATAAGAATATCATTTCATTATTTATTTTGTTCTTTTATATCAAAATTAAGACCTTCTGTAAGCAACAGATAGTGTTTCTATGTTTCTAATAACTTAAATCATGTATTGAATTTAAAGGTCAAAACTATTGAAAAGTGTTAATGAAATATTTTGTATAACATATCATAAAATATTTTTCAATTTTAATACGCTACAAAATTATAAATATCATTGGCAATCACAATTAAACTTGATTTTATTTTTTTAATTATTTTGACCCAGTATATTATGTTTAAAAACTGGTATGAAAGTATTGATGCATAAATTTTTGACCATTCAATTTTAAAAATCAATGCATAATTTTAAAATATTTTTTATTTCGTATTGATTGAATTGATTTTAAATAATTAACAACGTAAAAATATTTTTAATCAGATTGTCTTACTTTTCTTATTTTTTTTTGTTGTATTAAATTCAACTGTTGAAAATGATAACCTGACCAAAATTAAAAAAAATTCTTCTAAAACATTTTATTAATTTTAAGGAGTAATTTGTAGAATTATGAAAAAATATTTTATGATAAATTGCAAAGTCATACTAACTCTAGTTAGTTTTAAATTAAAATTAGTTTAAATTTTTAATCCCGGTAAAATTATACTTTAATAAAAATTTAAAAATTTTTCCTTTTTATTTTCATTTTACCAAAAAGTAAAAAGCTAATTATTTATTTTATGTTTGAAGTAATAAAATTTTAAATTTAATAATTTATATTTATTTGTATTTTTGACAATGTATTTAATTTTTATACGATACTATTTACTATTTCTGTAATTACTATGAATATTTTTATAATGATTAATTAATCAAAATTCCCAAAACACTTTTAATAGATTAATTAATTTTAATTTTGGAATTTAAAATTATATAAGATCTATTCATTAATCATTTCATTTTTTTAACTTGATAATTTTTAATCCCATGTAACGACGAAATTGAATAAATAGTAACGAATATGGAAATTCAAAAAAAAATATATTTACTTTTAGAAGAAACAAAATTTCATGCCTTATACAAATTTCATGATTTTAATTTAAGAAAAAAAATACCATGACAAACACTCCAAACTTTAAGTACTTTAATTTTTCTAACATTTAGAGTAAATAATATATTTAAAAATCAATAATGCTATATATTTAATGTAGTTTTTAAGGTTTGTGAATACAATTTTTAATTTTCGACAAGTGATTTTTTTTTAATTTTTATATAGGAGGATATGAAAATATTATTCTTTAGATTGTTTTATAGGTACATCCACATACATAATTTTTAGGTTTAATATTAAAGTTTATTTAACGTACAAATATATAATTATAAGTGAAGCCTCATGCAAAATGTGTATATTTATTTATGAAAAATTATTTTCCGACAATAAAAATATAGATTCTAATTTAAGAAAAGAAGTACTCTGTATTCTCATAAGTTTTCCTAAACACTTGTTGACATAAATTTCAATTTATTATAATATGTGTATGTGTATAAAATGTTCCTGTTTTATATGAACATGTTAATATTTTTTCTAATATAACAAATAAAATTTTGGTTAACTATTTAAGAAAATAAAAAGTTCTATCAATTTTATTACTAATACTTTGTAAACTTTATCATTTTACAACTTTTAATCATAATACAATGTACACCTATGTTTGAGGCAATACCTACCAAGTTTCCTACTAATTTAGCTTTTTACATTATAATAACTAATTTTCTAATCTAATAAATAAAAAAAAAAACATCAATACATTAACTACAATAACATTATAATATGTATATATTTGAAATAAAATATGTATTTGAGGGGTACTTAGCTCACAAAAATAAATAATATAGAGAAATTCTAATATTTTTTTTTAATATTAATTAATCATTTAAATTAATATGTTGCTCTATAAATAGGGAACAATTGACAACGATAGGCCTAGTCAGAAACTAATTCATGTATTTTTAAAATAATTAAATAAAAAAAAAGAGTAATAAAGGCTTTTAAATATTGAAAAAAAAAAGAATTGTTTTTTTAAATTTTACCCAATTTATATATTCAAGTTTGAGATTCTCGCCTAAGTTTGCAAAAGTTGATTTCGATTGGTTTTTGAAAAAAGTTAATTAATTAATTAACTTCAGAAATTTCATATTAAAATATTAGAAAATAACTTGATGATTTATTTTTTGAGAATGATTTATTTTATGAAAAATTCAAAATTATATAATTAAAAGGGTATTTATTAAAATTTACAATTTGAAATGTCAGGAACATTAAATGATCCTATGTAATTGAATTTGTGAACTTGTAACTATAATGATTTTAATCTATCCTAAAAAATAATAGTACATTATAAAGCATATTAAATGCAACATATACCATTATAAACATATAATTTTAACACATAATATTTATGGCATAATACAATATAATAATTGATTTTTATGTGACTTAATATTAAAATTAAAAAATAGAATTTAATAACGAAAATATAATATCTATTATTATATACAATACATATTGAAATTTTATGTATGAATTAGGATTTATAAATAATATTTTGGATATACAAACTTACAAAAAATCTATAACATATTCATATATATATAAAAGAAAATATATATGTCGTGATAAATAAATAATGTAGTTTTATTTTTTGAATTTTTATTCTCGAATTTTAATTTGAATTTTTTATATTTCCATACAACAGCTATGAAAATGAGAAAATAATATTATCCACCTTCTATCCTTAGTGTTTTATCAAGACCTCCGCGTTAGAATTTGTTTTTATATGTGATGTTTTATTATGCGATTTGCTTGTATTTTTGGCTTTTAAATATCAAATATGGTAGCAAAGCCTATCTATTATACCGGCAGACTATGAACTATGAACTATCTGAAAAATGTGGTTTTAAAATTAAGAATAAAATGATTTTTATAGCTAAATAAATAAGAAAAAAACATCGAATAAATTTTTTAAAAGTTTTTATTTACTTTTAATATATATCTGCTTTTTACTAATGTTATTTTTCTTCTTTTTTTTTAATATGTGTAATGTTGTAGCATAATAATTAATTTTTCTTTTAATTATCTTATTTTATACAAATTCTTCAATTTTATTTACTTAAATAAAAACGAAATAACTAGTAGTAATAAAATCATTTTAATTTTTATGTTAAATTGAAAATAATAAACATTACTAAATTTATTTTATACATAATATAATACCATAATATATATGTGTATCTTTATTTCAACAATTAGACAATAATAATTATTAAATTATATATCCTTTTTTTTATTTTACAATAATTTTTATTATTAAAACGTATTGATAATTTTTTAAATTCTATTCGTATTTCTTTTTAATTTTTCGTATTTTAAAGTTCACTGATCAAAGAAATTTAAATTTGCCATAATCGAATGGATAATGTAATTATATAAAACTGAAATATAATTTTCACCAAAAATTTTTTAATATTAAAGTAAAAACGATATAGCATGTTTAATATTATTCTATATGGTACAAAAATAATAGTACAAGTATTTAAATGAAATTAAGAAATTTTACTTCATTGAATAATTTAAATGGCAATTTGAATGGAAACATTTCCGTGTCCTGATCAAAAACACTGATCGTAATATTGCGAAAAAAATCAAGCCATTTTCACATTGCAGTCTTTCTTTTATTCAATTTCATTTATCAATTTAGCAAAATAATAAATATGGACATATTATTAAAAAGATTATAAGAGTACTGAAAATTTTTTATAAAATATAATTTAAAAACTTTCCAAAAATATTGTCAAATACATATGTGTATCCAGTAAGATATTAATTTTCACACTTAATTAAATAATTTAAGTTCAATTATTTCATTGCAATCGAATATCAATATAAAATTCAAATTTTAATTTTTTTTCTCTGTTCGAAGTAGAAAAATAAATGTACAAATTTAATTTGTAAAATGATTTGTCATTTTATTTGCAGTATAAAGAAAAATGTTTAAAAATTAGTTATTTACATCTTAAATATAAAATAAAAGAAATTGAGCATGATAACAAAAGAAAACAACCTTAATTTGCATTTAGTATTTTATACAAATCTTAAAAATATATATAGGAATAACAAGTACATATATATAGGAATTGATTATGATAAAAAATGTACAACTAAATTTTTTTTCCTTTTATTTTCGTATTACAACATATTTTCGAAGAATATGAATTGCAAAAAGTTTGAGAATAGCCTTAAAATAAGGAGACATTTAACTAAATTATTATTTGAAATTTTTTTTTTCTTTTTTATTTAGAATGCATTAAAATTTACAATTTTATTGTTGAAATAATTTATAAAAATTTGTCTTGCATTTTAACAAATTACATAGTTAATATTTTACGTTAATATTTTTATTCAAATTTTCAAAATAATTTTATTAACTACAATATAATAGTAATTATAATATAAATTTTGCTGAGTGATAAAAATATTTTCTTTTTTAAATAATTTGTTTTAATTTACATATACAATAATATTTTTAAAAAAAATTTTTTTTCGTTAATATTTAATTTTTTTTTTATGTTTTATTTTATTAGTCTAATTTGAATTAAAAAATATCACACAAATATTTTATGTTTTTTAACACTTTATTTTATAATAAGTGATAATTATTTATTGTAATAATTATCATATGTACTTATTGTAATTACTTTGAAATATTAGTGCGTTTATAATTAATTTTTACTTATTTTCTCACATTTCATTCATTTTTATTTCTATTTCTAACATTTTTACTAAAGGAGATATTGTTAAGCATTTTTCAATTATATTTGTTCTGTAATCATCTTAACTTAGTTTATGATAAATTTAGATTTGTTATTGAATTTGAAATAGATTCGAAAAAAGAACTTAATGGCAAAAATCCTTTATTCTTCATAAAATTCATATATGCACAGAATATATTATTTTAAGATCCACTAATCTTAAAAAGAACGCGGTACAGCTTTTCCTGATACATATATGCTTTTTAATATGTTATACATTATTGTTCAACAATATAACAAATTCAATAATAAAACTATACTTTCTTTATGAACAATTATTTAAAAAATTAAAAAAACAAAATGTCTTTCAAAATTAAACAAAAAAGAATATAAAAACAAGTTTAATAAAAAATTATTTAGCGAGAAAAATTTTATAAATATTGTATATTTACATAGCCTTATAGCAAGTCACGATGAAATACCCAGGTGTGTTTTGTGTGAGCAAAACGATGAGACAACCATTGTGATTCTAGTAAATTGAAACGATCTTCACTAAGGTAAAGTGGTTTTCCACGTCTAAAATTAAAACAAATAGTTTTTTAAATTCGATTGAAATTGCAATAATGTCTTACTTTAAATCTCTATCTTCTTCATCAAAATCATCTAAATATAAAGAACCCCATAAGCAAGCTCTTCTTCCTCTGATAACTATTATGTAAGTTGATGTTACAACGAGAAATATTCCTATTCCACCTCCGCAATTTATTGCATGCTATTATAAAAAAGAACAAACAGAAATTTCACTTTAAAGTTTGAAACATATAATTAAATTTACTTACTCTAACTGCTTCACAACATTCACCAACTGCACAACACTGTTGTTTTAAGCAAACAATGGTTCCACATAATAGACAAATTGAGCTTTCTTTTGGCACTTGTAGGCAACTCAAGCAAGCACTCTCATGATAGTACTGTAATTATAAAAGTAAGAAGTTTTATTTAGATATTTCCTTTTAGAGGAATTTACAGTTTATGAAACAAAATTTCAATTTAAATATATGTAGGTATGAATAATATAGAAAAGTAAATGTACAATGTATGTATATGAAAAAAAATGAAAAATTTTTTAATCTGAAAAAACTTTTACCGTAAATAATCTTTCATATTCTTTAGGTAATTTTAAAAGTTTTGGCTGATGCCAATCCAAATGTTGATTCATTACTAGCTCCCTAATTGTGTCCGTTGGCGGTGGCGTTTCTGACAAAAGTTGTTCGCACCAAAATTTGGGTAAAGTTTGTTCTGTGCCCAATATGAAGCATAACGCCTTTGAAGCATTAAAGCAATCCCAATCCATACTTTCTGTTACCAATTCCAGGAAATATACTAAGCGAACAAATTCTAATTGTGGTGTCGCTATTTCTGGCAATTCCTGCCTATATAAATGATGTCGTAATAATGCTGCTATTCTTAAAAATGGTAAGCATAATTTTTGTAAGTTTTGTTCCATTGTACCTAAGTGTATCGATGAATTTGCTGTTGATGATTGTACACTTTCACGTCTTAACTGTTTTAAACGGTCTGTATTTGATAAGACAAAAGCTAATGCAGCTCCTAAATTCTTAACTCCAGTTGTTTTAATATAATTTGATTTATTTGAATACTTTTCTATGATTTCATCACATTCTAAATCAGTCAAAGTTGTGCATAGCTGAACAACAACTTGGTAATAAAGTAAATTATACATTGCTTTAACTATGCATGTGAAATACACTGAAAATATTTATAAATGAAAGTAAAATAATCCATTGATATACAAAAGTTTAAATATTTACCTTGATCCAAATGAAGTGGAGCTAATAATATGAATTTGATTAATAATGCAATTGGATCAGCTAAAAGACTAGGTATAAATTCTTTACAATGTGAAGGCACTGGTGCTGAATCAAATATAGGTAAACCGGCTAGTAAAGCCCATGATCGCCATAAGGGCCATACAACTAAAACTCTTATGTGAACAGATAATACATGTAATAGAGGAACTATGCATTCCCGTTTTGGTTTATATCTAATTGTGTTATTAGTACATAAAGAACCACCTCTTTGTATTATTTCAGCTTCTAAATTTGTTCTTGCTATAGATGTTACAAACAAAAAAAGACTTCTAAATGTCGGGGGAACACGTTTTTGCTTACGATGTGTTATATTAGTCATATCTTCCATAGCCCTACCCATCGCTTCAGACAATTTTGTTGTAGGCTTTAAAAGAAAAAAATTATTTAAATGTAGTAGGTTAAAATATTGGTTTTAGTGCAAAAAAAAATCTTACGGGAGGTTTTTCATTTTCCTTAATTAAGTTTGTTAATTCACTGACTAGCTGTTCATAACTATGTTGTCCAGATCGTATAATTGGTGTTAGGCGATCTAATTGAGGACTTAGAGGAAGCACAGAATTTGATAGTTGCCGACACACTGGACAATAGAATTCGCCACGTTCAACGTGTAAATTTTGTCTTTGTGTTGGGTATAATGAATTTAAATATGCATCAAGACATGTCAAATGTACATGATGACCACATGATTGAACATGTATTCCAGTTTCATATGCTAAATTGTTAGATAAATACCAGGAATCTTCACCAAATTTCATACCTAAAATAACTGTACGGCGATTAAATTCTGTGGCCAAACGTGTACTGAGCATTAGTTCATCAGCTTCACTAGATGACAATGGTAATTTCAAGCGTTCTTCAGATTTCCGTCGATGACCAACGACACCAGATGATTCCACTAAAACCACCAAACCAATAGGGTTTGTTTCGGTACTAGCACTAGTTCGATTACATATTATACAATCATATTCTTTCTCGCGAGGTTGCTCAATTTCATCATCTTCAATTTCTTCCCCAATATCCATATTTTCAGCAGCCATTTTCATAAATTGTTTTTGCTTATTAGCAAATTCTGCCAAAAGTTCTTGCTGTCGTTCACGAGCTCGTTTTCCACGTTCTTCTTTTTCTTTAGCCTCTCTTGCTTTTTGTTCAGCTTGTTTTTCTCTTTGATTTGGCCACAAACGTTGTCGTATTAAATCAATATTTTGAGCACAAGCTTCATTACGTTTAGCAATCTTTCGCAACAAGTTTCCAATGAAATAAGGGCCATCTCCAACACGAGATTCAGAAACTTTAATACGATTATTTTGTCGACTAGATTTATTCTCCAGTATTGATTCGTCATTTCTAATTGAAGAAGATGGCCCTGCTTCCTCAGAGTCTACATCCATAGAAGTACTAGCAGATTCTAAAACATTTTATAATACTTCATAAATATTAATTTATTTAACATAAATGGGATTACATACCTTCATTAAAATTACTTTCGTCATTTTCATTTTTATCATAAAAATAGTCTTCTAAGGAGAAACTATCTAAAGTACCGCTTAATTGAGAGTGTAGTTTGAGAAGTAAAGATAGAATGCTTTCATCCAAAAACACCGTGTCGGAATCTATACTAAAGGCATTTTCGATGGCACGTTTCCTATTAGTACAACCTCCACTTATATTTATACCACTTCCGATGTTACTATTTCGACTTCCCCCAGCTGCCATAGTGCTTGATATAACACGATTTCCGTGAGTAGGCACTACGTCTAGATTACGACTAGGAATAGCAACTGGTTGAACACGTTGAAATGGCAATAACATTACATTATTTGAAGTTGGGGAAAACATTTCAGTTTGATGAGTGGATGGTGGTTGGCGTACATTTGTATGCTGATGATTTGTTGATTCTAAGCCTAGTTCACGGCGTATAGCTACTTCCATACCACTTTCAGGTAACGCTATGGTTTGCAGAGCAAAATGTGATGCTATGTTATTTATAGTTTGAAGTTCCATTGAATCGAATCGATTTGTCGAATTTCTGTTTTCAGAATTGGATGCTACCGTTCCTTCACTACTAATATTTTCTTCAGTTGGAGTCGTTGCTTCTACAATAACTGTACCGCCACTTCCGCCGTGCATACTACCGTCTTCACTGACATCTTCTTCTTGACTATTGCTGCGTATTACTAATGATTGCTCGGAAACAATAGACAAATCTTGGGGTATTGCAACTTCCATGCCACTAGAAGCTGGTGGTAACATGTCATGTCCTACGATCATTGGTAATGTTTCACTTTCTGAAACATCCCACTCTTGATCGCTATCAAAATTATTTGTATTGTAACTGGGAGTAACTTGTGGTTCCTGTGGCTTTAAGGACACTTTATGAACATTAAAACGCAAATTTTCGAAAAGGTTATCAGTTGGATAACACTGTAATAGCTCTGGAGCATCACGAGAAGATCTTGAATAATAACCACCACTTGTATTTCGTTCACATTCCGATATTGTGTCTTTATTAGTTTTCAAATTATCACTATTTTCTACAGCAATTTCAAGTAAAAATACTGCCAATGCCAATAAATGTTCGGATATATTATGCGAATTAACAGCGCGATGTAATATTGCCAATATTGTTGAATGGAAGACACGAGAATTTAATATGCAACATGGATCACTGAATTGTTCCCCAACTGGACGTGGTAGTCTAAATGGTGGCCACAAATTGCCACTTTTTGGCATCTTATTTTTGCTTTTGACATAATTTCCAAAACGATCCATTGAACTCTGAAAATCTCGTCTGTGCACAGCTCTTAACAAAACGTGCAAAGGATCGTAAAAATGTTCCCAAACTTCATCTATTGGCATAAATAAACCTTGTTCTAAATTTTCTGAACGTGATGCTGGTGCTTTGTAAACTGACAATTGTTTTAAAAATTTTTCAAAATTTTTCGTATGCACATTTCCAGAACGTTCTGGCATCAACTCTAATAGTTGACTATGTGTTTTGTTTTCTGTAGCTAATAGAGCACTAATTTCAATTATGCATTGCGTACGTTCATCATTCCCCAAATTTGTTCGAGATGTTGCTAATGTTGCTAAAAATGTTAAAAAGCCTTCCAACATAGAATCCTGTTCCATTTCTTGTGGTGTTGATAACGGTGACATTCCAAGCCAGTCGGATACTCCAAATGAGTCAATTGTTGTTGTTAAAAAAACACTAGCGGGTAATTGGGTTGCACATATTTGCAGGAAGAATAAATCCATATCAACCATTGAATTACAAAAATTCGCTTGGATATATGTCATTGCTTGTCCTTTGATTTGTAAACCGTTCCTTATCCATATACCAGCTAATATTTCATAAAAGAAACTCTAAAATAAGAAGGAAAAAGTTAATAAGTTTTAGCATTCAAATTTTTCTTATAATGAAGTACATATGTATGTACATATGCACATAGATATTATACTTTTTAACATTATATATAAGTACACATAAAAAAGAATGAACAAATTACATGTTGATATAATAACATGAAAATTTTCCAACAAAATGTAAAATTAACAGTTTCAAATGTAAAAGTCACAAAGTTTCAGAACACTCCTGTGTAAGAAATAAACAAAAAGGTAAATTCCCTTTTTCAAAATATTCCATTGCAAATACATATCATCAAACCTGGCAATAATTCCAAGAGAAACATACTTTTACTGACCCTAAAATTGAATTGATAGCAGATTGAAAATATTGATTAAAAAGTACTCTAAAAACTCAATATTTATTAACAAAACTTACTCTTAAACATATTTTTCCATTTTATTTTTAAAGAGCGAAATTGTTTAATTATAAAAGATACATACACACATAATATATTCTTAAGGAAGCAAAAGTCTAGGCTGATTACAAAAATTAAAATAATTCAAACTTATCATATACACGTACATACATATACATATGTATGTAGGCATATATTTTCGTAACAAATTTTAAAAAACTTATAAAGAACTACATTTGATTCTGGGAACAATAAAAAAAATTGTTTAGCAAATGTGAGCACAAGAATCAGTCTCTAGGCTTGCAAACCACATTTTTATAAAATTGTCGTTGTTTCCAAAATGCAGTTATTGTTGGTTGAATTATGTTGAACAAATACTACTACATTTGGTGCACTTCCATAATAATTTTATGAATGAAGAGAATAAAAATTACATAAAGCGCTCAGACGTCGATTATTCGTGTACATATGTAGGTATTTATATTTAATAAAAATTTATAGATACTAAAATAGGGTGACAATAAATAAGAGATTGATATAAACAACGTATCTTTAAAAGAGAGAATATTCAAAATGGTTTTCACTGAGCGTCGTCGCGTCATTCATGTCGTAATTAATTACAATTGCACATTATGCATTGTTTTATTATTACCAAGGATAGATTATTATTTTCTATGGCAATCGACGAAATAGATTTTAAAGGTTTAGATTAAATGACAAAAATTTAATAAACCGTAATTTAATTTTTAAAATTTTTGTTAACAAAACCATATTGAATGTGTTATAGATTATTATTTTATATTTACAATAATATAATTCCGAATTGTTAGAACTATTTTTACAACGTATAGGTAATAAAAATGCTAAATTGTAATAAGTTGATTGAACAGACCATTGTGTTTGATAAAGACTATCTAAAATTAATTAGTAGAAGCCTGTTCCAAGAATATAAATCTCTACCACCATTCATATATTTTTCCTATATATGTATGTATGTATATACATCACCATTCTTATTATTTTGTATATTTTATAACTGTTATTTTTCGAATTTATAATTATCATTATATTCAACTCTCGTTTTCAACTCAAACTTAATTCAACTTGTATTCGTAATAAAAACTTCTATCATATAAAATACATACTTAAACTTATTTTATTGCTCACCTAGAGATTACAGTATTACACGGACAGACAGAGTCACTGAGGCATTTTAGAAATTATATATTTCTACCTCTTGTGCTTGTCTCTTGTGTTGTATTAATCACTTATGTATGAATGTATATTTCTGTATAATAAAAATATCTCGATTCGATGTAAAAATAATAAATATACGAAGAGTGTAAATATATAAGCACATTTATTGTCCACATACATTCGTACATGAATTATGTTTATGTACTTTTGACTATTGCTGTATTTTTATTTTGACTTTTTATTTCAGTCATCAATTATTATTTGGTCTGAGAGCAGGCTACAATCTTCTTTTATAACTTTGATTTCTTTACTTTTTTTTATATGTATATATTTTAATGTTATAACAACAAAAAGTGCAAAAAAAAAAGAGATACCGTGGCAGTGCTCAATGTTGTGCTTTGTTAATCATTTATTATAATTTTCACTGCCAGTTAAATAAATGTTAGATAAAATAACTGAGAATTAATAGTCTTTTTTTCCTATCTCAGATATTTATTGTGATAATTCTATAATTTTAAATGGTAGTTACGGATAAAAGAAAATTTAAATTGATATTTAAATAGTATAATAATAATGGTGCAACTATATAATAAAAAAATTTATAATAAACCTTTAATATCATTTTTAATGATTTTAGTTTTTTTTAATAATTTTAATAATACAAATGCTGTAATAGATGATGTATTAGATGTTCTACATGTAACTAAAGTAGTTGCAACTGGTATATTAAAAACATGGGATATTATTGAAGAAACAAAAGTTGGTGAGCATGTTGAGTTACCAGTAATGAGAGAGAAATCTAAAAAGGTTTTAAAACGTATTGCTGAATTATCAAGAAAAATTGATCAAAATCAAGAAAAGGTAAGTAGGTGTTGGGTTGTGTAAATAAAACATAAAAAATAAAACAAAAGAGTAGGTTTGTATTTTGAAAAGTTCAATTAAATTTCCGTTTTCATATAAAACACATTGAACATAATGTATGATATCAACGTTTAGAATTCATAGATTCGAAATTAATCACTTTAAAATTAGAAAGAAAGGGTAAAAATACCTCATAATTGATTCTATTATGTTTGATATGCTGAAATACTTAAATTAGAATTATATTTATCAATTTTATAATAAATATGTATGCAAACTGTTTTTCAAAAAAATTCATAATGTAATTTATAAGAGAGTTTAATTAAAGTCACAGTCACTAACCTATTAGAAAATTTGATCTATAACTTGAAACAAAATAAAATAGACAAGAATATAAAATAAATAAAATTCTATCTTGATTTTAAATTAAACTAAAAAATTTTAACCAAATACATATGTGCAATCCTATTGAAATTGAAATTATTCAATAATTTCAATCTTATTTTGCAGTTCTCAATATTTGCTGAATATACGATTGAACAAATAAATGATCGAATAAAAACAAATACTAGATTAGAATTAGAATTACATGAAATTAAGGATATTATAAATCGTATTGGAAGTCGGGCAAATGAAATGGAACGATATGAAAAACATCAGGATACCTTAGAACCGGATACATTAATAAAATTTGCTGAATGGAATGTTTCACCTAACGCCTATGCAATTAATCATTTATTGGAAAGATTACATGTATTATTTATTGGAGCAAAACGTGAATCACGTACAAGTAATCGCAATGTACTTATGATGTTAAGTGATAGTTTGTTGGTAATTTTTATTTTAAATATTTTATTTTATTGTTACTTTTGTCGCACTTAAAACTTTCGAAAATTCCAAAAATCGAAAAATTTGCACAATTCATTTTAACTTCGAAGAACTTAATAATTTTTTTTTTCTTTTCCTTTTTAAAATAACATAATCAGTTCTCTTTCTTTCCACACATTTACTATTCAAATTTAACCATGCTTAATTTTAGTTTGGTCTATCGGAAAGATTTCGAAGCGAAAGTGTATGCAAAAAAAAATAATAATAATTAGTTAGTTAAATTGAATTAATATACATATACGTTACATATGTCTACATATAAAATATACTTCTACAAATCTGCTGCAAATATTTAAGTATTAAGGTAAATGAATTATTAAAAAAGAGTTACAAAGAAAATAACCTATGAGTCACATCAGTATTTTTTTTAAAGAAAAGTAAATGAGTAGATTCATGCTCATTTAGTAGAGTGTAAATTATAACGAAAAAATTTTTATATATGTATATAAATAACTGTATTTTCCGGTTTTAATTTCGACATTATTTAGTTTTCATAAAGTAAGGTTAGCACTTACTACAATATTTATAGTAAGAGGGTAACAAAATGACTAATAATTTGTAATTCACTTAGCAAAAAATTTTTTTACTTATACTAAAAGAAAAAAAACTAAATTAACAATTTAAATTTCATTAATCAACATTTTCAAAACCGCTTTTAAAAAATAAATTTTATTAATAATGCAGTAATGTAATACATAATAAAAAAATATGTATATGTACATACATAATTCATATAGTAAGTGAAAATAAATATAACGAAAAAAAGCTCAGAATTGCAATAAAAGAACTGTGAGTGATTGATGTTTCAGAAGATATTGCAGTTCTTATTAAAAAAAGAAATTTCACTAGCTCTTTCTTTATAAATGCTTATTAGGTTTTATAAGAATTAATTCTTTAAGTAAAAATCGTCACGGATCATTTGAATAGTATTAATATTTAATTTAATTTATATAAATATGTATATTTATAAAATTGTAAAGTGATATGAAAAATCGTTTGTCATTCATTAAAAAAAGCTATTTAAAGCAAGATGTAGGGTGACTTTTAATAGAAATTTTTCATTATTTTATCTTTTCCCATATTGTAACGTTATTTCTCTATTTCTAAACCGATTTTTGAATATCTTCCTACTTTCAAACTATTTAAGAAACGCCTATTATCCAAACTAATCATTAGTAAACCCTAAAAACATTAACAGAAATAGAGTCAATTTTATTAATGTTGATAGTAAAACTTAAATTAGTGAAATAACTTCTGAATTTTAATTGCCCCTTAAATATTATGTATTTATTATTTTGAAGAGTATGTTTATAAATTTTATGTAAATATTAAAATCACTTTTCATTCCATGTTCATTAACCCTTAAATATAAATTAAAATTTCTTCAAGTTATTAATGAATAATCTTTTTAGAAATCTAAAATTAATAATAACCTTGTAATTAATTTATTTTATGACCTAAGTATCAGTTATTCGCAAAAAAACTTTTCAAAATGTTTGTTTATCCCTAACACCTACATGCAAAATTCAGTCTCTTTATGTAATTTTGTCTTTGATTGTTTTTTTTTTAAGACCAATGATGAGTTGTATGAAAAAACATGGGTTTTAATAAGAATTTTGAAAAAAACACATGGTTATAAATTAAAACTTGATTTGTGGTCTCTTTAAAACTTCAGAAACTTTAAGTAAAATTCAATATAAATGCTCTTAGAAATAAGATGAAGAAAATAAAAGAAACAAGAAGAATAAAATTAAGTTATAAAACATGTCCAATTTATACTTAAATCATGAATCATTTATAATAAAAACATTTCTTTTATTTTTTTTATCAACTTGCTTTGTTTTCTTAGAATTATTATTTAATATTATAATTTTATTTATTAATATTATAATTTTTTCATAAAGGAAAAAGAAATACGCACACATACAAAAGACAACACAAAAAAAAAAATTGAATTTTTGTGCTTTTGCGTTCTAGCTAGCTAGCATTTCAAGCCTCGCTTTCGAAATCAGAATCAAATCATATAAGTATGCGGGCTAAACTTTAAATGTGTTACTATAATAAAAGATTGGCGTGAAACATTTAAAACAAAAAAAAAAAACAGAAAAATCTCATTTTCCTATTTGAATATTACATACATACATTCATATAAATATTAAAGCGTGTACAGAATGTTGTTTATAAAATGACGAAAGTTCATTGATTTTTTTTTTACAATAATCAATGAACTTTAATAATCATCAATAATAATAATAATTATAATAAGCCAATTCCTAGAAATTCTTCAATTTTCTTTTCTCATTCACAATTCTATCTTTAAAAAAAAATATAAAAAAAATGAGGAGGGGGTATAATGGAACCTTATACCTATTTCAATGATTTTGTTGTTCCATCATTAATTTCAGAGTGTTGGAAATTTAATATTTGCATTAAATAAAATAGAATTTCAATATTAAAAAAAAAATTAAATTCCTGTAAATTTTATCAAACCACTCAAATTCTATCATAAATTCATCACGTTATTAAATGTGCTTAGTTTGATGATAAAAGAAAAATCACTCAAAAATCTATACAGAAATTGCGATTTTCTTCTTTGCACTACAAGAATATACTACTAAAAACCAAAATCAATCCAAAAAAGAGCAATCAAATTAGAAGCCTAATAAGTATATTTTCTATATCATTAATTTATGACGTAAAATTAATGAAAAATTTGAAGCGATTTAAGAGAATCACCCTGTTTAACTTCAAAACTTTCAACATGTTATCAATATTTACATACATATATATTTATTATATCATGTTTATTTAAAGCTTCTTTTGTGCTGTGTTGTGCTCTCTGTGATACTTGATATTTGGATAAAAAAATTTCGTATTTTTGCAATTTTATTTTTATTTTACTGAGTTTGGTGTGCACAACGATAAGAATTTTTCATGTATGGTTTACAAACAAGAAATAAATTGCTTACGATATACTTATATTTTTTTTTTTTAATAAAATTCAGCAAAATAATAATAAAAGATTATGCTTAAAATAGAAAATTAAAGATAAAAAAAAATTTAGAAAATTTTGCAGTATTTTTTTTTAAATTCCATTTATAATTTTCTTCACAACATTAATATTTACATAGCAATGTTTATTTTTCATTTCGTTTCACCAAATATTTTTGGTAAAACAACGACTTAGAACTTTAACTTATCATAACTTGTTATTTGAGGAGAATTATTTTGTGCATTTCGATGAAGAAAAATTAAGTCCGAATCACAAGTTAAGTAATTAAGTTTCAATCAATTTGTAAACTGAATTTACTCTGAAAGCGTGTATTATAGGAAGGTCGCATTAAAGAAACGGCCCTTAACTCATTTGGAAATTCCTTAAAAATTTTTCTATTATATTATAAATATAAATACTTATATAGTTTTATATGATAGTTTAATATAAATTTTGAATGTATGTATGTATGTATGCATTCCATATCCATATTCTATAATATTAATTAAACAAATTCACCGTTACCAGAAAATGTTGCCATAGAAATTAATATTTTCAAAATGCAGAAAAATGAGGGGGAATTCATTGCATTATACTAAAATTTCGTTGACACTTCGAAAGTACTTTGTACATTTATACAAAAGAAAAAATACATAAAATATATTCCCGGTTAAATGTATCATAGATAATTATAATATCTACGCATCATATTACAATATCATGTAAGCCTATTATTTAAACAGTACATATAAGCGACTGACTATATATACAAAACATTATATACACGTACCTAAATAAATACCAAATGAAAATGAATTTATTTTATTTGACATGTACTTTTATACTTCTAGACCTACCTATACCTCACATTATATTATCATTTGTGTTTTATTATAAAACGGCAAATGTCATACATATAACTTTTGTGAAAACGTACGTACAACATGTCTACTGTAAATAACTGAAGTACGAAATTTTATTTGATATTAAAATATTAAATACATAAATAAAATATTTACGTTTGTATATATGTATGTTATGTTTACTTGTCATATAAAGCTTTAAAGAACGAAGCCAACTTTACATGTATACAACTTATTAAAAGCATATTAAATACAAATAAAGTGATTATTTTATATGACTGAATATACAAGTTAAATTTTTTAACTCTTATATACTACATACAATAAGTAATCAGAATACGAATACGGAATAAAGTTGATGAGAATGAAAATATTTTTAATTAGTTTTGTCGATAAAATGTAGCAAATGAACAATTAAATTAATAAAAATTAGAATCTAATTTTAATAAGAATTGTTAATCTAACAATGATTATGACAAAAATCTAATTAATAATATCTAGAATATAGATTCAATAAGAATATTTAGAATTTAAAACCAGTTTCTGGGTAGCCAAATTTCTTTTAATTTTATTTTCAATTCAATTCTAGTTCGATTGTACTCAATCTAGAATATTAGATTACCAGAAATTAGAAGAAAAAAAATTATTAAATGTTTTAAAATGATTTTTAGTTGTTTCCTACTTTTTATACTTATACGATATTTATATTGTTGGAGTTATACTATATAATAGATTAATATTTTTAGAAATATACTATAAATTTAAAACATACTATAATGGAATATACCATAAAATTGGATTATACTAAAAATATTGAATGTTATTTGATTACCATAACGCTGTCAATATTATATTTGAGACTCTATTTTCTAAAATTATTAAAAGAAATGCTCATGATATTAAAAAATACTCAAAATATAATGCCATACAAATTTATTAGATACTATCATAATTGAGTTATAAAATATCAAAAAATTTAGTAAAAAAAGCTCAAATTTTGCTACATGTTTTTATGAATAAAGTGAAATCCCTGAACGTGTAAATATATATATAAGAATTCATTTAGTTCAGACAAATTGGTACCCTACCAATTTAGTTGTTTTTCAATTTTATTTCAACCAGTTCTTATTATACAATCATTGAGAGAGGTTGGTTTGGTTTTTTTTTTTTGGATCGTTCAGAGAGAAACAATGCATAAAATTTCGATTTTGTATTCTTTTGTACTTTTTATATTTTGTTTTATTTGGTTTTTTATTAAATAAATATGAAAATAATGAGTACAAAGGAACCTTAATATATTCAGCCACATATTAATATTTGCATTTAAAATTTTTATTGTAATTTTAAACTGTTTTAAATTACTTGTAAATTAGTGGTGTTTTTTTTTTTTTGTATAAAAAAATAATAATTTATTTGAGGGAACTGAATTTATAAAGATAAAATAATTTATTAATAATATTGTTTAATTTCATGTATTTCTTTAAAAAGCACAATTTATAATTTGCTTTAGAATTAAAAAAAAAATAAATTTTCATTTGAGTGCGAGAATAAAACGCAAAATTTGAACTATTTCGTTTTTAGAAGAGTTCAAAGTGTCAGTGAAATTATTGATTTTTCTATTTGTGCATTTCAAAAATTCAAAATCAAGCCTTGAAAATATGAATGCAATCTAAAATTATTGAAAAAAGTGTTAAAATTAAACACAATTAAAAAAAAAATTAAAAAACAAATTTAGCAAATTAAAAAAATTAAAAGAAAACAACTTTTTCAAGGTTATCGTATACAATATTAAAATCAACTTGTAATTAATAATTTAAAAAAAAAATTTTAATAATAATAATAGGTTTAATCTTCTGTAGCGAAATTTGTTTATAAATGTATGTAATGAAAAAATGATGAACACGCAAAAGTTATAAAATGTCACCACCTACCCTAATGTAGTTTTTATTACCAGAAAAAGTTCATTTCCAACAAATTTCTTTGTGCTTTAACTGGCATTTTATTTCCTGTACATTTTATCATGTTTACTAATTTGTGAGGTTGTGTTTTTTTTAACAAAAGAACTTTATTAAAAAAAATGTTTATTCATACATATAACTTTATAAAACAATATTATTAGAAGTATAAATTATTTTCTCTTATATAAACTTTTCCCCGCTTTGCTTTCATATTGAAATTAACTCAATCATTCTAAAGTACATTACTGGTAACAAAAAATGTTACAAATTTTCCAAAATTCATTCACTAGTAGTTTCTATTTTATTACAGCAATTTGATTTGTTCCTTGATATTCTAAAAGCTCACTATCTTTTTTTATTTTAATATTTAATTCAGTATAACAATAAAAATTTTTGTCATAATAATGCAATAAATTGCACCTGTTCTTTTTTCTACAAATTACTATATTAATTCAGCGCGAAATAAATAACAAAAAATCAAAGTTATGTAAAAAAATGAACAAAATAAAATAATTAAGTAACAAAAGTGAAATAAAATATCATGAAAAAATATGAAAACACAAAGAATAACTACAACTTTAACATTATTTAGCTTATAATAAGTAGAATAATCGCAACTAAAAAAAAAACAAACACATTGCAGATAAAAAAGAGGTCACGACTATTTAAACGTTAAAATTTACAGTGGCTCAATACGAATTTTGTCAATATTTATTAAATCTAGTACAGCAAAATTAAATGAAAAAGTGAAATTATAATATTTTTGCATAAAAAAAACTCTAATTTAAATTTTTATAAATCAAATAATGTGAAATAAAACAACTGAGAAAGAAAATAACTGGGGGTAAAAAAATAAATTATAAAATTTAAACAAATAAAATAAGAGCGCAAAAAATAATGTTTCGAATAAAAATTAAAGAGATGCTATCAACAACCACCATTCTCATAATAGTTTTTACAATATTAACAAATCAAATAAAATCAACATTGGCTGGACCAAAAGGTGCAAGTATTGTAGATCATTTAAGAGCCGAATATATAAATTTAGATACAGCATTATGGAAATATTTAAATGAACGTCAAATCGATAAAAAATCACAAATTAGAAAAGTTTTTGATAGTCATAGGCAATTTATAAAAGAAAATTTATCATTAATATCATTTAAATCAGATAAATATTTATTATTAAATCGTTACTATGAAGGGCAAGAATTACAAAGAGATTTAATACATTTGGATGGTGAATTCGGTTATTTCAAAAGTCTTGTATATAAATCTGCATCTAATGAGGATTTAATTGAAGAACGTGCAATATTAGATTTTACTGAAGAAATTTTAAATGATTCAGTAAAAAAAATGTTTGATAATATTGATAATATTATGAATAAACAAAAATTAAGTTATCGTATAGTATTGGTATGTATATAAAATGTATATAAAACATAAAATAAAATATATTATATACTACAAAAAAGCATATATGAATATGTACACAATGTATAACATATAAATATTTACAAAACAACTGTTCTCAAAAAATTTAATTTTAACTAATTGAGTAATTTATTTCCTATTGCTGATAAGAAAATTTTGATGTAGAAGAATAATTTGTTTTTTAATAAAATTAAAATATTTATTTAATTTCTTTTTGAGCAATTCTCTAGCAAACTTCAACTTAAAAATGAATTAATATTGATATATAAATTCCAAATACTGATATTAAACTAATGTTAGTATATGTTTCTCATGTTTCATAAATCCAATTTTAACATTTTCAATTTTTGGAAATTATCGATTAAGTGCTTAATTAAATATTATTCGTGTACGTTAAATTGAAATAAAAAAATAAATATTTTTAGGATGCAAGAGATCAGATATGCGTAACCAATCAATCGGCGCAACAATTTTTATATTCGTTGTATTCTGATGTTGCATATGCAGAATTGAAGGGTTACACAATGATGCAATTTTCTTGGATGATGTTAAGGATTTACGAAAAAGGTAAGTGAAACTTTTCTTTATCAAATTATTTGCAATTTACTTCATTATTCATTCTATATTTAATTAACAGAAGTAAAAAATATTCCGTCAGGAAATATTTTTTCAGAGAATAAAAAATATTTCGAAAAAATTCCTTATATAATTCTAAATAATTTCTACTTTGTAGGTAATTTTACGGAGGAATCTAACTTAATGCGAAACGAATTCATCAAACGAATAGATCGTACACAAGATGCCTTACGTGGAGTTATAAAGCATGCGGATCGTAGTGTATGGAAATGTGATCCAACTAAACATCTCAAGGGACAAACATATGATGAAGTTACTCGACTCTTACAAGGTTATATTGAAAATGAGGTTGACATGAATGAAGATGGAACATGTAGAGAAAATTGTGCGTATTATCAAGTTTCTAAAAGTCATGGTTGTTATCAGGATCTCTATTGTGCAAAGCAACAACGTTGCACTGGAAAATTGTACAATTGTCAATATGTAGATTCCGATATGTGGATTTGTCCTTCGGTAAATGCTTTTTATAACGTGAACATATTAACAAATTTTAAAAATTTGTTGCATATTTCCAGGCACTCAATAGTAGTAGACGTTATGACTACATCGAATATGAAAATGGAAGAGTGCTAGGTGAAAAAAGCGGTAGCTGTGTTAGAGGTACCTCCAAAGTAGATTCCTGGTGGAGATGGCTGTTTTGGCATTGCAGTTATTGTTTTTGTTTATGTGATGAACAAGGGTTGAAATCAGACAGATATTTTAATTTAAGATCAACCGAATCCGATATACACAAAAACATGTAAGCAATCAAGAAAATTATTTCACATAAATTACAAAAAAATCAATTATTATGTTATTTTAGGGTTGTAACAGGACTTCGATTCGTTAAAGTTAAAAGAATTTTCCATTTGCAAGTGCAGCAGGGTGAACTTTTACCTCGAGGTAACATTAAACAAGAATCATTAGAATGGAAACCAGTAGATGATTACCAAATATTTGACCGAAACGTCAAATCAAAAGTTGACTATCATACATTGGCTTGGGAAAACCGTGCTATTGATTTAGATGATATCAATGTTGTTGATCCAACACATGTAATTACTGGAATTAGATTTAGAGTTGTGGGCACTCATTTAAATCTAGAAGCCAAATTATCTGAATATAATTTTGAAACCGGTCTGTTAGTTGAACCAGAAATAAATAGTTTCTGGCAATCTAATGATAACACAGATGTTACAGGAGATAAACGGTAAGAACACACTTAACTGAGAACTTAAAAGAAAGTAAAAGACTTAAAAATCAATTTCAATTTGATTTTAGAACACAAGTTATATTGCGCAGTCCTGATATTCCAATAAGAAGTATTGCTAGATCTCAAGTAAAATCTAAACATAATCAGTACATCGAATTTACTAACACAGACATGGACAAAGATGCTGCACAAACAACTGTTCCTTTTATTGATATACAAGAAGTAACATCAAGCCCGCCAGTTCCTTTATCAGGAGTTGGAATTTATTACAAAGGATCGGGACAGTATGGTGGTTTTATTGCACCTAAATTAATTACATATGACTTTACACCACATATTCAATCACCGTTCAAAGCAGAAGAAAGATCAAGAATGATTTGAATTTAAACAAATTCTAGTGAAACATACAAAGAGAAATCATAGAAAACTAAGAATACTTTTTCTGCTTATGTGTATGTGTGTATGCATGTGTTTTTCAATAGAAAATCTGAAATTTTATTATAATGCAAATTTTCTATAACTTAAAAATGAGAAGATTAAATAAACCTATAGTGATTTTATAGAAATAGTAATAAATTTTGGTTAATCAAATTATGCAAATAAAAATGTGAGAAACATTTCATAAAAAACTAACTTTGCAAACTTTTAATTTGTATGAAATTCTAACTGATTATTGAACTGTGTGCTTAGGCGGAGCACAAAAAGCTTGTTAGATATGTACATATTGCATATATTTTGTACTGAGAGTTTCTTTAAAAGAGCAATATATTTCATATTTTTAAAATAATTTTAAAGGTATGGTAAATTCTTAAACGTCAAATTTTACAAAATCTGAGTTGTCTGAGTTTACGGATACTCTACTACGTTTTTACTCTCAGTCAAAGTTTAAATTCTTAAACGTTTAAAAAAAGTCAATTAAGCGTCAAAATTGTAGATTTTTTTTTTTATATGCAGACAGTCTGACGTAGTAATTCAGTAAATAAATTTGATGTATTGAGTGACTATCATTACGTTAAAAATAATATAAAAAATACTTTTTTTATTAATTTTTAATATGTAAGTATAAAATTATTTTAAATCTAAAAAAAATTTTTTTTTGACGTTTACGGATGATCAAAATTCAAAGTCAATTACGGGTAAAAAGTTTACTACATTTCTGTCCGTAAAAGTTTTAGTTTCAGACAGTTTGCAGACTAAAATCAAAATTTTGACGTTAAAGAATTTGCGGGTACTTATTACAATTTCTAAATAGTTACAAATAATTGATTAAAATAAAAAATTTTAATTAATAATATTGAATTAACCTTTGTGTAAATCTTTCATATTCAAATCTATTCAAATTTACCTTATACCTATTTTGCTATTGGTTTATTGGTACCTATTGGTTATTTATAATGTAAAATTAGTGAAATTTAAATATAGCGCTATCAGGAATTTTATAATAAAGATTTTACAATACGGTATCTTTAAAACTTATATGACAATTAAAAAAAAAAAGATAGGGCTAAATCAGTTTAATATTTGTTTTACATATATAATAAAGATTTAAAAATGTATATCGTTACCGAATTCTATACCGGAAATCCATTTCGACCCTAAGCCATCCGAAAAATAGTGGACAAAATGTTAATAATTCTTCCCGTTTTTGTATATATATTAAAAAACACAAATGTGTATTATATATTTAGATATACGCAATTATATGTAAATCTCCAAATATATCTCTATACTTAAAAAAACATATATATATATATATATATATATATATATATATACATATATACATATATATACATTGTATATATATTGTATGTATGGCTTATTAAAATATACATTGTATATATATTGTATATATATATACATATATTTATATAGATTTATATAGCAAGCAGGTATGTATATCCATTTATTTATATATTAAACTTACTTGAACTCTTAATGGATGTGCCATTAGCAATGTCAATAAATCTGGGGATGGTAATATTTCACTTAAAGACATTCCCATTGATGTAACAGCCTGACAAGTAAAAGCCGCTAAATACCGATGCAGTGGAAAATGAAATGACGCTGTCATCATTTCACTCTACAAATAAAATGTAATTAAAATTTTTTATCATAACAATAGAAAATTTAAAAACTTACTTTTTCCAACTTTGGTTTCAGAAAAAATATTGCATCCAACCATTCGTGTAATGAATTTACACAAAATGTCAAAATCTTTTTAGCTAATTGAGCATGTGTTGGATCTTTTAAATGTGATATAATTGACCACATCGGATATGCACTTGCTTCTAATTCACAGGAGAAAGCAGCATAATATGAGCTTGGCTCAAACTCTACGTGACTTTTTGTTTCACGAACATTAACATTCATACCTTGCAACATAGATAAAAATTGAAACCACATATCAATTAAATTATCATCACGCAAAAATACTAAGGCAACTGATTCATGAGATAAAACATTGTTAAAATCGGATACCAATGGCCAATAGCAATGATCTTTCATAACACTCTTCGCACAATCAATGACAAAATGAAAATTTTTGTCTACAACTGAAAACAAAACCAAAAGTGTACATTAATAAAAATTTGAAAGCTATTTTGAAATTATTTATCTAAATCAAATAAAAGCCCAAAAAGTTTTTATTAAGTTCATTACAATGTAAATTAAAAATTCAATATAAAAATAAAGTTGTTTTATAATCGATTTGCTTTATTCTTTAACACTCCAAGAATTAAAAATTTTTTTGTTATAATTATATTTTATAAAAATTACTAAATTTATGAAGATGTGAATTTTTATGTGAAATTTATGTTTATCCATTTTTTTGAGAAATAAAATGAACTAATGATTAAAAAATTAGTTCATTAAATATTTACATTTCGAAAAACATTTAAATAGCTGAGCTTAAATTTTAATTACCTTTATACATTTCATTTTTTTAATGAAAGGTAAATGGAGAAAATAAAAAATATGATAAATTACAAGGAAAAAATTACTTACCGTGAAGTGAATTTTGTATTAAAATTTTTGACATCATCAATTTTAAACTAATAATCATAACATGCAATAAACTCAATTCTTCAACCATTTTAAGTGCTAAACTTTCATTTGAAAACAACTGTACTGACATATGAACAACTCGATTACTTAATGTATCGGGATCCTGTGATAGCTCTAAAACCGTTGGTATACGACTGTAGTGCATCACAAATGTTCTTGTCAAGTGTTCCTTATAGTCCTGATCAGGCAACATATTTAACAAGAAACAAACTAAGTTCTGAGGAAATTCGAATTTAAATGTCCAAAATATGAATTCTTCTAACAATGTTGAGTGTTTTAATGTTCTGTCCAATGCTGGTAAATGTTTATATTCGTCAGGCGGTTCTAGCCTAAAACATTAAAAAAAGTTTACTTTATTTACATAAAAATTTGCAATATATTTTATTTTAATATTTAAATAGCTACACTATTAACATTTATAAAAAGATTTTTTTTAGTTCATAAATGTGACGGGAAATATGCATAACTTTAACGCGTTGTTTGATTAAATTTTCTCAAGGATAATATTCACTTTTTAATCGTAATAGAAAATCATTTTTAAAAATTATTGCGGCTACATAAATTAGTTCTAAAAAGTTCTTCATATTCATGTAATATACATAAACAAGATTGATACCAAAAAGTTACAACGACATTAGTTAACTCTCCATCAATTCTACCGGACCATTTAGTACTTTTAAAAAAAACAAGTAAGGCGTGTAATTTTTTAAGTTGTTAAACTACTTTTAAGAATTTAAGAACTGATTTTTACTTCCAATAATTAAAGATCCTATCAATTATTTTGGATAACAATACAGATAAAAATTATATTAAATGTGTAAAAAGGTTAATGTTGTAAAATAAACTTATAAATCAAATCGTTAAATATTTTTCATAAAGTATACATACATAAGTCCTCTAATAAATGTATTACCTTGGAAATTTATAAACAGCTTCAATATACTTTTTTTTACTTGATTTTAAGAATCTTCCATAACTATTATTAGGAAAAGGTTTTTCCGAAAATTTTTTGTAAACCTAAAATATTTTTTATGATAGTTAATATAAGTTAATTAAATATTTGAAATTAAAACATATTAATAGGATGTGGATTTACTCACTTCTGGATTGATTAAAGCTTTCGTCATTACACGTCTCATTAATTCACCCATATTATTATAATCCATTAACATATTACAAAATTTTTCAAAACGGCCAGCTGCAACATTAATTGAACTATGCTGATGTGATGTTGAACTATGTTCCCGAAAATGATGTAGTAAACGAAATAAAAGTTTTGGCATTATAGCTTCAGCAACTGCTAATAAGTCATTTGGAACTGGATCTTTATTTGCCCGATTATTAATTCCATGATCACTACAAAATCCTTCAGCTTTCATAACTGATGTATCACCACAATCACATGCTCCACCCGCTTGTGATAAAAACATATTGAAATCATGGTTTGCATGGTCACCTTTTTTAAAACAATCTCGACATATTGACATACATGGCGATATACCACATGTTCGGCATCGATATGCAACAACATGTGGTACCCAAACAAGCCCACATTTAGCATGGTTATCATAACTTCGAACTGAAAATGTAAGTAAGAAAGTATTAATAAGGAAATTTTAAGGAATACATTTGTTTCAATATGATTTTTTTTAAATTTTAAAAATGTAAATAATATTTTTGTAAGTCAAATATTTTCCTCATTTAAAATAAAAATTTTTTATGTGTAATCTGTGTGTTAATGGATTTTATTTTTTATTAACAAAGAAGTCATCTTTCATATATGTATATAATATATTAGGTATGTATAAAATTTAAACACTCATAATATTAATTTACTCTCATTTACAATATCTCAAAGTAAATAAATTTTGCCTTTTTATGTCTAAATTTCATTCTTTGCATTTTATTATTAATACTATAGCTTTTATTGTAGCTTAAGAATTAAGTAAAAACTTTAATATAAAAATTCTTTTAACATTAACATATAATCAATTTGTTAGTTATTGTTTAAGAATGCGACGCAATATAAAGTGGAAATTCTCAATTAACTTGTATAAGATTCTAGTTAGTTTAAATAAGATTATATTTATACGCGCGATTAATTAAAAATTTATATGAAATTAACTTTGACAGCTTTGAAAATAAATATTTTCTTTAAATGGTAATATCAAGTTAATTTTGTTTTTCTTATTCATTTAGTCTGTAACCTTTAAAATAAATGAGTAAGAACTTACACTAATTTAATTGTGTACTTTTATATTAGATAGGTATTAAAATATTTTATGAAAAAAGCTCATACTAAAAGCTTGTTTGAAGGTTATTAACTTCATACATGATTACAACATGGCTCTTTTATAATCTGTACTCTAGCCAGACTTGAAAAATAAGTTTTATATATTTTAAACAGCGGTTGCTGTTGTGTGTGTATATCAGCTGTTATATTATTTCATTAATCTTATTTTTCTTTACTACTTATTTGTTGCTACATTTATGTCAATGTATTTACACAAAAATTTTCTCATTAAATCATAATAAAAATATTATACACTTTTCAGTTGTGACGTCATATAAATGTTTTTTTTTGTTTTTTATTTAAGTTTAATAGGTACAAACTTGAAACAATTTTCAAGGATTGAAATTCGTAATTTTTTTGCTTTCGAATTCAAATTTTATGTAGATTTTAAGTACTTCTACTTATGTGCAGCTACTTGAATAAGAGAACATCTAATAATTATAAAATAAAAATAGGTTCCATTCTATAGAAATTTTTGGTAGTACTCGTATCAAAATTATCTAATTGTACAAATATATGAAGTATTCAAAATTGAGATAATTGGTATCTATTGTTTACGATATTTTTCTAAAATAAATACGTTGAAGTCCTATCTCTCTGACAGAATATTCAGGGTAAAATTTGAGGAAGAGTACTCCATCTTTAAAAATTTGAGGGCTGGTGTGCCTCAGGGAAGTGTGCTGGGACCCCTTTTGTACTTACTTTACACCAGAGATATTCCGCAAAGCGAAGAAACTTTCTTAGCAACTTATGCAGACGATACGGCAATATTAGCGACAGGTAAAACTGTTGAAGAAGCTACGAATAAATTGCAAGTCTCATTGAACGAAGTGTCTACTTGACGAAAAAGTGGAGGTTCAAACTCAACGAAGCTAAATCAGTACACGTAAACTACACCAACAGAAGGGGCGATCCAATGGGCGTCTTACTTAATGGGGTAACAATTCCTTACGCCAACGAAGCCAAATACCTAGGTATGACACTGGATGCTAAATTAAAGTGGAAAGAGCATGTTAAAAAAAAGAAAAATGAGCTGAACATCAAATTGAGAAACATGTATTGGCTTCTTGGAAGATATTCTGAGCTTAATACACAGAACAAATTACTACTCTACAATCAGGTTCTTAAGCCTGTTTGGACTTACGGTATACAGCTGTGGGGCTGTACCAAAGAATCTAATTTGAAAATTATCCAAACTTTCCAAAACAAGCTCCTCCGAATCATTGTAAATGCACCATGGTACGTAAGTAATGATACTCTACATCGAGATCTAAACGTGCCGACAGTCAAGGATGAAATAAAGAAGTATCCAATCAATCATCAATCGAGATTACTCCAGCATGATAACCCCGAGATGCTGCAACTTTTAGATGTTGATCAAGTACATAGACGACTAAAAAGGGTCAGACCGCTTGAACTCATCCGCTAGACAAATATAATGTACAGGGAACTCATCAGTGGATGATACACCCATAACCCCCATATTAAGCCAGAAAATTTGCTAGATAGGAATTATTTTCTTAGTTGCAATATCATTTATTGAATAAAAAAAAAAAAAAATACACAATAATTCTTAATTTTATTCATTTTAATTTTAGACTTTGGCTGTAGTACAGGAAATCAAATTCTTGCCACAAGTGCAGTTTTAATTGAGAATTGTAATCAAGTTATATGGGCGTTTACGTTCTACACACTCTTACTCACACTCTTTTTACTTTGTCAAGAAACAAAATTTCGTGCACTTAAATCATTGGGAAATCGATATGGAAAAGCCGCTATTAAACACTAATAAATTAAGGTCAATAAATTACAAAAAGTAAGTACTTAAATAAACTTTATGTAGTTAGACAGATTGTATTATATATATTACCATATATTTTATCGTTGGTAAACGTATTGAGCCAACCCGAGATACAAGCATAAGATCTCAAAAACCTCTGTCTCCCAATCAGAAAAATTAGGCAGTTTGCCAAGGGGCAAAGATAGATAAACCTTTCCAAAACGCTGTTTCTCTCTCGTCAGAACATGTATGAAAAAAAATTCTAAATTTTAAACAAATCGAATACTCTTCTGTTTTCGATTTAAGATCAATTATATCTCGATTTTGTTAATTTTTATTACAATTTCTTATCCTATTACAATTTCTTATTTATCGAGTAACCTAGGCAAGACGCTTGTAACAACAAATATTATATACTTAAGTTTCCTTCAATTTTACTTGGAAAAATATGAAAAAACTAAAAAAAAAATTTTAACTGAGAAAAGCTTGAAATCATCTGTGGAAAAAAAAAGAAAAAAAAATAAATATTCAAGTTCCACAATTAGTCAGTCACAACTAAAAAAGGAAAAAATAACAATTCTTTAAATATTAAAAATTAAAAATTAAAACAAAAATACTTAATGAGTTAAATACAAGCATAGTAGTTATGACTAACTTATCGTTAAAAAATTTAAGTTACGATAAATCATTTAATTTTATATAAAATAAGGATTCATTTTTCAATGAAATGATTAAGTTTCTATAATTCAAAGCGAAAATTGTGATATAAGACAAAGTAAAATTTTTAATACATAATTAACTTTTCAAAAAATAAACTTCCAGGAAAATTCGCATTAAATCAATTGGCCTTCAAAATTAATAATGAAATCACTAATAATTTCATGAGTGGCAAAAGCATGGTATTTTTGCATTTTAGGTAGTTCAACTCTAGAACTAACTGACTTAAGTATTATATTCGTCTATTGTGTATTCTATGTATTTACTATGAATTATAAAATTTGTCTTTTTTCAAAAATTTCAAATTGAAATAAATAATATTTGAAATTGGAAAACTTAATGTAAATGTAATTGACAATTTAAACTTACAATCATTAAAACATAAGAATTGTACACTTAGGCATCTGTAAACTTTAATGATGCCTAAGTGTATTATTACAGACAAAAAATATTTTAAATTTATTATTATGAACAAATTGCTAAAAATAATTAAAATTGTTGGTACTTTACTAGATTTTTTACATAATACTATCCTTGACAATAAAAAAAAATAAAATAAAAGAAGAATATTTTAAATATATACTCGTAAGTGCTTAAATAACGTAACTAAATTTAATTAGATGAACAGAAAATTATATAATTAATTTAAGTCTTATGACTTTAACATGAATTACAGTATTTGAAATAAATCAAATTAGATCAATTGTCGAACAAGTTCCGCTAGTAATAAGAATACTTTCGCAAAGTTTTTCAACTACTATAAATCGAATTAAACATAAAAATTTTACTTTGTTTTAGTTTTTATTTGCTGCAGAAGAGTTAAAAAATAAAAGGAAACAAATTGTGTATATTTATATATGTATGTATAAAACAAAATACAAAACATCAGTATAATTAGAAAGAGTAAAATTATTAAAAAAAAAATAGAAGAAACGTTATTGGAAGTAATGTAAGTTTATCTATGGAGTTTGTATTACTTCAAGTTCATTGAACTGGAAATATTATAGTGTATGTTTCTTCTTTTTCAACTTACTTATTGCTTCGCCTTAATTTTTTTGTTCAATGCTTAAGTATTAATGAATTATATGATTTTTCTGAATTAAGAATAAAATTTTATAAGATTAATAAAACAAAAGATCGTTAAATACTAATGTATGTTCAGGACATGAATGTCCATTTAGAAAATTATAAAACATAATAGGTACCTACCTACAAACCGCTTATTTAATTGATAAAATGAATGTAATAATGCTAACCGTTGAATTGACATCGTAGTTCAATAAAGAAAGTTATTAATTAAATTCAATTGTTACTAGTCAGTGTAAATATTTATGAAATTAACATATATATATACTTATAAAAAAAAAGGCAAAACATCTTCTTTACAATAGAAAATCTAGGTTTGCAGAAAAATCTTTTTAAAATCAATTGAAAATTTTTCAATAAAAAAAAGGAAAACTAAAAAACAAAAGATTCGAAAGAGAAACTCTGTTTTTTTCTTTTTGAAAATTTTAAAATATGTTTGTAACACAGTTACTTATATATTTAGTCAACATTACTTTGTTTCATAGGCCTTATAAAAACATTCAATGTATTAGTATTATAAAACATTTTTAATACTGTTTGAAATACTGTTTCTAATCTAGCATTTTTTTAAGGCTTGATTACTGAAGGCCTTTACTTGAGACTAAAAACAATGACTTTTCTAGTAAAATTTGTTCTTTTTTAATTAGTTCAATTAAAAAAACTAATTAAAAAAGTAAAAATTTAGACTAATTATTTTTCGAATTTTTATCCATGAAAAAATTAACGTGTTGCAATACCTAGGTAAACAGGTTAATTAGATACTAAGGACTCGACTATTAGAATCCTAATACATATATCTAAAGAAAATTGTTTTTATATAAAATTTTTTATACTAATGTTAATATAATGTCTGCTATTATCTATTATTTTATATAAAAAATAAAATAATATATACAAAGATAAAATAAAATCCCAAAATACTCACCAATTGATGCAAATTTTCCTAAGGATCTTCCTCCTGCTATCAAGTATCTAACCCAGTCTATACTGAAATAACTGTCAATCCCCATACTAAATAAATAATCAATGAGAACGTTTAGCTCTGGTGTTGGGCCTCCTCGACAGCATTCTTCATTAATATAAGCAGCTGCTTGTTCCTTTCCTTTTTCTAAGATTTTCTTTGCTCTTGAGGCAACTGATTCATCATCACTAAAATCTCCCGGAAACTCTGTATCTCCTGTTTCATCTCCTACTTCTATGGTATCTTCTGCTATTCCTATTAAATTTTCATCTTTTGCTGATGCATGTGTTGATGTCGTTGAAGCTGTTGTTACTTCTGTTGTTATTGGTTGTTCTGCTAATCCGCTGGAATTGCTTGCTTCAGCGGAATTATTTTGCTCATCATCGTTGTCAACATTCATATTGAATTTTTATTTTTTATATTTTTATATGTAAATGTTTTTTTGTCTTAATTCGACTTATTTTTTTATCGTTTGTCGTACTTTTGTTTAAAATAAATTTTAGTTGGTCTCTACCTAATTAATTTCATTAGGAAGCTAATGCAAGTTCAATTTACAGAACTTTATCCAGTGTCTTTAAACATTTAGAACCAAGTGCTATCTACGTAGTGATAGTATATATATATTATTAATACTTTTTACAAAAGGTTTTTGACATTTAGAATTCTTAAACTAATTTGTCAAAGCAGAAAGATTAACTATTGACACAGGTACTACCTAATTACTTATAATCTATATTAATACGTATTACTAATTTTCTTTCCACATTTCGTGCCTATAAGTGAATTCATAGTAGGTTACCCATTTAGATAAAATTGATTGATTGTTGGTATCTAATTAGACTGAGCTGATTTAAGCCTATTGAAATTGCATCTTCCTATCGAGTAGTTGGATAAGTACCAAAATTTTATTATCGATTTACATATTGTACTTAATATTCCGGTAGCTAGGTGTACCAACCATTACCTCAAAAAATTTTTCAACATCAGATTAAATCTAAAACGTGATAACTAAAATAAATAGCTGAAATTAAAAATATACGAAATAATTAATGAGGTGTAAAAGTAATTTGAAATGTGTATTATGAGCGCAGCCGGCAAAGTAAATAATAATCTGAAATATATAATCGAATCTTCAAGAAACTTCAAGAAAATATTTCTATTCTAAATCTTACTGCATATTGTACATTCAAAAATGCAAATAAACTAAATAAATGTATTAGAGCCCAAATAATAAAAGATTTTTTTTCCATTTATGCAGATAAGTAGATACCTATGTATTTAACTTGTACCTAACTTTAGCTTGACATTTTAAATAATATGCTTATAACTCAAAATTAGACAATTGATCTTTTTTTGAAAATTATTTGTAAAAACTTCAAATTTTATAATTATTCTTTTGTAATTAAATAACTATTTGCTTTAAAGAACGAATTTGAAATCACAAAATATTTTGCTATAGCTTTTTTTTTTTGGCAACTCTAATTCTTTTCTACATATGTATATACATATGTATATACGCACATAATATATATAAAATAATACTTACCTATGCCTAATATTTTTCTTTTAAATTATTCTATTGAAGAGAAATCTATACCTACTGATATAAAAAATATTCTAAATGTCAAAATCCTTAAAATTCTTGTGCAATTGTAGAATTTTTTTTTCATATTTTATAAGTTAATTGGTACACTTAGATTAGTGAGGTTTTTGTAATTCCCATCAAAATTAAGATAAAGCTTTGATATAATATTATAGAACATTACATCTCAACTTAAATCATAAGAACGTAGATGAAATCGTGGCTACATCAAACTGGTTATCAAATTATGAATATTTGGAAATTTTTTTTTACAGGTACGATTACGAATATCTAGGTATGTAGGTATAAAAAAACCACATAATTTTTTTCTATTTGCCACATTGATTTCATTTGACTTTAATATAAATCTCAAATTTATTTTTTAGCATACATTTTTAAAATATTTTTTAAACATTCGAGTTGCACTTTTCTTTAACAAGATTAAAAAAACTTATTTAAAACAAAATTTGTTTCATATTAGAAATCACCATTTAAAAATTATTCAATGCATGTAAGCCATACTTTTTTGTGTGAGACAAATTTTTTTTTCTTTTAATGACTGCGCAAAATTTTCACTAAATTTACTTAAAAAAAATCTTTAAATGATTTGTATTTAATTTTTAAATATAATCTTTTATATTTAGTTTTTATAATTCGCGATTTTATTCTGATTTGCAATATTCAATACCAAATATTTTAGCTTTTTATATGAAAAATTAATGCAGCGATAGATTTTTTTCAATCACTTTTCAATCAGTTTTGGTCGGAACAAAAGTACTAAAGAATTAAAATTCTAGGTTAATTTTTGTTGTATTTTTCTAAATTTTTGACATTACTTATTTTAAAAACGCCTCCATTAAAATGTCACAAGTATTTGATAAGTTTAGAAAATTATGATTTTATGAGTTGTTCACAGTGTGGCTGATTCTGACTGATTAAAATTAATCTGAATTTATTAAAATTGACTTTTTCATTATCTTCATATATTTACATACACAACTACAATTATTACATACTTTGTCAAATTGCATCTTGTCAAGTAAATGTAAAATAAAATATAATAGAAAAATCCGTTCGGATCAAAAGCGACAAAAGACCCATCAAGAGAAAATAACCGAAACTTGAGAAGATCAGCTATATTTAGATGAATTTCCACTTTTTGAAGAATGTCAATCCTCTTAAAAATTAAAAGAACTTCAGTTTCAAACAAAGTTAAAATTTCTTATAATAAAATAAACCTACACATACTAATTTAAAAAATAATCTATATATATTTTTCTTTTCTTCATTATACCATAACAGAAGAATGTCCGAACATCAGTAATAAAAAACTTTTTGTATATATAACAGCAAACATTGTTCTGATTTCTGATTTTTACGCATTCATTAAATTTCTCTTAAGTTTACGCAAACAAATTCATCTTACTTACCCAGCATTTACACGTACAAGTTACTTGCAAGAAAGTTGCAATACATACAAAAATTTTACTAACACATTGAAATATTTCTACTTGCTTGTTTACTTGCAGTTCAACTTGCAAGAAAATTTTGCTGCCAGTAATTTGAGCAAGTAATTTGACATATTGAGAAATTCACAAAAAAAAATTTGTTGTTTTGATTTTTTTTTTTTTTTAATTTAAAATTTTTGAATTTTGTTTTGAAAAAATTAAACTTAGCAAACTTATGGTTTCTAAAATTTATAAACAATTATATATATTGCTAGTTGTTTTCTTCTCAAAGACATTTTCAAAAATTAACTTGCTAAACGCCTACGTCATAATAGCAAGTAATTTGACATTTCGAAAAACTAATTGACAATTAATATTATACAAACTTGCATGCAAGTAACTTGTATGTGTAAATGCTGGGTAAATGCTGGGTTATACTCCCATGATCGTTCAAGGTTACCAAAGTGAATAACATTTTTGTCCGTGTCATAATTCAAATTACAATTTTCAGAAGATTTCCTTGTGAATATGGCATTACTGTCATTGGCTTGTTCAAAAGTGTTGAAAAAATTTGTTTAGTTAATAAAAAAAAAACACCAACACATCTGTATACTAAATAGTAATTTTTATTAATTAAATTAGTAAGCAATCTTATCAAAGAAAAATTTATAAAAGAATTATGAAATAACATTAAAGTAATTCTCACATATCCAAAGAAGTTTTAAACTAAATTGTACCTGAAGTAAAAGTGGATCATTTGAAGTTTTTCCAACAAAGAAAATAAGGACAACACACGGAACCATTTTCTGTAAATGAAATAATTATGAACGAAAACATTCTCCTTGTGACTTCAGATGATTTTACAACTGACACAACAACTGGTACCAGCTCTTCGCTTACTGATGTGTTTGATGAAAATGTAGATGTAGAATCTCGGGATATTATAATTGAACAATTTGCCCAAGACGTTATAGACTTCAGCAGGTAATGCAAATAGAATTATTAAAATATGTATTTTTATAAAAGTCTACATTAATTGTAGTCAATATGGGTCAGATTATAGCATATCTTACACAGCGTTTAATATAACTTCTCGACCATCAAAGTTTCCAGATTACGGTGATTTTCCTGAAACATTCGCTATGGTAAAAATAATTCCTTCAAAAATTAAAATGAACTTTTTTTTTAATTTATTAATTTATTGATTAGCGAACGTATGGCCTGTGGTGGGATATAGCTCCGTCAAAGATTACGGAAATTAGATCTCAAGATCTTAAAAGAATTCCATCCCAAGATTTCATTGTTATTCAGTTTGAACAGTATGTAATTCCACATCAATTGAAAGTTTATGAAACATATAATCCTGGTGCATTGATTCGCATTTGGGCATTAACAGAATTTGGAAAATGGATATGTTTGTGGGAAGGTAAACCTGACAGAGTTACTACAAACAAAGCACGCACGTTTTGTCCTTCTCTGAAAAAAATTTCTGTCCCAACTAGGTCAGTGCAAATCATATTTCATTACACAATATAATAAGCAAAAAAAATTTTTAGAACAATAAGACTTGAATTTAACCATTCGTTTCTGGAGTACTTTACTGAGATTGATGGTGTGACACTTGTCGGAAGGAAATGGAAAATGCAAAGTAGTTCTCATTATAACCTAACAAAGTCAAAAGGCAAGCAAAAAAAGGGACCAATTTTAAGGAAGCTCGAGAGTATAAAATTTCGACCATGCTTTAAAGAAAACAATCAAGATTTTCTAAGAGATTTTTTAATAAACGATTTAGAAAAATTTATAAAAGAGTCAGAGTTGATGCCAGATGAATATGATAAAGACAATAAAACCCAATTAGGATTAAAAGACATGCCGGTAACAATTTATAATAGTCTCCAAAGATTTCGGTTAAAAAAATTAATTGTTCTGTTTTTAGTTTGAAATTTTGATTAAAATATTTTCATATTTGGATTTAGTGTCATTATTTCGTGTGGGTAAAGTGTGTAAAATGCTGTACGAAGTTTCGCGCGATCCATTATTGTACAGCGAAATAAACTTAAAGCCGTATTGGCATCTCGCCTCTTCTGAATTATTATGCACTTTAGCAAAAAGATCGACTTTGTTAAAAAAATTGGATATATCTTGGTGTGGATTATATGGTTCTATATCCCCAATAGAATTCAAAAAGTAAATTTTAATAAATATAATACTAATTTTCGGTGGTACTAATTGTGATTTAATTTTTTAATCACAGATTCATACAGCAACGTGGGGATAGCCTAACTCATTTGAGATTAAACTGCTGTAAATTTTTAAATGCTAGTTGCATGGAAACTGTTGGAATAGTCTGTGATAATTTAAGAGGTAATATAATTCTGTCATGTAGGCATATTTTGATATTATTTTATTTTTTAGAACTCTCTTTAAGAAATTATTCTACAGAACCACCCATATTAAATTTTTCATGCTTAGGTAATTTAAAAAACTTAGAGAGGCTTGATTTATTTCGCACCCTTATTGAGACTGATTTGTTATTAACAATGTTGGAAAATAATCCAAGACTAAAACATTTAAATTTAGCGTTTTGTGGTATTGGAATTAATATGGATGAAATTGCACAACAAATATCGAAATATAATAAAGAATTAATTTCTATTGACATGTGGAAGTCTCATTCTTTATCATCGATCGGTTTGCAAGCATTGTCCGTTTGTGAACAAATAGAAGAAGTTGACTTTGGCTGGTGGTAAGTGCATACTACGAAAATGATTATAAAACGAATTTTGATAATTTGTATGTCAATTTTAGTCTGCGAGAAGAAGCTTCACCAGGCGAAAGTTTAAAAATGTTGTTAAAAAATTGTAAAAAATTAAAGAAATTATTTTTGGCAGCTATACGAGGAATTACTGACCGTGATATTGAAAATATTGCTAATCTCTGTCCAAACTTGGAACAGTTAGACTTGATGGGAGTTCTTGGAATTTCTACTGAACGTTGCTTAGAGTATGTTCAAGCTATATTTTATTTTTATTCAATATGAAAATGATAGATATGTTTTATTTATAGGATTCTTATTAAATGTGAGAAACTTAAATTATTAGATTTAAGCTTTTGTGATAATATCGACGAAAACCAGGTAAATAGCACTAACTATTAATATTATATAATGTTAAACGAAAAATTTTGTTTTCAGATAAATATTTGGCGTGAAAGATTTAATGTTAGTATTAAAAGTAGTTTCGTGCCTTCAGATTTTTTGGCCTAAAGTGGGTTTTTTTGTTAAATTAATTAAGGAATATTTATTATTCATTAAATTACGTATATTCTTCCATAAAGGTGTAGATTTAAATAGTTCCGCCAACTTAAAATGACAGTATAATTAGGTTAAATAATTACCATCAAAAATAACAATTTATCACAATATTTGCAGAATTATTACAAAACAAAAATTATAATACTATATATATTAAAAAAACAAAGCGATTGTTATTAAAATCTATTTTTTATAAAATTTATTTCTAGACTACTCTTAACTGTAAATGTATTAATTGTTTTAAAAATTGTAGAAGTTCAACAAATGTGGGAAGAAAACTAAAACGTTATTATAAAAATTAAAAGATAATAGAATAAGAAATTTATTATTGATATTATGTATGTTTTTCAAAGACTTTTTATAATGGTTACAGTGTACATTTAAATATAAAGTAAAGTATATTTTATTATTAAAAATTAAAAGCATAAAGCGTTACTGTTAGGATTTTAAAAATTGCAAGTAATCTCTTTATTATTAGATGAAATTAAAAAATACAAATTGTCTTGTGTTGTAATAAAACGTTTCATAAAACTCATTTGAATTATTTTATTAAGAAGTAAAGAGAAGTAAGGAAATTAAAGAAGGTAAGAGAACTTCGTTGCAAATTTAAAACAAGTTCATCTTCCGTTTTTACTTTTATAGATAAGTTGCGCTAAAATAAAAATAAGAGAATTATTATATTTTTTTTATTTCGATTTTGAATCTTCATAAACAAATTCAAGTAACTTACACTAGTTCAACACATAAAATTATTTTAAATATTTTTGAAAACTTCTAAAGTCAAACTTATAAAAATTTGAAGAAACAACAAGGAAAATAATGAATATAGAATTATTGAAATACAAATACATTTTAAAATTAAACCTATAAATTATTTTTTAATTAATTGCATATGTCAAAACTTGGCTATCTAACTTTAGTAAAAATTTTTAATTATCGAGTAACATCCCGTTATTTGAAATACTAGTCAACGTTCGATCTGCATTATTGTTATGATTAGTAACATTATTATTTTCATTTAATATTACTTGACCAAGACCCAATCGTATATGATGTAAATGAATTTGAACAGATTTTTGAAAAATTTCGATATTTTCAGTATTTAAATGGTTTTTGACTTCTTCAATGCAACCTTCAAACACCTGCAAGACTTGTGTATTGGGTTGACCGCCATCACTATTTAAATGCGATGCTACCAACAGTATCGTTGCAAGTTTTGTAATCAGAGATAACATGTTTTCATCTTGAACTGTATTTGAATTATTTCTAGTAACAGCTTCATCAGCCGCCTCTCTACATTTTTCACGCAAATATGTCGGAGCTAACATGGCACGTAGGTTTGGATCATTTGTCAATTCACCAGCATATTGTTGAACTTGGTTTAAATATTCTTGCATGTCCTTATTTAACTTTTCCATTGATATTACAATACTTGCATAACGCCTTTGAAAATCCTCTGTATAATTTTCTCCTCTAGATTTTTGAATTTCGGCATCAGCATTCATATCACGTAAGCGTTGCAATTTTGATTGTTTTATTAACAACGTTTTTTTAAGCCTTACTAAAAGTTCTAGTAATTTAACTGGAAATCCTCCAATTGTTTCAGTTTGAGTAACCGGATTTCTAAATTGACCTCCAACTATTTCTTGACCCAACAACGGGTCACTCTTATTGAGTGAGTTTTTCGTTCGCAATGGTGAATTCATTAAATTTCCGTTATAATTTCTTTGTGCTCGAGGATTTAACAAACTGGCTAACGATATTGTTTCATTAAAATCGTCTGAAATTATTTCAAAATCAGGTATGGAATGCGTTCCAAGATTGGGACGATCAAATGTTATACGATATGTAGACGTTAAAGAATCCACCGCATCAACAACGCCGTAAAATATCCCATCTTGTGGAGCACGTAGGCGAGCTTGGACTTTTGTTCCAACAGGCAAAAGAAGTGGAATTTCATTTGGCAAATCTTTATAAAAATTAACATCACACGTTTTTTTGTTTTGTATCAGTCGTATTTTTTGCCTCTTTCGCTCTAATTCACGTCTTTCTTCATCAAAAAATCTTTGAGAGCAGCGGCGAATTTTTCCCATCATTGAGCGAATTTTTGACCATTCTGTTCTAGTGAGCATTCGCGTTTTAAGCTTAGGGAAAACTTCTTTCAAACAAACCTAACATCGCAAAAATTACATTAAATATAAAACAATTTGTTATTCATAGAAAAATTTACCTGAAAATCGTTATCTCCTTCAAATAACGGTTTATCTATATAAGAATAGAACCATTCATAACTAACCCATTTATGGGCTTTTGGTAATTTCAGCAAATTTCTAAGTCGTAGCCCTATTTGCTGTCCAACTTTTTTATCTGCAGGAATAAAAACACTTTTTGATTGAACATCTTTAGTGGGAGTAGTGTTTATTTTGCTTTCAGAAATATTAGTTGGAGTTTTCGATTCAGTTTTTATTTTTTGTTCACTTAAAAATTGCTGCGCCTTTCTATATTTCGAATGTGAGCGAGAAGGTAATTCTTCTTTACTTTCTTCTTTATCTGATTTCATATAACGGGAAACCACTCCCCTTCTCTTTTCCAACACTTTTGTTGGAGTCTTCATTGGAGAATTAGGTTTGGATGCTTTTTTAGGTGAATTGCTAACAGCTCTTAATTGTCGTGTATCATTTATGATATCATCGTCAAAAAATAATTTATTTCGTTTACGAATTCTGGCAGGCATTCCACGAGCATTTAAAATTTGGATTGGTTGCACAGGCTGGGTTTTTGGTGGTGGCACAGTACCTACACGATGAAGTCCCAAGGCAGCAGGGCTAAATGTTGGTGGCTCCTCAAATTCTTCACTTGTGTCCATAAAATCCTCTTTCATTTTTTTCTTATTTGGTGTTTCTAAACTCTCAGACATTTTTTGAATTTATTGTTACGCGCACTATTTTTTAAATTTTTATATTTCTTTAATATACTATGATTACATCAAAATTTGTGTAAAATGTTTTTTGATGGAAACTTTATTTATTATTAATTTAATTCAAATAGCTATTTATCATCAATTATTTTTAAAAATTTTTTTAAAATGCACAAATAAATACATAATAATTTTTTTCAAACCATCCGCCATTAATTTTGACATATCGAAAATGTGGCCAGATATTTACAATTAAAAAATGTAAAATGTGAACAATCACGAAAGATAGTCAGGAAAAACTTTAGGTTATTAAAAGTTCAACTTGTAAATAGGATTAATATTTTATGTGCATATGGATATATAAACCTACGTACTGGATTATTTCATATAGGTCTACATATTACCCGAACGTATACTTTAATGGATTGTCAGCTTCCGACAATTAATAATAAAAATAATAAAAAATTAAATTTAAGATATTACAAGAAATAAAACATATTTTTAAAAAATATGCCTTCACAGTCAGTCATTAAGCCATTTAAATGGAGTGTTGTTGTTTGCCATTTTTTATATGGTTACAAGCTTTTCAAATTATAATAATTAAAAAAAAAGGTCTTTCAGATTAAATTTCTTCTTAATACTGAATCAGAAAACTGTTTTTAAATACATATTGCAGATAAATATTTTCATTTAAAAATCTAATAATTTTAACACAAAACCACATATTTTTTTAAAAAAAATTATAAAGTTCAAAACACGCTTGGAACCCTACATTAAATTTTCAAACATTTTTCTTATTATTTAAAGTATTTCTGAGCTTGATAATAAAAAACCCTCGTATTAAAATTCACAGAAAAACCTGCCATTAAATTTATTTTTACACTTTTGGTTATTATTAAATTTTATTATAATATTTTTAATTTTTAATATATAATAAAAGTTCTCACACTTAGTTATACTTTTATGAATAATAAGGGAGTGATAGTCTATCTCGCTATACTCAAAAAGTGAGAAAGCTAGTACTCAAGAAAAATAGTTACACATTATCATTTAACTTGTGTAATAAATTTTCGAGTGAGAAGAATTGTTTAGATAATTTTAAAAAAATGCAAAAATCCAATTGAAAAAATGAGTAATCTTATTGGAAAAGTGAAACATACATTAGAAAACACTGGGAATTCTGATTTGAAAGTAAATAAAAAGTTAATAAAAATTAGAGATACACGATGAGAATTTAAACCTTGAGGCTGGCTTTGAAATAGTTTGAATATAGTCAAAAAATAGTGGTACATTTTGACAACGTCAACGTATATATTAAAATTAATACAACTTGTCAAAAAATTAAATCATGTTGGTGAGAAAAATCACGTTCATATGACAAGCTTGTTATTTTATTATAACTAAGTGAACTAAGTTGAAATTCAAAACGGTTTCGTGAGGGGAACTTATATAATTTTGGTAGCGTTTCAACCTCAAAAGTAATGTATTTTAAAATTCATGAACACTATATCCGCAATTTATTAAATTTTCCATGATATTAATTAAAAAACAAATCTCGATTATCCACAAAAATAATTAAATTTGTGTGAAATTATCGAAAAAAAATACGAAATTTTTAATATTTCAATTTATTAGCATTTAGTACATAAATAGATACCGTACACGAATTTAACTATGTATTTTCAAAAAAGGGGTGAAAACTCTACAAAGAAAATGTAATGTTTCATTTTTATAAAAAAAAACTCTACCACACAACCCTAATTTAAATATCAACAAAAGCTTCTTGACTAGCCTTCGATCGTAAAAGTAAATTAAAAACAAAGGATCAATTGAGAACAAATTACATTTTTAATTTTTTTCGAAATATAAAAGTTTAAAAGTATTACGGGGATTTTTCTGGAAAATTTAAAATAATATCTACATATATGATTTGCCTGTTCATGAATTGTAATTTTAATTTGTGCCATATCGCGCGTAATGAGTAAATAATGGAACCAGAAAAAGTTTTCTTAGATTTTCTAAACTTGTGTACTGATCATGCTGGACATCTTCAATATCAACTGGCTAATAATGCTATTCTTGAATGGTTTGGGAGAACTATCAGGGGAAAAGAAAAAATTAAGAATTTCGTCAGGTTGGTAGAGTTCATTATTTTTGTTTTCATTTCTATAAAAATGTCATATTTTTGTTTTCATAGATATGAATTATCGCAAGAATATGAGCATCAATTCAATAATTGGAAAATTGTGGATCCTTTCGAAGTGAGACCATCACATTTTGAAACGTAAGTAATATTAAAAAAATTTTATAGTTACGTTACTTACTTATTAGGCATATTTATATTTTCTAGTAAGAAGCTTTCTTTGGAAACACCCCCCGAGCAAACAGTTGTTAGAAAGGATTACATAAATGACACAACCCCCCAGAAAAGTAAAATTAAACTAGTTGAATTACCAGCACTTCACCGAGGCCGCAAATTTTTAACAGACATTGGCAGTGACGACGAAGATTTAAGAGATTTAGGACTTGCAAAGATAGATGATACTACCCCACCTTCCAGTCCGGGCAATGCGACTAGTATTGGCGTTGATGAAGGTCCTGCATTAAAAAAATCAAAAATTGGAAAATTTAAAAATTTATTTTCATCAAAAGACAAAAACTTTAAAATCCGAGAAGATTTTTCTAGTGCCATTGAATTAAACAAATGTGATGCTGATTTGAAACAAACTGAACTTTGTGACATGCCAAACCCTCAAAATACTATGTACAGTGATTTACACTATATAGAATCAGTAGGATGTTTAATTACATCAAATCGCTCAAAATATCCAGGAGTGCAACCACTACCTATTGGTGGAACTAACTTAGAAATTGGAAATGTAAAAAAATCGGAAATTAAAACATACTCTTATAATATATCACCCAGGTCACATTTAGAACGTGAAGTAAAACTAAAAATATCATATAGAATTCGTATGGATAACAACCAAATAGAATTTGCGTTAATAATATATGAATATTCAGTTAGGAAATCATCTACTAGACGTAATCTTTTATTGGAGTTCAAAGAAGCGTCATCAGGAATTGAAGAAAAAAAAACGGATTCCACAAGTATAATAAAGCATGAAAAAAAAACAGTGGATGTTAAAATCAGAAGAAAAACTCCTTTAAAACGATTGATGAGATTATTTTAAGACAATTTTAATAAATTTTGAAAATGGACAAAATCCATTCCATGGTTAGATTATCAAGGATTTTATTTACTTTTATTTTGTATACTATATATTTGTAAAAGAATCTCAAAATATTTATATTTATATATTTTTGAGAAATTAAATGTACAAACTTTGTTGTAATATATTCGAATAAGCAGTTAATAAAACATTGTATCATTTTATAATGAGTGTTTTTAGAATTAGAAAGGGTTTTGTATATAGTTGCTGCATATTTCATTTGCAAAATTAGTAAATAATTTATACATATCATTGGGTAATAGAATTGGTTTTACAGCTATGTAATGTAGTTTACCAATATCCGACATGATTCTTTCAGTGATGTGAAATTGAGTATCACCTGACGGGTCTGGGTGATCATTGGGTAGAAATAATACAACTTTCTAATTTCTAATAAATATGTATTCGGTTTATTCTTAAAGTGTTGTGATTTTTTTTTTATTTTTTATTTGAATACATTAGGTATGTATAAGTATGTATAATTTCTTTATATAATATATATAATATTATTCTTCTAATTTTCTTTTCATTATTACTTTTGCTTGAAAACTTAACAATTAATTGAATCAATTTTTTATTATTATTACATAAATAAAATTTAACGATTTTGTGATTTATTTCCTGATCAGTTCACTGTAATTCCTATTTTCTAATTAATATTTATTAATAAGATTGATAGGATAGTTTTTAGTAAAAATTCTTAAATTAATAAAGAAGTATGTACAAATGTACGCACGCATATAAATTTCGATGCGGTTTAAGAAGCTGATGCATTATTAAAGTCGGCATATCGAATTAAAATATGTATTTTAAATAAGGATCAAACGATATCAATAATTCAATTATAAATAGTATATTTTTCATGATTAAAAAAAATGAATAACATGTTTTATTTATTAAATTACAAAAGAAATATTTCAATTTAAGATTTAAGTTTGGTACGAAAATAATTTTCTAATTTTTTTTTTCTGAAATTGTTTTCAAGGTAACATTCATTTAATTTTTTGAAAATGCCATGTTTTTAATTTGCATCTGGCTTATTAGGCCGGGCACCTTTGTTTTTTTAAATGTTCGAAATAAATTTGTTCATATTCATACATATTATAATTACATATATAAATAAACTTTTTTTTTACAAGTACATATTTTGCTTAAAGAAATAAATTAATTTCAGTATTACAATAATAACTTAGTGTATGTATAAGTACATATGTATGTATATGTGTTAATATTTTGAACATATATTAAATGGTTATGTCTGTATTGTTTTTTTTTTTTTTGTATTTATATTTTAACTAATACTAAATCGAATATGCCTTATATTAATTATGGCTTATTTCAAGCGGACATTATATCTAAGTAAGTATTTAAAATTTATAACAATTTTATAACTTTTTTAAAAATATTATAAAATGAAGCAAATACGATTTATGTATTTCTATATTAATTTATGTGAATATTTCAAACAATTTAAAGTTTCACAATTTAGGGTTATATCAATTCTGATACAATAAATGTTTCCAATACATACGTTACAATTAAATTTAATTTAATTTTTTAAATTTTGAATACTTTAAAACCTAATTATTATGGATATAAAAGCATTGTATAATTATGTCCGTTATTTTGTTTTACAAATAAATAATTAAAATCTTAAATTAATTATACGCTACTTAAAGCTAAACAAAAATTTTTAAAATAAATTTATCATTAAGGTCAAAATTTTTATTTATTCAATTATTGTTATTTTAATATATTTTGAAATTTTAAAAAAGATAAAACGTAAAAATTTGTAATTAATTGAAAAAAGAGCCTATAATGCATATGGTTTAAGTTTAATTTCATTTTATTTATTTAAATTATGCGTTGTACAAAATAATCGTTCAAACACAAAATTGGTTAGCACAAATATAATTTGTTTGCTGCAACACTGCATAGAAAAGTGTATTTTTCAAGCTAGAGAAATAACGTTTCTCCATAAAAAAGAAATGTTTTAGGTGCTCATTTCTATATAATTAACTCAGAAACCATATTTTTTGATTTATGTTGCAGCGAACGAGCGATATGTAGGATTTTTAATGACCTCAATGAATACAAAAGTTTTTGTTTTTTTAAAATACATATTTTTTATAAATATATTGTTTCAGAAGAATATTTTTTTCTATTTAATTTTTAATAATTTAATTATGAATCATTTTTGTTTTTGCTTTTTCTTAATCTTTCTTTTTGTTTGTTCTCCTCCATACAAACTTACATAACATATAAATAAGAATACTTATTAACTATTTTAGTTTTGCCAGTAGTCAAATGTTTTGTGAATTGAAAAAAGCCAGTTCAGCTATAGTGTTTTTTAAATTTTACCTTTTAGAGTTAGGAAATTGAAAGTTTACCTTTTTTGTGATGAAAAAATGATTTTTTTTATCAAATAGCAATATTAAAATTGACTACATCAAGTGAGCCACTCGAGTCTAATTACTTCTTCCGTCTGGAACTTCGCTCTGACACATATTAGAAATAATAAAGTTAGTTTTTATATTGCTAAACTAATTCCAAATCTATGTAGTCATTTCAGTTTTTAAGATTTTTGTGCTTAAAAACTGCAAGAATCAGTAATCTTGTAACAACAGTTTTTTTAATTATTCAATTTAACACTTTAATGAAACATAAACTTTTTTGAGCCTTTAACATCTAAATAGTGTTCTTAAATTTAAGTGAAGTTAAATTTTTGAATTCGTTCAATTTAAGTTTCCAAAATAAAATTACCAAAAATTTGTATTTAAAAGATAATTGTGTTTATATGTATCATGTTATCTTGAAATCCCTGATAATACTGACGCACATATAGTGAGACTAGCCTTTTTCAACTAAATATTTCCTTTGATTATTCTTTTCTGTATGAAATTTTTGAATAATCGCTAAAAATATTGTAATATTGTATTATTGGAATAAATTAATTCAATTATACAATTTTAATACAATTTTCAATTTTGAAATGTGTAAATTTTGTGTATTTATATAATTTTTTTTTATTCCTTCACTAAAATTTTTTTATTTTATATAATAATATAAATTAATTATGAATTAATTTTTTAAAATAATAATTAAATTATGTTGGTTATAAATTTATATTTAATTATTCTTTAACCGGCAATTGTGTATTGTGTATTTGTATCAGGATCAACTAAAACTGGGCTAACTATTCTGTTACGTCGATTCTGAAAAAAAGAGTATAATATAAAAAAAAATTATAATTAATTTTCTTTTCTAATTATAAAATATTCTTAAAAAATTGTAAAAAAAATTTAATGTTGGCAATAAAATTTTCAATTTTTTGAATGTTCTTTTATTGCATAGAAATTTTGGAAAAAAAGAGGTAATAAAAGCAAGCAAGAGATTTTTATTAAGAAGCGAAAGAAAATTGATAGAACAAGATAATATATTAAAAAATGGATGGAACGGACTTGAAATACTAATACAATATTTAATCGAAAATACTGGAAACAATTTGATTTCATGCAAATCGCTTACTAAGTCATGGTACTCAATTCTGAAGATGGTGAATTGATCTTAAACTTATATTTACTAATTTCTCACAAAAATATAAAACAAAAACAAAACTATTCAAAAATTTTTGAAACACAAATTTCAAATGTTCGATAAAACAGTCTTAGATTGAGGTTTGGTATGTATCAGTGAAAAGAATATTAGTTTTTGAAAAAACACAACTTACTATTTATGAAACTAATACAAAATAATGAGATAAAAGTTGGCACAGAAGTTAAAGATCTCATGAAGGCAAAAGAAGTGCAGAAGGGTTGGCATGTGCTATTGCACATTGTTTTTTATTGAATATTAATTGACGATTATAAATATGTTAAATTGCAAGGTGTGAAGATTTTTCAAAATTCAGCTATGTATAACAACATTTATAATTTCCAACATTTTTTAACATTAAACAAATGTTTAAACGCATTTACACAGTTTGAATAATTAAAAACTACATATTTCGGTAATTCTCGGAAAATAATCTAGTAAAAAAACGGAATTGAATTTAAGAAGAATTACATTTTATTTGGAAAACCCATATTTGCAGTGTAAAGGGTTCTAGAAACAAATTTAAAATTGCATTTCAATTAACTAAATAAGAACCTATATATAAATCACTGGCTTTTATTATAATCTTCAACTAAAATGATATTTAAAGTGAATGGATAAGTATAATTCAACGAAATTATAAATATTGTTTTGATGCTAAGTTTTGCAATAATAAATAAGTTTTGCTTAAATGTTAATTTAGAAAAGAAAAATACACTAAAACCTAAAAATGCAACTATGAAATTACGAAATAAATGAAAATTTTAATTAATATGATGAAAATTACAAAATGAATAATGTATGTATGTATGTATAATGAATAATTTTAATTAATTTTCACATAATTAACTTTTTTAAATTAGGTCTTTATATATGGGGGGTAGGCCTGTAAATCAATTTATTTATACAAAAAAAAAAATCAATTTATACGAATAAGGACCTGCTGGATAAAGTAAATATGTATACATTTTATTGATAATTTTAATTAGGATTTCATGCATTAATAATAATATTTTAATAATAGTATTTAATATATAAGTTAGAAGAGATATATTTGTTTAGTATAATGAAAATAGCCGTCGCCAAATGAATATTATAAAGTCTGTGAAGTAAAACCCGTATTGGAAAAATTAAAATGTATTTATGTAGTAAATTTATATACGTATAGTATGTAAAATATTATAATTAAAAAATGATTTTTAATAAAATTTAAAATATATAATATAATCGTATGTATGTATTATGTACATATGTATAGATATTTTTTATAGAAGGAATAATCACATCTATAGTTAAGGTTTCACTTCCAGATTAATTTTTTTTGTTTTTTTTTTTGTAATTTCGATGTTCTTGTAGGTATATAACATTAGATTATTATTTAAAAATGTTTAAATTATTTAAAATGTAGATAAAATGTAAATTTTAATTTTAAATTAGTTTTTAATTTAAGCAATAAAATATAAAAGTATAATGTAAAGGCAGATTATAAAATATAGTCGAAAATTAATAATTAAAATACAAAACAAAAAAAGAAAACAAAAAATACTCACACATGGCAGAAAATTTTTAAATTAATTTTTTTTTAATCATTTAACAATTTTATTGAAAAACAATTCAAAATAAAATATGTATGTATTATATAATATGCTATTGTAATTATATTATAATATGTAAAAAAGAGATTATGAGTATATAATGGCATTATATATAAATATATATATATATTTAAAATTTCTATATATATTTTTGTTCTGTTTTATTTATTTTTTTATAATTTCACATTATAAATTCTATTAAAAGAGGCTAAAAGTCAAAGTCATCAATCTACAATTAAAAAAAAAAAAAGAATACAAAATATATATATAAATATCTTTAAAATATATAGTGGGTATTTCACGAAAATTATAAATTAATGAAAACAATTTAATGAAATTATGAAATTGATTTCTACTCAATATGATTAAAAATTTTGATAAAAAGATATAGGAATATCTTCTTTGGAAGTATGTATTTAAAAATAAAAACTAAAAATGTTATCCCAGTACAAATAACATAAAAAATTGACTCAATATAGTAGATTTTTCTTGTACGTAATGGTTTTTAAATATGTCCAATTATCATTTCATTACAATTAATTTTCGGGCATTTGTGATAATTGATATTCAATTTAATGTAGCGTAATTTTATTACAAACATTTTTTACAGGAATAAAAAAAAACCAGAAAAGTTTAAGGCAAATTGATTGGCACTCATCAATTAAGCAATTTTTGTATTAAAAAATTAAACAAAAATCAAAGCATCGCAGTTCTTGCGAATTTCGGACGAAATTAATGAAATTTTTAAAAAATGCATGCCGTAATTTAGAAAAAATTCTTTTGTTAAATCAAATATTTAAATTTTTTATAATACACAATAGAAGCTATGAATTGTTAAAATACTTCCAAAACAACATATTCCATTTTGTATTTTTAATATTATGAAATGTATGATTATATTGTAAAAAAAAATAAAATAAAAACCCAAAAAATTATCAAAAACAAGATAAAAAACGCCAATAGAAAGTTTAAAAAAAAAATAGAGTAACTGAAAGTCTATCCTGTATAATATCATGAAGAAACATTGTACTGTATCAAATTATTTATTTATTTATAACAAATGAAATTTAATATTAAAACATACCGCTTTACATGCACAAATATTTTCATCAAAAAATGTTCCCGATGTACAAACAGATTGATTTCGACATCTGCATGCGCAACTTTGTGGTACCCAAATTTTTTCATTATCCTATATTAAGCGATAGAAAAATTATTAAACACTTTAAATTAAATCTAATGATTCTTTTTATTAACCATATTAATAACAAATTGTCTACATTATTTTAAATTTACAAAAGTGCATGCAATTTAATTCTAATTCTTTGGTACCTTTTCACATTTTTCCTTATCATCAACATTAGGACATATACATTGACAGTTGATTGGATCATATTTTTGGAACTCTCCACAATCCTTAAATTTAATATAAAATATTTTAATAGTTTTTTTTTGTTATTGAAATATATTTATAATAAAAAGAAAATTTCATGCGAAATTGGGATAGTAATGCATTCTAATAAATTTGAAATTACCTCTGCTTTAACTATACATTGACATGTACATGAATCATGTTGTTCAACTGTAACAATTTCTCTTTTTGGTCTTAATTTAGTACGTCCTGTTTTCATATCAAAATCGCTAACAACAACCTAAAACAAGAATATATTGTTAATATTTTAGCAAAAATATATTGAACAAATTCAAAATATTTTTAAAGCCCTTACAGCATAATTCAAAAGTGATGTTGAACTTGGTTGACAAGATTTAAGTTCTCTTGGAATACAACAACCACTACATCTTTTAACTAATATACATCCTGGGAAATATATACGATGTCTGGATGAATTCTCTGGAACTATATCGACAACAGTATCTCTAGGTTCACATTTTGCTTGGACTGGTATTTGAACAGCACCTATACGTACATGCAAAAAAAATGCATCATTTAAATTTATCATTTTAATTAGGGGTTTAGGAATTCCATAAGCGTCTTATAAGGAAATTTTTTGGAATATTTGAAAATTTCACGATAATTTTAACAATTAACTATTAAGTATTTTAACTTACTTCTGCCTAAATTTAAGCCCAATTCACCTGGAAATACAAAAAAAAATATAAAATTAAAAATTAGGACATAATATACACATATGTACATAAAAAATCTATAATTACAGTGATTTATGCATGGCATCCACCAACAACTGCTTTACAATAAACTATTTGCAATTATAAATAAGTTTATTACATGACCATAAACAAACTTTTTGGATATAAGACTATTATGGTTTATTGTAAAAATTTTGCAATTAAATCGTTTATCTTTAATATAAAAGAAAGTTCAAAATCCCGCAAATTATGTAACACGAGAGTTCTCTAGTCTATAAAAATAGGAGTATAAAATCATTCTATGTACCCTACATACATATAAACAATTTTTTATAACCACATTCAATTTCAACATTGTTTGCTAAAGTTTGGTTCGAAATGCGCTGTTTTATATTCTTCAAATTATTAAAATTTTTTTCACTGCTTTTTCCTACACTTTCCTCCCTTTTTTCGAGTTCATGCTTCAAAACGTCTAACTGGTAGGATCTTATGTACGAGTATGATATTATTTTGTATTAAAAAAACTGGATTAGATAAAAATAAAAACCCCAAAATTTTAATAAAAAAAAAAAACTGGAAATTATTGCGTCAAAAAATTGTTAATTGAAATTCCAACAAAACCAACCATTAAGTTGTATTATTCAATTTAATGAAAAGAACTTATAACACATATGTATGTGTCTTGAAATTGTTTTAAATTGCAGTTTTGATGTTATTTAGGAAAAAATAATTTAAATTAATATAAAAAATAATAGAATAATATTTACGTGATTAGCTTTAATCTTTTTAATTAACTGGTTTGGTTTGTAATAGCTTTTAATCAGGGTTTTTTTACGGTGTTGTCATATGATTACAATAATCTAATAGTCGATGAGTCAATCTTGTGACGAATTTAAATGTTCATAATAATTATGATAAATAAAAAATTATTTCTTATTTGGAATTTAATGTAACGTATAAAAATTCTTAGCACAATTTAGCCTAGCCAAATACTGTATATGAATTTAAAAATGTTATCACATCATAAGAATAAATTACTGTTTTGACGTTTAAATAAAAATAATATTTACATATGACGTACACGAATAAGAATTAAAATATATTTACTACACGATCCAAACTAAAGACTTCATTTAGTTTGCTGTTAAAATTTGACGAATTCCCGTGTAAAATAAAAATTACTTTAAAACTTTGCAAAACACTGGTTTAATAAGACGAGATAACGATTAATATTTACAGCACCACCTAAAATGCCCGCCTGAAATGTGCTTTTAGTGTTTTTTGAAGGAGAAGAGTCTTTTTTGAACTTTCAGCGTTTTACATAGAAGTCGCATAGAAGTCTACTTCCAAAATTCAAATGTCATAAACTCTTTCATGCTAAAAAAAATGTTTTATATTTAAATTTAATGTCACCATTTAGTTTTACAAAACCTAAAAATAGCTCAAAAATCCTATTCAACCAAACTAGTATTTTATTAATTTATTTAATTTTTATGATTGGACAGTTCAAGAATATACATATGTGTATATAAAATAATTTTGTGTATCTATCATTATCTACGTAATTTATATTTTCAAAACGAATCATTATACTTTTATAATAAATTTATATACTTTTTACACGCTTCAGTAATTTTAATTATCTAAGTGTACACGTCAAATGTATTTTTATTTAAGAATAGAATAAATCAAAACAGTTACTATGTTCAACTCCACTTGTGTCACAATCTATAAGTTACATGTGCGTTGACATAACTAAAATGTATACATATTTTACAGTTTAGTTATGTGTATATTATTTTCAAATGAGTGATGTAAAGTGTAGCTAGTGACGTTTTGAAACTGATTTTAATCAATTCAAATTTCAAAATCTAAGTGTGATATAAGAAATGAAATGATTTATGCTTTAAAAACTTCATTATCAAGGACATAAATGTGTGTTTTTATACCAAATCATACGGTTGATTTTGCAAAGTTATCAACTTTATTAAAATACAACAATTTCTCAGAAACGGTGATAGTTTATTGAAATTTGTGTAACATAAAAATTATAAGCATAACACTTTAAATTTCAATTATAATTCGAAAAATAGAATATAGAATTTGTAATAAATTTAAATAAGGTAGTTAAAAATCTTATGTAATTTTAAGCAGTTGTGACAATAATTAAATCATATTATGAACAAATGACACTGAGAATACATTTTATAAAATATAATTATGAAATTTAAAACTTACTTAATGAATCTCCAGGAGCATCAGTCTGTTCCTCTCCTAACATTTCGTAAAGTTCTTCTAACGTTGAAATACTGTTGAATTTCTCCAACTCCTTCATTGGAAACTAGAATATTAAACGAAAAAGAAAGCTAATTAAATTTTTTAAATAATTACATTTCTAAATAAGTGAAGGTTTGTATAGCGAAAATTTGATAATGAATAATCAAAAAAAAAAACCGGAAATTAAATGTAATTTCAAATGAGAATTAAATATTTACATATTTACAGATGAAATCTTAGGTGGGTAAAATCAGGTAAACAAAATAAATACTTGAAAAAAGTGGTTTATGAAATAGCACATTTCACTTTGAGAATTTATGTTAAAACCATTTCTATTACTTGAAAGCTAATAACGAAAGCAGTTCCCTATTGAAATATGGCTCAATTTTACTAAAATGTTATAATGCAGATAATATTAGTAAAATGGAGTAATTTTAAAGTATGTATGTACATATATCGTATTAAGATTGAATTAAATTGCTAATTATTCAATTTGCTAATAAAGTTATTATTTTTAGATTTTCGAAAGATTGTTGTTGCATTATTGCTTTTACAAAAATTTAGTAAAGCAATTATAGGGAATACTTCTTCAACATGGTATACATATTAACTTTTTTCAGTTTTCCATGTTAAAAATTGGAAAATTTTCGTAAACAAACAAAGACTTAGAGTGAAACTAATTATAAAATTTTGTTTAGAAATGTGCTAAAAGTGTGTATAGATGCACGTTTATATCCACATATCAATGAAATTCTATTAAAACGAATCATCAAATTAAAAAAAATATTTAACAAATGTCAACAATTTTTTACCGCAATGCTTTCTAATGAATCATTGAATTTTAGAAGAAAATTGTATATTTATAATATATAATAATGTATTCAAGGTATTCAAATTTTCTTGTATTACTATGGCGCCAGCATCATATTGATACCTGTTTGTACTTCATTAAATTTATTTTGTCGTATAAAATATTAGCATGAAATATTTTTGATTTTAGTGTATGTGTCTCAAATGATTATTGTTGCTTAGTTGAAATATACTTAGTATTACACTTGCTTTAAAAAATGCATAATATTATATAGTGTATTTAATATTATTTCGTACTCTTAATAAAATGTTTCTTTTTTAATTTCTTTAAATTTTTACATTTTTTTTTCAATAACAGTTTAGTACAATGACACCAAACGGTACAGGATGTATAAACTACTTGTATATGACGCAATAATGTTTTTGATAAGTAAAAAAGTATGTAAGGCACATGTTCATTCCTCCCATCTAATAAGAATTAAAAGGTAAACCTGTAGCCTAAACTCTTAAAGTATTTATAGACAACTTTCACTCTGTAGAATGAAATATTATAACAAATTTATTTGTATGCATCTGCATAGTACCACAATTTAGAGTTCAATTATATGTTAAACATGTATTTTACACTTCATTATTGTTAACTGTAGAAATCATTAAATATTGTTTTTTGTTTCTTAAATTCTAAAATTTTATAATTAGCATAACTTTATTTAAGACTTTTAACATTCATCACAAGTAATATTTTAAAAGCAACACTATTAAATGATGCAAAACAAAAATCCTTTCAGAAAGTGCAAAAGAAAAATTATACAAAAGAAAATATTAACCGGCAGGTCATGCAATTAATAACAATATTGTAATAACTTTGTACTTTTAAGGGTAGACTACAATGACGTTCTCACATAATATGCACATGTAATATAATAGGAACCTATGAGTAGATACGTAAATAATGTAGGTATTACAGTAAAATTTATTACATTTTCAAGTCTTAAGCTACTTTTCTTTAATTCTATAGCATATTTATGCGTTTTTTGTTTTCTCTATTCAAAACTATAAGAGCATTTAAATCAACACATATTTTTAAGGGAAGTTCAAGGTTATTTTACAATTCTTTGTTAATACAATAAAAAAATACAATAGTTGTGCATATATATATGTATGTATTTATTTAATATTCAACTTACGTTATATAATTTGCAAAAGTATAGAAATGCATGTGGACACATATAATAATCTTTATCACAACAAAGTATAATGATTTTCCATTATATACGCTTTTAATATTGTAGTGCAAATTAATGTTTAATTAACTTTCATAATTGTGAAGGGAACAATAGTATATTGCAATTTCGATTGGAAACAAGCACCTTTTTATATTTTAATGTTATTTAGTTATTTCAGAACTAAATAATTTCGAAAGAGTCAGAAAGCGGAAACTACTAAAAATTCATACTGGTAACCCATTCCGTGGCTTAAAAAGAGAAATGCTAATTGTAATTTTTTTTAAATATACGTGAATTTTGAGAATAAAATTTTTGATGTAAAGTTCATAAGTACTTATTTACAAAATTGTAAAACTATGACTAATAAATGTGTTAATTTACACAATTAATATAATGTGAATTATAAAAATGTATACGTTATTGGGAAACTCCAAAAAAATGAACAATTATTTTTAAATTTAATCATTCTTTAAAGCTTTTTCAGATTTACAAGTTTTTCTAGTAGTTTAGAAAATGTTTTATGGAGTGGTTATTTTAATATTTTTATTGAATATATCATGAAATGGTAAAAATTAATTCTAAAAATTTTATATTTTTTATTACAATTAATTTATTTGAAAATTATGTATGAAGTAGAGTTTTTTTTCATTTGAATTAAAAGTAAGATAGCTTTATTGTGAAAATTCCCCATTAATAAATATTGCATTTTTGAAATGTTTTAACCAGCTTATTTTAAATTACGATAGTAATTAGAAATTACGATATTGCATCAATTTCTAATTAATTAAGTAGCTATTAAAAGCTAGGTAGTATTATAAGTGTACTTTCTTAACGACCCATACTTATGAATACTACTATACGACGCATGCTAATAATATCAATATGAATTTATGTGTGAATTGCCAAATTTATGAATTTATTGATTTTGACTTCATATTATTGACTTCAAACTCTATTCGTCAAATGAGTGACAATTTTATCTTGTTAAACTGTTATACAGGACATTGCGGGAAGAACTGATTAATTTTGATACAAGTTGGTACAAATTATTAAAAAAAAATTAATTTTGAAAAATTTTTAAGGATTTTATATTGATATTAGTATTATATAGTTATTATATAGTCATTATTTTACCTAATACTATATAGTTATTAGTTTACCACACACGCCCGTATTAAACACAGCCACATAAAATTTTTTTTTTTATCTACGAATAAAAATGTCATATACGATTAAATTTATTTAAATTAATAAAATTGGTACTAAGTTTCATTGGTAATAGGAATGTAATTTACATACCGAGAGACAATAATTGTAATATTACCAATACTTTATATTAAATTTAAAGATTATTTTCACTATGATTGGAATTTTCATACAGAGAGAGGAGCCTCGCCTTAAAAATTGCAAAAAAAAATAAAACTTTTATGAAAAAAGTTATCACAACATTTTATGAATATCATAATAAAATGTTCATATTATTGTCTCAAAATTCAAACAGTGAACATATTGGTAAATTGAAAAAAAATTATTTTCATATAAAAGAAAATAATACAAAATATATATGTATGTATGTAAAATAAATAAAAAGTGGCAAAAGGGTACAAATTGAGTATTTTTTTATGCGCCTAGTTATAAATAAATTTTTGCATAGTTTTTGTATTTTAGTATTCAAACCAATGCAAAAATTATAACATGTCATAAAATAAATAAAAATCTCAATAGTTTTCAAAACCGTAGGTATCCAAAAAAAAAAACCATCTAAAAAAGAAAAAAATAAATAAGTTTTATTTTCGTGTGGGCTTCGGTTCTCTTACAAAAATGTATGAGAGGAAAGAAACAAAATCTTAAATGAAAAAAGGGACACAGAAAAAAGAAACGAGAAATGGGAACAAAAAACAAAAAGGTTGTCATTATAATCGATACCAAATAAAAAATGAAAAATATATATGCCAAATCAGGTAGACATAAGATTATACAAATATACTCACTCACACCTTGTATACAATATTCAAGTATTCAGGCTTTTAAATTGCTTTTTAAGGTTATCTTAATAACCTATAAGACATTTTAAATAAGAAAAGAGCATTCATCACCTCACCATCGTGCCTTTAAGTTCTCTTGTATTTTTTTTTTTCTATTTTTGTCTTGCAAATTTTGTTTTTCTGTTTTTTTTTTAATAATTTTTCACTCATTTCTGATACAATATCATTATTGTAACATTAATGTTTATCTTATCAAATACAAAAAAAAAAAATTAAAATTAAAACAAGAATTTTACCTTATAATTTATATTGCATTGAGGTGCAGTACAGTGTACAGGGTGTAGATGTTTGCACAGTATGACAAATATCATTATTGCGATTTTTAATGAATAAATTTCAATTACTCCATTTTGATCAAAATGAAGATTTTTATAAATTGTTTCGTAGATTTGACTTATATTTTGGCTATCATTTAGAAATTTTTGTAATTGAAGCTTGTTTCTTATAAAAATTTTGAATGTCGGTTCTATTTAAGACAGTCTGTTGTTTCGCATTTAAAAAAAAACTAATGAAAACGGTTATTTACATTTTGATTAGTCAATTCACTTGACGTGATATATTTTGTAATTCAAAAATTTTTTGCTTTTCTGAATAAAATTAATTTTTAAAGAAAATGAAATTATTTTTCAATAGTATTGCATCATTTAATTGAGAGAACTACAACAGAATTTGAGTGAATCTTTTTTTCCTTTTATCATCCTTTTTTCCTCAATAGTAATTTCGATTGAAAATACGTACATATGTGTACTTACATGCATATTGGTATTGTTAACTCCATAGGCATGGAGCACACTACTCTCAAATTTATAGGAATACCATTAAAGTGTATAAATAATGTGTATTGAAAAAATTTCATAGAATAAGACTTAAGATTTTCAATTCTAAATACAAAATTCTTAAACAAATATTTGATTCAGCTTAAAAAGTTTCAAAAAATGAAAATTTCGCAAATTTCTGAATAAACTTGTTAAACTACTACTTTG